ATCATGAAACACCTTATGGATAATGACCTCTTATACAAGTTTCAGTCAGGTTTTCTCCCTGGCCACAACACAGAACTTCAACTTTTAGCAATTACTGACTATATTTATCATCAAATGGAACAAGGAAACTGTATTAACTCGGTATATCTCGACATTTCGGCTGCGTTTGATACCGTCCCGCATTCGCTCTTAATACACAAAATGAAATCTTATGGAATTAACGGCAAGACAATTGATCTTTGTGATTCTTACCTATGAACATATGAATACAACTAACTTTTGATTGTATATTTTACATAATTTTAAAGTCATTTTGTATTTTCCAACACATGCTTAATAAAGTTTTACAAAGTCAATTCAAATAATTCAAAAATCAAAAAATGATGATCTAAACATTTTTATTAAGTACTTTCATTTCTCAAAATAATAATCTAAAAATATTTTTTCCCAAAGATGATATTTTAATGTTTGGAGGATACAAAATATTGGACAGCCTCATCTAGACAACTTGAATTCACGACAGAAATACCTACACTCAATCAGATATCTCCATTGTCTGCAATCGAAGATATGTCACCAAAATGTACCTTGTGGCATAGCTTTCACCAAAATAATGCATCAATAGTGTATATTAATATGGCCGATGTGTTGGAGGATACGAATATTTGACAAATCGTATACTTGTGCATATAGTAAAACATACTTAATTATGTGACTAAGACATATCAAACATCCCGCTTTCAAGAGTTGGTAGCACATACATTTTATTAACATGCTCAAAAATATCAACGCAATCGATACAATTTATATTAAGGAATCCGAGTTTATATTTGCCGAAAAAATAAAATACTTCTTAATTGTCTAAAAATCCATCATTAAAGTGATATTTTTTAAAAAGATAAGCAATATTCCAAACAGGTACCTTGTGGTAACGATTGTTGTTATATATACTGTTTTCTGTTGTATTGATATATTGTAAAATTAGTGTTTACTTTGTGTACACTTAACCTTTTATGGGTATGAATGTGTAATAAAGTTCATAAAAAAAAAATCTATGTCCATGAAATCAACATATATGTCGCAGTCTATAGTACAACAACAGATTTTTAAAATATCAATTATCATAAATTGTCCCATAAACAAATAACAATGGAAGTCAATGAATACAAATATTGATACCATTAATGTGTCATAACAGTTTTTAATTTATCATTAGTCGATGCGATTTTGTAACAAATACTGTTTCTACACTCCCCCATTGAACTACGTATTAAAGCCTCTTTACCTTTGAATTTTTATTTACTTAACCTTCAATGAAAATACTTATACTATTGATGGAAACGTAATTTGACTTTATTTCCAATACCTCAAAATTTTCTCAATTTTTTCCTCAATTACAATAAGTCGAAAATTGATGATAAAATTGATGAATTTTTGAAAATCGACATTCCCATGTTAACCAATGGAAAATGGTAGGTTTGCCGCAAGTCATATGACAGAATATCCATCCATCCAAGTCCTTGCAAAAATACGAGTTAGATAGGCAATTGAGTTTGCTAACTTTATTTAACCAAAAAATTGATATGTTTCTTCAGGTTCAACAAAGTTATAGGGCTTTAAAGTCAAAATTGTTTTTCAAAAAGCCTCTCCCATTGAAATAACACAGGAGGCGAAAAATTCTTTTCAAAAATGACTTTGAAGCGCTGTAACTTTAGTATTCATCAAATAAACTTATACACACGGGGTACCATCGAATAATTTTGGCAACGTACTGGAGAACGACATTTTACTAAGAAATGGCAATAATTTAGCACAATATATTTTTTAACTAGAGTTCTATTTTGATTTTGACAAAAGTAAGTATTCCATGCAATAACTATTTCATTCATGAGTTTGTAGGAATTCTGTTGGAACCCAGTTCTGATCAAGTACGAAGTTATTGAAATCGGCGCAGACGGACTTTACTCCGAAAGATGGTTTTTCGATTATAACTTTTCACAACATTTAAGTATAGACTTTTGAAAAAAAGTACAGAATAGTCCTTATACTTTTGAATAATTCTGTTATTTCTGATTCACACGACTCTGATTTGTTTAATTAAAATTTTTTTTTTAAAAATATTACTTAGGAACGTAACCGGAGCTGGGAACGTAACCGGAGCAGATCAGTTGAATTATTAAATCAAAAAATTAAAATATATGATTTAAAGCACATATACTAATTTAAAAACATACGGGGTTGTTCGAATGCGTATTTATTAATATATATGCTTTAAATCATATATTTTATTTTTCTAAATTATATAATTCAACTGATCTGCTCCGGTTACGTTCCCAGCTCCGGTTACGTTCCTAAGTAATATTCTTAAAACTTTTTTTTTAATTAAACAAATCAGAGTCGTGTGAATCAGAAATAACAGAATTATTCAATAGTATAAGGACTATTCTGTACTTTTTTCAAAAGTCTATACTTAAATGTTGTAAAGAGTTATAATCGAAAAACCATCTTCCGGAGTAAAGTCCGACTGCGCCGATTTCAATAACTTCGTACTTGATCAGAACTGGGTTCCAACAGAATTCCTACAAACTCATGAATGAAATAGCCATTGCATGGAATACTTACTTTTGTCAAAATCAAAGTAGAACTCTAGTTAAAAAATATATTGTGCTAAATTATTGCCATTTCTTAGTAAAATGTCGTTCTCCGGTACGTTGCCAAAATTATTCGATGGTACCCCGTGATACACTTAGTGTACAAAAAGTAAGACAATTCAATTTTCTATAAAAAAATATTTTTTTGCTGAATCTTTTACTGAAAAGATATCCTGATTTCCGATTTGTCCCGAACCCTCCATTTCCCATTGGATTACATGGGAATGACGATTTTCAAAAATCCATCACATTTATCATCGATTTTTGACATATTGTAATTGAGGAAAAAATGAGAAAATTTGGAGGTATTGGAAATAAAGTCAAGTTACGTTTCCATCAATAGTATAAGTATTTTCATTGAAGGTTAAGTAAATAAAAATTCAAAGGTAAAGAGACTTTAGAGGCTTTAACACGTAGTTCAATGGGGGAGCTAAGGTTGCCAAATTTATGGAGGGGGTGTATTTTAAAGTGATCTAAGTTAAGGCGGAATTTCATGTTTACATTTTTGAAGTACAGTGTCAATGTAGTAGGCAAGCATATTTGATATAGAAATATTATCTTACCTTAACAATGAATTCGAATTGAAGAATCGCTGATGGCTGCTTGTATGTAGTTTTGCACGAGGCAGATGTATGGCAAGTTTGGAATAAGAGGCTAGACGTGAAACATTGTTTTCATTCTGCTGTCCTGTTGCTTTGCAACTTTCTTAAATAATATAAACTCGGTCTACTTTATTAACCTTTAACATGAGATATTATAGTAAACAATTCACTTCATAGTAAATGGGAATAGTAAACAATTTTGATATTGTAAAAATAACCATATAATCTGCATATCATTTTCAAGATATACTTGTATGTACTGCTTTAAGAAACCATGCCATGCAATATTTTGCATTGAAAAATGAAACAAAAATTGTAAAAGAAATCTTGATTGAATATAATGCGTTTGAAAAACAGTTATTATACGGAGTGCTTTACTCTGTAAACCGTTGGTGTGTTTGCAAAGTTGGTGGAATTGAAACATGGTAGTTTTTTATTGAATAGTTTAGTTGACAATGTTTATTTTACAAATATTTTGTGTTTGAGGACAAACACTTTTAATTAAGTTGGGGGTAATTAAACAGGTTTTAGGTTTTTATATATTAACTTTTGGTACAAACTTCATTTTTATATATCACATGATTTAGGTTTCAAGATATATTTTATTGTTCTATACATTTGATGTACATCGTTTCTATTCTTTATTCCTCTTTAGTTCATTTGCACTCAAAACATGATATCATTCATAAATAACATTAAAATCTTGACTCTTTTCATATTGTTATGTCTTTTCTATCAGAGGAAAGTTCCAATTCCCATAAAGAAGGATTTTAAGTCCAGTATATTTTACTTTTTTACATAATCTACTTGACTTTCTATTATGGGAACCAGCATTTGCCTCCATTTAGATGAGGTTTAGGAAGTCCAGTAGATTTAATTTGATACTATCTTTAATTTGTTCATTATTGGTTCATCTATTTGGTAATTATGGGAAATTATTATTCGCCTCCTTTTGGAATCTTCCCTGTGGAACTTTCCATTCTTTCAGACTATTCTTCAGTATCATCTCAGAAAATCATCCTCAGAACAGTTTTTACCACGGCACAACATACTGATTAAATTAAACTCACTGTAAAGATTGGATTTTGATAGTGAAATAATAAACGTTTAGAACTTTAAGTTTTAGGAATTTTATGTTCGTTTTTTACCTGGGAATAAACTTAAAACATGCTTAAAACGGTGAAAATTGCATGATTTTTAACGAATTTGTTCCCCCGCGGCTATGGGCCTGCCCTGGGAGTCGATAATGTCATTTTTGCTCTTTGACTCAATAACTTAGATTCGAGTAGGTAGCTACCAGTTTCACCACCAGGTAGCTCGTTCGGGTTAGATAGCATTTCCCTTTTTGTGATTTTTATAACATGGAGTCTACATGTATGTGGATTGAATCTCCCCGAAATAGAAGTCAGATTTTAAAAATAAATATATTTTCAAAGTTGATCAATAATTTTCAAAACTATATTTCTAGATGTACTTTTACATGTAGATTTCAAATATGACATCACTTTGACTTAATTTTGAATATTTAATGACGTAAATCAAAATTATTGCTACTCGCATCTAGTCTATTGGATCAGCCGAAGGACCGCCACGTCCTGTGGTTCAACATTAGAAGCCAATGTAAAATGTAGTTTGCCAGTGTGCTATGTTGCCTAAACAAATATATTGTTGTCATGACTAAAACATGTAACTCGACACATTGTGACGTCAGTCCAATAGTCATCCACGTCATATACCATATATACCCAATACGTTGCTATAGTGCCAATGATGTTGTTTTTGTAGTAGTATTTTCTTCAATCATGAAAAACAGAAGGATGTGGGTTAGGTAAATACAAACATAAATGGCGTTCCAGGTCAAATTGACGGAGCAATCACGATCAAATCTGGGAATTGCATTGATGACCCTTAACATAATTATAGCTGTGTCAAACGCTCTCTTGCTAGTTTTCGGATTAGTGATCAAACAGAAATTCAAGTTCCACGAGGAAATCTTCCTGGCGTACAAAGGGAATGGATTGTACAACATGCTCATATGGACCGGAGCTTGGCTCGGGACATCCCATCTTATCTTTGCAGTGTTCATGTTCCTGTCTGGAAAAGCTCAAAAGAAGGGATTTAAAGAAATCAAAAGTTCTGACAAAAAGCTCGGTGTAGTGTTCATAAACGCTGCAGTTGGGGCATATATTGCATACATAATTGTGGATATCGCTGTTGGGTCAGTGTGTCTGAGTCATCAACACTTCATCAGACACTCGTGTAACTCGCACAACCAATGTCATGATGAAGTGATGGGGTATTTTGAAAATATCCTCAATCCAGCAGCAGTTTTTGCGTTCTGTGAAATCCCATTTGAGGTAAAGAAAAAATGTAAAAACACAGGTTTTGTAATGTAATTGTAAAGATACTGTACGGACACCCTGTATACCAATAAAAGCAAGAGTTCAACCCACGTGATTATCACAAGTGTGACCAAATAATTCTAAGTTTCAGTTTTTATTTATTTATTTTCCAGATTCTCATTGCGTTTCTTGCACGACTCTTGGCCACCTCCATAAAGGAATGTTACAATCTTGGAGATTTTGGTGCCACCACCTATGGCTATATCACCAAACCAGGTATTTTGGGAGTAATTGTAACCATATATCTCAACGTACAAGTACGGTTATCTTTTCGATTGATACTAATAACATCATATAAATTGTGAAAAACAATTTCATTTAACGTTAACATTCCTTTTTTGTGCTTTTTAACTTGAATTTCATCTACAACTCATTCAAATGCCAATGCGCGGCCCGTTGGATAACAAAATACAACATTGCCTCTTGATCTTTAAAACTAATAAAATTGGAGTTTATTTAATGTTTCACGTTCTTTCAGATGAAAACACGACCAACAGCATTGACTACACAAAGCTGCACGACTACGACGAAGACAATACTAACTACAACAAAGACCCGAACATCCTATATGATACCACAGCAACATATAATGATGTCGGTGCATTTGAAAACGAGGCACGATATTATGAAGATGGTGCAGATGAAAATTATGCTCCATTTTCTCAAAATGATGCCACTGAACTTGAAAGTGGTGAGGATAACGAGCCAGATGCTCTTGATAATGACTTCGAACACAATTCCCAGTTTAACAACAGAAAAATACCGAACCATTATGAATCTTATGTTGATCCGCTGAAAAGAAAAATTGAATTCCAGAGTGATGGAGAACTAAACAACGGACAAATTCCAAACTATCGTGAATCTCATGTCAATGCCCATTACGGAAACGTTACCGGAGGTCAAAATCAGCAACATCTACATACTTATCAGCAAAACGGGCCATACACACATGATACGTATTATAACAATCAGCAACCTGGACAGACGGCTGTGCAAAATGGGGTCTATCCGGATGGAACACAATATTACAATGATCAGAGCAGCAATAAAGTCAGTACAAGAGAACATATTAAAGATGGAAAACGAAAAATGAAGGCAGCAGTTATGACCGGTGATAAAGATGTAATGATGCAAACATTGAAGACAACTGGTGGAACCATTGCAAAACAACTTCTTTCTAAAGGTATCACCAAAGCATTTGGTACAATAGAGGAAGGGTCAAAACGAAGTGATAAACACAAACCACATGTACAGTCTTCACCATACGATGAACAACCCGAATTCTATGATGAATCATATCCAGAACAACAACGCCAAGATTTAGGAGAATTAAGACATTATCCAAATTATGACCATACACCATCACAAACTGATATGGTGACAAAGCCACGGTCAGCAAAAAGGACAGACCCTCGATCAGCTTATTTGGCGTCACCTAAAACATTAACGAATAAGACGCCTGAATTACCTAAGAAGAATGCACCTGAAACACCAAACAAGGTACCCGAGCCACCTAAGAAAAAGGCACCTGAGACACCTAAAAAGGCACATGAGCAACCTAAGACAAAGGCACCTCAAACATCTAAGAAAACACCTAAGTCACTTAAGACAAAGGTACCTGAGCCACTTACGAAAAAGGCACCCGAAACGCCTGAAAAGGCACATGGGTCACCTAAGACAAAGACACCTGAAACATCTAAGAAAGCACCCGAGTCACCTAAGTCAAAAGCTCCTGAAACACCCAAGAAGACCCCTGGGTCACTAAAGAAACAGGCACCCGAGCCACCTAAGAAAAAGGCACCTGAAACACCTCAGAAAAAGGCACACGAGTCATCACCTAAGAAAAAGGCACCTGAAATACCAAAGAAGGCACCTGAAACACTCAAGAAGGCACCTGAGCCACCTAAGAAAAAGGCACCAGCGACACCTAAGAAAAGGGCACCAGAGCCACCGAAAACAAAGGCACCCGATACACCTAAAATAAAGGCACCCGAGTCAGCTAAGAAAAAGGCACCAGAGACACCGAAGACAAAGGTACCGCAGACACCTAAGAAAAAGGCACCAGAGCCACCTAAGAAAAAGGCACCTGAAATACCAAAGAAGGCACCTGAAACAGCTAAGAAAAAGGCACCCGAGCCAACTAAGATAAAGGCACCCAAGTCACCGAAGACAAAGGCACCCGAAATACCAAAGAAGGCACTTGAGACAGCTAAGAAAAAGGCACCCGAGCCAACTAAGAAAAAGGCACCCGAGACACCAAAGAAAAAGGCGCAGGAAGCTCAGAAGAAGACTCCTGATAAAACAACAAAACCTAAACAGCCGAAAAAGACATCAAAAACAGAAAAACCATCAAAACCGAAAAAAGCATCAAAACCGCCAAAAGCCCCGAAATCCCTAAAGGCACCAAAACAACCTAAACAATCGAAAACAGTATCTACAAAAAAAGCAAAAACTTCAAAACCGGGAAAGGCACCAAAACCAGCAAAAGCACAAAAACCTTCAAAGCAGACAAAGGCACCAAAACCTGCAAAGGCGGCAAAGGCACCAAAACCAGCAAAGAAACCAAAACCTGTAAAACCAAAGAAAACCAAACCAGCAAAGAAACCAAAACCTGTAAAACCAAAGAAAGCTAAACCAGCAAAGAAACCAAAACCTGTAAAAGCAAAGAAAGCCAAACCAGCAAAGAAAAAGAAAAAATGATATATTGGAGCCTGAATAATTCCGATCATAATCTCATAAAATAAAATATAATAAATCGACTATACTTTTTATGTTTTATCTTAATAAATACAAAGCACTTAACAATTAAAATACAATACAATACGATACGGTACAATACAATACAATACAATACAATACAATACAATATGATAAATACAATACAATACATACAAAACAGTATAGGGAAAACTTAGTATAAATAAGGACTATCTATCGGCTCAATCTGATCTATTTAGCATCTTATAAAAGTACCAGGCAACAAATATGTACAAAACGTACTATTTTGTAATGTGTTCATTGTAATTGTATTGTATTTTATTGAATTGCATCGTTAACGTATTTAAAATAAATATAACTGCAGAATCTTGCGGCAATTGGCAGGTCAAAATCTGTAGTTGATGCAAACGTGTAATTGCATACATAGCGACATATGATGTGTGTTGTTGGCGAGGTAGGATGAACATGTCTGGTTGAAATATGTGTTGTAGTATTATGCATTTACATAGCGTGTTGTATGTGTGGTGTTGGCGTGGCAGTATGTAAGGTTGAAATGAGTTGTAGTATTATGTATTGCATAGTTTAATGTATGCTTGGTGTTGGCGTCTAGGCGTGGCGTGGTAGTATAATGCACTTATATAACGTGTTGTATATGTGTTGTGGCGGTATGCATAGTTGAAATGTGTGTTGTATATTATGTATTACATGTCATATTGTATGTGTGATTGTATTGGTGTGGCGGTATGCATAGTTGAAATGTGTGTTGTATATTAATATGTATTACATGACGTATTGTATGTGTGATGGTGTTAAGTGGCGGTATGCATGGTTGAAATGTGTGTTGTATATTAATATGTATTACATGACGTATTGTATGTGTGATGGTGTTAAGTGGCGGTATGCATGGTTGAAATGTGTGTTGTATATTAATATGTATTACATACCTAGCGAAGCATTTGTATGGAAGTCAATGGGAAAGTTAGCGAGCTATATCCACCGATATTGCCCGATTACCCCGATATAGCCCGCTTACCTCGTTTTGATATTAGATTTCTTTAATAGCCATGATCACGTCATTGATACAAAGTAACCATGGGAACAAAGGCATGTAATACATCAGTTATGTCACTATGACGTGAAATATGCCTTCGTTCTTGCCCAAATATAGAGCCTCCCAAGGTCGGCCTATATTGGGAGAACTCAGGCATATTTCACGTCATAGTGACATAACCTCTAAGTATTACATGGCGTATTGTATGTGTGATGGTGTTAAGTGGCGGTATGCATGGTTGAAATGTGTGTTGTATATTAATATGTATTACATGACGTATTGTATGTGTGATGGTGTTAAGTGGCGGTATGCATGGTTGAAATGTGTGTTGTATATTAATATGTATTACATGACGTATTGTATGTGTGATGGTGTTAAGTGGCGGTATGCATGGTTGAAATGTGTGTTGTATATTAATATGTATTACATGACGTATTGTATGTGTGATGGTGTTAAGTGGCGGTATGCATGGTTGAAATGTGTGTTGTATATTAATATGTATTACATGGCGTATTGTATGTGTGATGGTGTTAAGTGGCGGTATGCATGGTTGAAATGTGTATTATAGTGTATTATGTATTGCATAATTTATTGTATGTTTGGTGTTGGCGTAGTATCATACAAGGTGAATGATATAATGTGAATGAAATATGTATAATGTGTGGTGTTTGTGTATATTTTCAAACTACTTCTCAATATTGATAGTGGCAAGAAAAAGGACACCAAAACTAAGAACTTTTCTAGAGTTCCAAAGTCAAACCCATTTAGGTTCTCGCTGAAGTGCTTTGTCTTTCTCCAGCTTTACATCTTCATCTGTTTGGTGTTCATTGGTCTCTTCCAAACATGTCTTCATCTCGTGAAGACGTTCTTTCAATGTGGCAATTTTATTTTCGTCCACTTTTATATCGCCAGTGAATATTTTACTTCTAAGCTCTTCATTCTGATAATCTAGAAAATCAACTTTTTCTGTAAGCTTTCGAATTTGTTGATTTAACTGTACGTTATCTGATTTTAAAGTTTGGTTGGCTTTTGTAATGTCTTTCATTTCAGCTTCCATTGTGTCACGCACATGCCTTTGCGCATCTAATTGTTGTTTCACTTCAGATAAGTCTTGCAGAGCATCATCTCTCGCCTTTTCAGCGTCCATTATTCTGTCATTTATGATTTCATTTGCTTCAAATATGTGTTGTACATCCTCATCGCCATTGACAAAACTAACAATCTGGCACTGTAAGTTTCGTATTCTTTTTTCAAGGTCGTTATTTGTGTCGAGTATTCGTTCTCTCTCCATGTCTAACATGATACAGTGAGCGGACTTGGCATCAGAGCTGTCTTTCAAATCACGGATCTCTAGACGAAGTTCATCATTTACGTGTGCGAGACCTGGAAATATAACATCAGAATAAGAGGATCTTCACCTCCTTTTCATAAGAATGCGGTATTTTGTGTCAGAAGATCGGTCGGCAAGATGATAGGGACAAGGTTGGCAAAAGATGGCGGTAGTGGTTTATTCAAGCTTCTCTCCAGAGATACTGCCACCTTTCTTTCAACCTACTGTAACGCCCGAATGGCCAAGATCCAAGCTGAAATTCTATATCAGTGGCCTTCATTGATCTACAAATGTGACAATGACATTTATGACTGGTTATCAAAGCAAGCTTTTTGTTTTTTTGTCTATCTATAGCTTTTTTAATAGTCAAGATTAAGAATGCCACGTCTCGAAAGCAGGTCTGTTCATTATTATAAGAAATGAGACCAATGCGTGACAGTATTAATATATTTAATTAATCGAACTTTTCAATCAGCTTTGAAGGTACATTTTTAATAACTGCATAAGTGCTAACACTAAAAGCCAACAGAACCAATGAGCCGGAAAACCGGGGTATAATTATCAAAATATTTATCCATAGTAAGGTCATGAACATCACTATTTCGAAATACAGTGAGAGTGGCAGAAAAAACTCGAGATTTTTGTTTCTATTTATTCTATTAAAACCGTGCACCTTACATGTTTCGAAAGACAAATGTGAAAAACGAATTAGTTAATAACATTATTCTCAGGCTATATTTTTATAGCAACTTCGGTCATTCTTTGAATCAGGAGTATTTGTCTACCTTTGATTTTTACTATCTTAATTTTTTTAAATGTTTGTTTGAAAATTTCAAATTAAAAGTTAAAGAGTCCTTCGAAAAATGTGTCAAACTCTGGATATCTTGCAAAATGTGTCATGGTTTTAATACAAGTATTATACAAAACATACTAAATTGTCAACATAAATTATCATATCAATCTTACAAAAATTCACTACTGACTGATTTCTTATATTGACAAATAGAGTCATACTGAACTGAAAGAGGTACACGTACATGCACATGCTAAAGTATTGGACTTCAATTTAAATGCATGCGAGTTCATGCGAATTTCAATAGTATTCAAAGTAGGAGTTAATGGTTAAGATGGCTTTGTTAAAAAGCTGATGAAACCTTACCATCGTTCTGTTTTTTCATCACATAAAGTTGATGCCGGAGATCAGCTCTATCCTTAATGAAATCTTCGTTATCATCATGTGCCTCTTGCAGCTTTGTTTTAAGGTCCACGATTTCTTCATTTAAATCATCTACTGTATGGTATAAGTTCACCTGTAAACACATTTTGTGATATACCACGTGAAAGCATGCACATCTGATATGACTATTATACTAGGGAGGTTAAGTTACACGTTTTTAAGATAATTCCCGTAGTGCTTTCCAGAGACTTAAATACAATTTACTATTTTCCGTATACCTTTTGACTCAATCAGCCAAGTAAACAGTACAAATTGGCGATAGTAATTTCAAAGTAACATGACGTTTTAAGTAAATGATAATTTGATGTATGATCAAATAGTTTCAAATATATGGTGTTATGTATGGTTTGCTGCAAGTAGTCATATTTTGTGTGATATGTGGCATGGCAAGCTAAGTTGTGTCTTGTTGTATGTTAGGGTTTAAATAATTTCGACTCACAATATCAGTTTTCAGATGCATTTTGTATTCTTCAAATTCTCCTAATTTCAATTCCACACTGTTTTTCCTCTGTAAATGTCTTTCCTTTTCCATTGTGAGTCTCTGGATGAATGTTTTAGCACTGGTTAGTTCCTCATTTAGTTGCTTTAGGTCTTTATGCTCGCTGGCCACATTGCCATTCTAAAAAACAAGTGATAAACATTAATGCACGAGAGATCTTAGTCTTTCTTTTTCAAAGATCTGATTACTATACTACCTTATCGACTGTTTTTTTCCACGTTTAGTCGACCCTCACGGAATAAGGCCATTTAGAGTCCATTTCACTGTTTAAATGCGTCAGTAAAAGCTAAAAAAAATAAGAAATCAAGATATCATTTTGCAATAATATATATTCCTACTGTACATGAATGACATTTGTATATCTTGGATTGCTTCTAGTTTGGCTTATAAAGTGTGTGGCCTCTTATATTTGGATGCTTCTCTGCCATGTTATTTTCAATAAGATTAACATGGCCGAAATTCTTCAAATTACAAGACGGCACAGGCTTATTGCACAAAAAACTAAAAAATCTGAAATATACAAATGTCATTCATGTACATTATGAATATACTTTTCCATATATTATTGCACAATGGTCTCCCAATTTCTTATTTTTGCCGTTCTACTGACGCAATGAAGCAGTGAAATGGACTACTCTACGTTATCTTTGAAATGAGAGCATTTTTCCGTGAACTTATTGAACGACCTGATAAACTTGGAAAACTCTACACGAGAAATAAAATATAATGGAATAAACTTCCCCTCTTAATGCAAAAAATAAAACAAATTTCTCTCAGTTACAACATGGGCTTTCAATTAAAGCCCATGGTTACAAATATACCCATTGACATTCGACACTCTCCTCACCTTGTCTATGTTGGTCTCTGCGTTGCGAAGGGACTTGTTCAGCGTAGTGATCTCTGCAAGCAGTGATTGCACTTGGCTTCCAAGACCGCTGGTTACACCATCTGCAATGTCGTCTGCCATAGTTCCTTCAAGATATCGGCGTCTGATTACTCCTGAGATAAAAAATATATACTGAACAATATGGGTGCAAATTTTTCCAAGTGCTAGTCTCGTGTGAAATTAAGTTTTATCGTGTATAACAACTGTAAACGTTATAGCTTAAAGGGATAATAACCTCAAGTAAAAACTATGATTCATCAGAATAATAAGTCTATAATCAAAAACATGACCCAGGTATGAGCGACGATCTTCTTATGCATCGGCAGATATATTGGAATTAATTTTGAGGTATTGGATCTTCACCTGGATTATGGAGGTCGCCATAACCTACCTATGAATATTCATGAGCGGCGTCACTGCGACTCAACAAATTCCAGCATTTTGATTGGCCCGAAAAATGCGCATGCGCAATTGTAGCGGGGCGGCCACATTGAAAAATATTACGAACTTCTTAACAAGAAAATGGAGCAATTTGAAGATTTTGACGATGTATTTGGCATATTGACATACTATAATATGATATCACCTGTTCGAGAAAAACATGACCATGTTCACATCAATACTTACAATTCATAGAATTAACTCCCAAAGTGCCAATCAAAACCAAAAACTGACCAACTCGTGAACGTTGGTTACCGACATGACAGGAAAATAAGTTAATTTTATGTTGACAATCAATTATCTCTCGATCGTTTTGCTTGAAGATTAAACATATTACGATCTTTTATTTAATAAAATGACGAATGGCAGATATTAATTGGATTTTTGACACTCTATTATAAATATAAGGCAGAACTGATAATGTATTCCCCGTCATGAATGATCGCGATCGATGACGCAAGGTTCGTCATTTCGATCACCATGGAGGTGTATTTTTGTTGTATTTACAGTAGACAACAAACAATTTAAAGGCTCGTAGACCTAGTATGTTATATTTATTTCACAAATATGGTATTAAGTTATAAAGCTATTAAAGACATACGATACGATACGATACGATACAATTCAAAAAGTTTTTTCAAAATGGCGTCGACCTAACCGGCACATGGCCTGGTTCAGTTCTCTTTTTGGGACCGGATTGCTCGCCTTGAATCCGTTTTCAAGGCTTTGGTTTCTTGTGAGAGAATATGTATGGTATGGCAACTGCCCGAACGACAGTGAGATTCCATTGTCGATAACGACAGTGTTATTTCTGTTGCTGATAGCAAACTGTCGTGGGTAAACCCGGAAGTAAAATTGTGTTCAATCTACGCCGTTTGAGGAGAAAATCAGCTAAAACAACTTGCCCCGCGTGTCTAGAACCATCATCACTGTAGCGTCTATATAATCAATACTTACTTGAAATATCCTGACATCGAACTAAATAAACCACTCTAACTTCAGTTGTTGATCATTTTTATTCACCAATCTATTTTGAAGAGCTTTTGAAGAGCGATTTCAGCATTTGAGGCAATCTGCGCCAGTTCCTCTTGATTCGGAATCTAGTTCATGCGCATTAGAATGAATAATTTGATTGGCTTAATTCCAAAAACACATGCGCACTCGTAAATTATTTCAAACTACTAGGCATGCGTGAAGAGTTGAAGCAAAAACGAAACTGCTGCAGATTACCCTACTTATTCGATGGCGGAATTAGAAAATTCTTTATTCAAAATGTTTTCCCGTATTGGGGAGAAAAAACACAACCCCAGGATAGATATAGGACGACAAACAAGACAATACTAAGTAGGAATCTTTGATTGTTAAAAGCCGTGCATGAAACTTTTCAGAAACTATAGTAAGTGACACTGTTTTAAATGTGTTCTATTCCCCGGGGATTCGGTCCACGACAACGACAGCTGGTTTGAACTGTCGACAGATTTTAATTCTACCGTCACCAGCCGACTGTCGTACTGTCGTTCAGGCATTTCTTTTAAAGTCCTTATCCCAAGTCTAGCTCTATCAGTGGAAATATTTGAACAATTTACCGCACAACACATAGGCATTTTCCTTTGTTGTGAATGCTTTCAAGATGGCGACTCAGGTCGCAGAAACGTCACACTTCCGGTCTACATCCGGGTCTCTGAGGGAAATATGGCGAGCCCCGTCTAACAGACAACTGGGTCACTGGGTCAATTTATGATTTTTATTTTCAATATTATACAAAAACTAACACATAACAAGATTTTCAACTTATTGCATTTTATTCAGTAGTATTGTAACTACATATAATGATGATTAGAATACCTGACATTATTTCCGCTTTAAATTTTCGTTCTGGTTCGATGACCAAATACATATATTATGTTGTATGTACAGAGTGATATATGTTTATAGAGCCTAGTTCACTTTCACTGGCCTATTAATCATATTCTTTTTGTATTAAATAATGTTTTATAACTGTATGGCAGGCTTATTCAATTTGCAACTATTATTAAAGGTCCCATCATGAGTTGTTTGAATTTTAAAAGTATATCGCTGTTCTAATTCTAAAATAATTTGATAACACGTCCATTCATGCTTAGTTTTCTGGTCTACCCATTTTAACATGGTAGAATTGATTGTTGATATTATTTCTGATAATAATCAATGGTACAACAATTAATTTCAACAAAATTCGTGAAAACATGGGCCTTTGTAATTCATTGTCAAGGACAACATTTCCAAATGTGAAACCACTTTGATCTATCTAGTATCATCTTTGCACAATTAGCTTCGTTCGACTTCGCTTCTTAAAAGAGAGCTTCGTCCTCGTAGTTTATAACTAGACTCTGTGCGCATGGCAGATCTAGGAGACTAGGATGAGTAAAGAACTCCATTCTAGACCTGATTTAGATTACTGGATAATCTAATATAGCAAAATTAAGTGGTTAAAACAATACATGGGACCTTTAAGGATAGTTTGTAATGCCAGCGGCGAATTATTGTAAACAAGCAAAACATTAATTTAGATGACGATTTGTAATTTCGGCAGCTTGAGTATCAGCTATTGATCATGCTCACTGGATACCGTCGGCCAATTAGATCAATGAAGTGGAGCAGGTCGGTTCTGCAAGAAATCTCAATACATAATATACATAACTATACATAATAGTTTAACACTATTGATATTTGTTGATATTTGTTTATAGTTTATCGCATGGAGGATTGACTCCCAGGATCGAAACTCGATATCCTCCAACAATGAAAACGTCGAAATGTCGTTATCTTCTGAAATCATAACCGACTATAAATTCAAAATAAACAGTTCTAAAGATTCAAACCTATAGCTCGATCATTTCAAATGAGTTTTGGAGTTTTTCACGAAGTTCACGATTCAAATGTTAACGTGAACAAAATGGCGGCTGTTTAAATTCAAATTTTGTATCACGATATGCCAATACAGAGAGGGATTAACACCAGAGTTCAAAGATGACATACGCTTATAATGTAAACCTGTATTGAAATGACATACACCACTGATTGGTCCAAATCGATAAACAAAAATGGCGGATTCAAAACTTTCTAATAACGCTTCGAATAATATTATGTTGATTCCTGGCATATTAACCAATATCATAGCTTGGTTTTACTATATTTGCACATAGCCATCTTTTAGTCTCTCAGGAGATAGCTTTGTGCAAACCTTGCAAACTAAGTAAGCTTGGTTTTTCACATCAAGATAAAGAAATATGTAAGGATTATGTTTACAACGATTAAAACATCACGACGACGCGCTTTGTTCGAATATTGAGAATTTGCGCAAACGAAGGTGGTATGCAAGAGACGTATTATGTCAGTCATCGCTAAAGCTCTGGGGCTTTTCCTCCTCTTTGCCAATATAAGCCAGAGTATCGGTGTTGCACTCTGGGAGCCAGTCCTCCTTGTGTTTATCACAAAATTGCCACGGATGACGTCACATTGGGTTACCATAGTAAACATGAAATGAACCAATCAAATAGAAGATGCTTTGTTTTTGAGATATTTACGCAATCACCGTGTTATTGATGTTTGAGAATCAAGATGATTGATCAAATAGTATTGAAATGGCAACACCTTTGACGTTACCTCTGGATCAACCTCACAGCCCGATACATATTTACTTTTAGTTGGTCTCGCTGCTAGCTTGCCCTTGTAACTAGCTGTGAACTTCCAAGCAGCTTATGTTTACTGCTAACTGATAAACTGACATACTAGCGTAAGCTATCTTATGTGTATCATATTCCTTGCAGTATAAACATGACTGCTTTACGTGAGTGACTATTTGTGAAAATCTTGGTAGGTGTTATCAATTAGCTAATTAAATTAAATCTGGTGAACAAAATTTATTCTAACTAACTGAAATCAACTGACAATTAATTGATCTTTAAAACCATGTTTTTCTTTTCCAATGGTACAATCCCTATCCATGTTTAAAACACATTTATTTTAGCAAGGGTTCAAAAAAGTGTATCTTTGGTAAAAACTAGTGGTTTGTAAGTACAGTGCATCAATCTAAAAGACTGAAACATGTAATATTTTTGTGTTATCTACTTTAATAGTACAAAATTTCAAACCATACCATGTAAGGATCAATATTGGTGCTAAATATATGAATCATGTTTTATAGTTTTATAAAATCAATACTCACAGAATGTAAAGTAAGAACTACCAGCAAGATGGTCAATCATGCTCGCAAGCCCGGGCAATCAAGATCCCCAGACCTAAATATTTTACATAATGGTTCTTTACCTAGAAATAATACGGTTTCAATGTTTTCCTTATTCACTTATTCATAATATAATGATCATTATTGTTCAGGTTGAAGGTTTTTATCAATAAATTTCCATTTCTTTGTTCTCACCCTGGTAATGATTTGGCAATACTGCAGTTTCTTTAAAATATTACTTGAGCTTTAGTTCCTGATTTTTCTTGTTTCTATTTCAATACTGATATGAGACCTTAATTCAAGACATTTTCAATAAACTATGCTGAAATTTGATGCAAAACAGTATTGCAAGGGTTACTTGTACTCTATATACAAAAACTAAAGTGATTCTAATGGCAAGGGTAGCTAAAAGAAGGAAAAACAGAGAAAGCGTAAGTTCTGCAGATGAGACATTTGTTGCTTGGCAAGTTGATCACTGCGCATGCTCAGCATCCAGCAGTAGCTGTAGCAGAGATTTAAGGTCACAGTGACTTGCTCTAACTTAAACTTCATATAGCACCATTCTATCGGGCTGTGACCTGTATTGCACTGTCTAATGACAATTTTGCTAAAAGCAGCCATTTCCAAAAATGGCAGCCATTTTTAAATGTGTTAATTTACATTTTTGCCATAACTGGAAACGTAGTAGAGCTTACTCACGTCGAGAGCTACCATGTTTAATAGATTTTGAAAGTATAGCTCTCCATCGTGAGGATCTCCAGCTGAAGAATTGTGACATCTAAATTTGATCAGCGCCATTCAGCGGCTTACTGTTTGTCTCAAACTGTAGCCTACATATGGGCTCATATGTGTCTACTTTCCCCGTGCATGTAGGATCGCGGATGTGCTTCTATGGCGATCAGGAGCTCTAATCGTTTTATGAATTCATTGTTTGATACCAAGGAGGATTGGCTCCCAGAGTGCAACATCGATATTCTGTCCCATATATGGGCATGTCGTGTTACACAATTTGAATTCCAACAGCCGCCATTTTGTTCACTTCAACATTTGAATCGTGAATTTTGGTCTTATTTCCTAACGAAAAATTCCAAAACTCACAAGAAATGATCGAGATATTGGTTCGAATATTTTGAACTGTTTATTTTGAAATTATAATCGGTTATAATTTCAGAAAATAACGACATTTCGGCGTTTTCATTGTTGGAAAATATCGACTTCGATTCTGGGAGCCAATCCTCCTTGGTTTGATACCCATTTCCAATATGGCGGTTAAACGGAAATATTATCGACGCATGCGCAACTTGGGAAACGTCAAGCCGCCATATTGAATATACCTGGCCAAAACTTTTGACACGACCAATAAAATGAAGTCCTGATCGATACATAGGGCAGTGAGACGTTCTATAGTTGAGCTGAATGAAAGATGGCGATGTAGGATACATTTTCAGGAATATAATGTGCAACATGAGTCAGCTGAATTCCCTGGAATTTTCTTTGAAGTCAGGATTCTTAAGCTGTTGATTCTAGCGATAGAGAGCTATACTTTCAAAATCTAAGTAGCTCTCGACGGGAGTAAAGTAGAGCGATTTTGTTAATATATTTTTTAGATCTTTTAATAATCACGCTCGGACAGAATGAACGGAGGATGGTGCGGCAATTTTACAAGAAAATTCAACAAATCTGGAAGGTTATTTTTCAAGAAAAGGTTTACGATTGAATTGTTAATTGAATAGGTGCACGGTATGGTAAATAATTTAAGGTCTTCTAGGAATTTGTTTGAACTGACACTCTTTTAAGATATGAGATCTATTAAAAAAGTGCATCATCACCAACGTGATGAACGAAATGAACTCAGTAACTTAGTAAGAAACTGGATGTTAAATCTCTGAAGAGTGAAAAGTGGAGAAATTTGGAGTTATAGGAAATAAAGTCATGCAACAGCTCTTATCATGTCTCATAGATATATGAACCCCCCCCCCCCTCAGTTCAATCCCCTCCGTTCAATTTTAATTTCTTCCAATTGTTTTGTATATAAAGTATGGTTACTAACTTTAAAAAGCCAACAGTAACATTAGTTTGGTTATAATAACGTCCCTTATAAATAATTATTACAGGTCGTGTAGACCATTGTTGCCTGATTTATAGCAAGAACAGTGACTTTAACATGTTGATGGCGATGGGCCTTTTCAATAGATCTCATATCGTAGAAGTGTAGCAGTTCAAAAAATCCCTAGAAGACTTAACATATTCTAACATACCGTGCGACTATTCATTTCGCAATAAATGTTCTCTTGAAAAATAATTCTTCCAGATTTGTTGAATTTTCTCGCAGAAATTGCCGCATCCCCCTCCGTTCATTCTGTCCGATCATCGATCGTAACAATAGGTGGCCATTTGAGACATTTTTTCTAGCAGTGTTGTCTGACTCATTTGACGTTCGATGGGATTTGCTAGCTACGCCTTGTATTGGTGTTGCTGTTTTCTAGAGGTTAATTATTTTTAATATATCAAGGATGGTGAACCCATTATATTAATAGGAGCCATATCGATGAATTTCAATGGGCACTGTGATGCCTACTACCCTTTGCATTCGTTCGACTTTACTTCTTAAAAGAGAGCTTCGTCTGTAGTTTATAACTAGACTCTGCATGCAGGGTGGATGCCTACAAACCAGTTTGGCTTTCATTATCAAAACGAATTAAAACATTTCAAAACGGAGTGATCTAGGCTGAGACTTGTCCAGTGATATATCAAAGGGGAGAGTATATTTTTTGAAATTTGGTTTAAATATTTTTGAAAATTAATTAAAAAATGTAAATAGAATTTTTTTTGGAAGAATTCGAAACCATCGAATATCACTTCTCAAACCATCGAATATCACTTTTTAAGACGTGATATTCGATAGTTTAAAAGTGATATTCGATGGTTTGTGAGTTTTTGCTAAAATATGATATCTTGATCCACATATCAAATATATCTTCGTGTGATATTCGATCTATATCCTTGCAACCATGGGATAAAGGCCTATAATAGGCCTGGGACAAGTCATTGGACACCGTAAAGGGAGATAATCTATCTGACACATTTCATTGGAAAAATGAGGATTATATGGAAAAGTGTAAGATTTTATAAATAACATAACTTTTTGCAAAAATGACATTATTTTCTAGTTTAAAACTAACTAATCAGACAACGCTACTATTATAATATCTTACTTCAATGCATTTTTGACAAAATGACGATTTCTTTCACCCGGAGAGTAAAAACTGTTTTTAACATGCCATCCATGTCATTTGAAATCTGGGCGTTATTTAACCATCATTGTCATTCATATTGATAAGCAATATATCATTTTATTGAAAATCAAAGCACCTATCCAATGGTGTATCATTTGTGCATAGAACTAGAACTGTTAGTATTATGAAGATTTTTTTCTGTCAACTTGTATATCGTCATATAGACGCTGCACTACAAGTTGATATTAATAATATGCGACACAAATCTGAAAGGTATTATAAAACGAATTCATTAACGCCAAACGAAAGGGAATATATAACATTCGTAATAAGCGAATACACATTGGTGTACATCGGATAGGTTGAGTAAACTATAAACATTATTTTTTACAAAATTATATAAAAAATGTACATATATATATTGATATGAAGAACAGGGGCACAATAGATAGTACGTGTAATTAAGAAGATACAAGACATGATACATATCACTCGGAGATAAAACTTGAAACATTTAAGAATAAGTGATCCGGGTGCAGTCGATGTCAAAAATATACCTCATAAGAGAGCATTTAATATACCTGACACATGTCATTGGGTACCGTTTTAAAGGGAGATAATTAAATCTCTCTGATACATTTCAGAGTGTTAAAGAAGGATTATCTATCTAAGGCGTTTTATTGGACAGTGGTGTTGAACTCGTTGAAGGGAGATAATCTATGTGACACATTTGATTGGACAAAGTGTTAAACGAGATTATCTATGTGACACAATCCATTGGCCAGAGCGTTAAATGGAGATAATATATCTGACACATTTCATTAACCGGAGTGTTAGATGGAGATAATCTGACACATTTCATCGGACATACTTAGTCTTACAGAGGGGTAATCTAAGTGACAAAGTTCATTAGACAGTATGTTAAAGGGGTGCACTCTATATGACACATCGAATTGGCCAGAGCGTTAAGAGGATAATCTGCAAAACATTTCAGCGGACAGAGTGTTAAGGGAGATACTCTATATGTGACACATTTCATTGGCCAGAGCGTTAAAAGTTAATCTGCAATATAATCATTGGACATAGTGTTAAATGATCGAAGATAATACATCTGACTTATTTCATTGGCCAGGGTGTTAAAAGTTAATCTACAATATAATCATTGGACATAGTGTTAAATGATCGAAGATAATACATCTGACTTATTTTATTGGCCAGAGTTTTAAAAGTTCATCTGCAATATTATCATTGGACATAGTGTTAAATGATCGAAGATAATACATCTAACTTATTTCATTGGCCAGGGTGTTAAAAGTTAATCTGCAATATAATCATAATTGGACATAGTGTTAAATGATCGAAGATAATCAATTGACATCTGACTTATTTCATTGGCCAGAGTGTTAAATTAGGGAGATAATCTGTTTCATACATTTTATTTGACAGTCATAAAACAATAGTAACTATATAAAATTTCAAAGAAAATCTGTATTTGCAAGAAAACATTTTAGTATAGAAAATGAATAATTCTACAGGCAATTTCCAATCATTTATCAAATCAGATTACGTCTCACTTGTATTTAGTTTAGTTTCAATTGTAATCGTCACTAGTGGCAACGGATTGCTAGTTGTAGCCATAGTTAAGAAAAAACTTCTGCACACTCCCACGCATATCTTGATTGTAATTGTAGCAGCGAGTGACTTTTTCACAGGAAGTGTTGGAATACCCGTGCATATTGTTGGACAGTATTTCAACAAGAAATATTGTACAATTTCATTTTGTGCAACGTATTTGTCAACTTATATATCTAACATTATTGTTTTGATGATAGCAGTTGAAAGATACGTTTCAATTTTGCATCCATTTTCTTATGAGAGATTTGTCAGTGTGAAAAAAGCAGCATATGTGGCTTTAGGTGCGTGCCTCATACCAGTATTTCATTTGATCTATATTCCAATATTTTATACTTCATTATCTGGTATTGCAATTTGGGAAAATACGGATGGCATGCAGTGTCTTGTGACGGAGGTATGTCCAAAAATATTTTGCCGCATATTCTTCATTGAAACAATTCTGATTGGTACATTCATAATCGTGATTTATATGAAGATATTAGTGGTTGTACGGAGACAGCTTAAAGCTATAGCCACATTGGAAATATCTTGTGCTGAAACTGGAACCCAAGTTACCCAAGAACAGAAAGCTAATAAAAAAGCATTACAGAAGACACTGTTCTTGGGATTCTTGGCATTTTTCCTTATTTTATCCTGGCTGCCGTACACAATAGTAGCTATATTGGATTATGAAAAGGTTACAATTCCAGGCACTGTATGGTACATTGTTTTGTTGATAGCTTTCTCCAATCCAGTTGTCAACCCTATCTTATATGGCATACATCAACGGGTGTACTTGGACGCAGTAAAAGGGTTGTGTAGGAGGAATAGTCCTGAGAACCAAGATATAGGCCTATCATAATGTACATACTAGAGAAAATCTAATCTGATTAACGCTAATCGAGATGAGATTTAACTGTAGGATTCATAATGATGAAATAAGTTGTGTTTTAGACATTTAATGACTCATTATCCCAAACGAATGTTAATCGTTAGGGACCCTGCGCTCAGAGTCTAAAATTGTATATGCCTAAGAGACATATGGATCTGCCAAGAGTGAGTTTTCAAGGTAATTGCTGAATTCAATATGAACGTCTCATTTCGTTAAAGTATAGCTTGATAACTCAAATACCAATTGTCAGATCGATTTGGTTCAGAAGTTATGTGCCTTTGCCTCATAGATGACAAGCAATTTGATAAATATGTTTTGTTTTGCTGAATTAGCGTTTTGATGCTACTCTTGGGATTTGCTGTTTTACTAATTGTAAAGCTAACTGTATTTGAATTAGAAATGTTTTACAAATCTAAATTGTAAAATAAATATTTGTAATGTTCAATTGTAAAATAAAAATGATGTAGCTGTATGATGATTTTTTCTGTAACTGTTTTCTGCAACTTCTTTGAAACCATAGCATGTTATTTTATTTTGGGCGTTTTTACAATTCCAGGACACCGTTAGACAATATGTAAGATTCACTTTCGTTATTTTAGTAAAACGAGATCAGTTATATATATTTCACTAATTTGTGCAAATTGAATGGAAATTGCCAAAGTTAGAGACATTTTGATTAAAAATTCTGTGACTAGTCGCTTTGAATACCAGAACTTTGATCAAGAATAGTTTTCTCATTTCTCAAAGGACAAGGTGCAATTATTGGCATATATCCCTATGGTCAAAATGAATCATTTGTAAGTGTAACATGAAGAATAAAATGTCATATAATACTTTGGAAAATATTAAAGTGCTCGGACACACATAAGCTGAGATAGGGATCATTTCGTTCAGTAAGGTTGTATTGACTTACATGGGGCTGTGCACCATTGACTTAACATGAGGATATCAGCAGATCCCAATAGAGGCCATTGGTTTCCATTGATTATCACAGAATTACCAAAAATACACTATGACCTGAATCGATTGCAAATTCAATAATTTCACAGTATGACACAAATGGTTTATCTCATCAAATGTGCAAATATGAAGTTTGCAATCGATTCAGGTCATACTTAAAATTAAAAGATTGTACATTTTTTCATCATTTTTTCCCCTACAAAATGGCTATAGAAAAATGCTCCAAAAACAACTTTTACACTTATCAAATATCATACAAGTTTGTAAAACCAAAGATTATACTATTATATTTCATTATGTAGTAACATATTTGGATAAGATGCAGGGATGCGTAGGATGTAAATGGATTTTGACAGACACAAAAATACTTCCTGGTTTGGAATCTATGCCTCTACACTTCATGATTGAATTATGACCCTAATAAGTGGCCTATACATCAATACAGTGCTGAATATAGGTCAACAAGATACTAGTGTGCATATAAATGTAATAATTGAAGCAGAATACTCATTTTGAAAAATCAGATGAATTATTTTTTTCCCATGGGGAGATCCCAATGGAGGGTGTATAAGGTCCTTTACTCTTTAATGAGCAATGTTACACTGTACAAACTGTGAATTCCATCTGGCGAGTAAGAGCTCGCATTATAAAATTTTATGTAACAACAGTTACACTTAATATTATATTTTATTGTCTCAGACCTTAGTATTATAGGCAGATCCAACTAACTTGTATGGAGAAAAGAGCTTTCGATTCAACATTTTCAGTTAAGATTCAGGTTAATCATAAGCTCACCATGATATGATCTCTGTTGAGACCTCGATTATCTAGATAGCTTAGTAACAAGATCTCACTAAAAAGTTATATAATTATTGAATACATCTGTGATAATAATAGCAATCTACGTACATAGACATTTAATCAGGGAACATTGCTGGCACATCCTATTCATATTGAGTAACTTGAGACAACCATAATGTGTAGTCTGGGCTTCAATTACGCATTTGCTAGTAGGTATAAATTCGACGATGAAGTGCAGGACCGTAGCCAGGATTTGCCAAGGGGGGGGTTCATTTTTCAAAAATTTCCAGGGGGGGGTTCACATTTGACAATTTTGGCCCAAATATGGCTAAAATCACTTGAGAAGTGCTCAAAATGGTGAAAAACTGCATGATTTTGAAAGAATTTTTGGCCAGGGGGGGGGGTTCGCCCGAACCCTGCGAACCCTCCCCCTGGCTACGGGCCTGAAGTGATTGCATGTGTTGAAGACTACAAATATCTAGGGTGTATTTTCAACAGGAAAAATAAATTTGATAAACAAATATGCTATCTTTAAGAACAATCTAGAAATGCTTTATTCAAAATAAAGCAACAATATCACAAGTTTAATGACATTTCCATATCAGTTGCCTTACATTTATTCGATGCACTTGTCCAACCAATTTTGATGTATGGTTCAGAAATATGGTCAAGTAGAAAACATATGAAGTCACTTGAAACTATTCAACTGTCCTCTTTAAAAAGCATTCTTGGTGTGAAAACATCAACTTCACCACCAGCAGTCTATGGAGAACTGGGTCGTTTCCCTCTTAGTTTGTGCTTTGGTATTCTTCTTATTAACTATACTCTGCGTGCAGAGTCTAGTTAAACTACAGACGAAGCTCTCTTTTAAGAAGTGAAGTCAAACGAATGCAAAGGGTACTTATAAACTATTGGATACGACTTATACACAGATAACCTCCTTTATAATGCATATCTACAGGGTGGGCCAAAAAAACAATACCCAACTTTAAATCAGGATAAAAATTGTTACGTGCAATATGGTACATTGACTTATATATCATTTTAAATGCAGTTCATTTTCAAACAATTTGGTATATAGCACTATGTCATGAAATCAATAGTAAAGTTTTATTATACTTCTTTGGGAGGCCGGGTTGCTTTGTAGGGTCTCTAGATTTTAGGGAGAAAATAGTAAATTTGCGGGATTATGTTAATTTTCTATTAATAGAATATCATTTTGTAAGAATACATGCTTGCATATTTGCATAATTGTGTGACTAAACTTATTGTTTATGAATTTCAGTGTAAGCATGTATTCACCTAACAAAATGATATTCTATAAATAAAAAATTAACATTATCCCGCAGATATATATTTCAGATTTTTTAGTTTTTTGTGCAATAAGCCTGTGCCCTCTTGTAATTTGAAGAATTTCAGAAGCATCCAAATATAAAAGGCCACACCCTTTATAAGCTAAACTAGAAGCAATCCAAGATATACAAATATCATTCATGTACAATAGGAATATATTTTTCCATATATTATTGCATAATGATATTTTGATTTCTTATTTTTTAGGTTTTACTGACGCAATTAAACAGTGAAATGGACGTATTTTCTGATGTCAAGTAGTGAATCATCATCGATAAAAGTTCTTAATAAGTTTGCGATGGTATTTTTATATTCACAACTACTGTGATATAAGAAAGTATAAAGACATCGGAGGATGAAAGAAGCTTTGAAATCAGAAACATACACTAACAGTTCTGAACCTGATGACGCTCATATAGCATATTTGCAAATGATATTTTACTCGAGAACGAAAATACTTGCACGTACGTCAGTGGATTCTGATGTCAAGGGGATCTTTCAATAGACAATGTAGAATTACCAAATCCTGATCCTGATCATGATAACTCTGAGAAATGTTGGTATATTGTTTTGTCACTGTGTTCACAACGTAATTTGTAATAAAGCCATTAGCTGAATAGCTATTTCAATCTGTATCTGTTATAAAATCTTTGTTTTCTCAATATTGTTTGTACTCAAATACTGGTTACAAATATTATATACATATTTGAGTGGATATTTAGACAATCCAGGATAACTATCAAAAGTCTTCGTTGAAATATATTAATAAAAAGTTATAAAAAAACGATCATTCGGCTGAGCCAAGATTAAAAGTGGCCGAATCAAATGGGGTGAAAAGTATACATCATGTTTAATACCAGACTTCGATATAAAGTGGATACCGTACCTCTTTTTGTAACGATTTCTTTAGTTTCATCTTTTCTGTTGTGCTTTGCATCATGCATCAATTCAACTCTCTCCTTGGGCTCATTGCTTACACTCGACAGGCTTTTTCTTCTGGCCCCTGGAGAGGAAACTGATCGTTGAGGGAGATTATTCATCACTTCACTTGCAGTACTTGGATTGGTGTCTTTAGTAGCACGTAATTGTGTATCGTCCATTGACTTGGATTGTCTCAATACAAGTTTCTTCTTTATTGCGGACATTAGCCCTCCTTTTGCTGTCATTTTAGCTATGTAATATGCTTCAAAAGTTTTACTCAATGACTTAAGAAATCCGTTAATGTTATGGTTATTTCCGATATTTTGATTTTCCTCAAATTTATTAATCTATGTAAAATAGCCAGGCTAATCTGTAGGCATAACTCATGGATTTGTAGCGAAGTTCTTCCCTCTGGTGGAGCTATACTGTTTCGATAATTTGTTCCCGTGGTGTTGTGTCGGTTGTGTTGCGATCCACGAGTAAAGGATTTCTATTCACCCTTAAATGTCTTGAACTATATATTTCTAGCTTATTTAACAACTTATAGATCGGCGATAAACTTACTCAAGAACACCTAAAGAATTGACCTTATAAATATAACTCGATCAAATAGTGTTTAACTATTTAAACTAAACATTATTGTATACAGAAAAATAAATAAGCTGCTGGTGCCAAACGTTGGCATTGATTTTCTCAATGAATAATACATGGACAAAAGTAACACTGATATAAACAATATCACACTACAAAACCGTTTTATGAAAATTGGTAGCAATGAATGATTTCCAATAGTGGATATAAATGTAGTTCTAAGGGCATTAACCGCTTAAAAGTGACTGTGGGTCGGCATGACAATTCCGTTTCTATCATTCGAAACATACCCCTCGCTCGGTTTGACCTAATTTCGACCTCACTTGACCTACTCTTTAGAGGGCTGCCCAAGCATTTTGAAATGAAATTCCACTTAGCTTGCAATTGTCATGTTCTATTTTTTGATTACTGGTTAGAATATGTCACTTTTACTTACTCCATTTACTCCAGTAAAATCAGGAGCTCCTTAAAGAACAGTTATTGGACAACTCTGTTTCCTTGTTTATATCAATGATATGGGCAATAACCTATCATCCTCAGCCAGTCTTAAACTATTTGCTGACGACAGCATTTTATTCATGACAGTCGAAGGCAAGCAAGATCCATTAACACTACAGGAGAATCTTGATAAACTGGTCTCCTGGGCATCAACATAGCAAATGCAATTCCATCCATAAAAATGTGCTAAATATTCACAAAAGTACATCCCCTATCATTCACAATTACACAATGCTAGGGGAAAACCTTAATGCCTGGGTCACATTTGTTTCAATACATCGGCCGGCGCCCGGCCGATTGAATCTTTTGTTCAATATTGTATTCAATCTTGAACAAAATACTCAATCGGCCGGGTGCCGTAGCGAAAATCGGAGAAAATGTGACCAGGGCATAAGTCGGTAACACACGTCCCATACCTAGGTATTTGAGAGGTTAAGCTTTGCATATATAATCGAAACTGAACCTGTACGTATCACTCGACCATATACAAATTCATGTAGCCTTCTCATATAAATAGCCGTTCAAATCCAGTGTTTGTTTAGACTACACCATAGCGTGTAATGATTCTATAGTAATGTCATTGATGCGGTTTTATAGCTGGTTTTCTAATACATATTTTAAACGAGCTCGTTTCGTAAGATTTTTGGCGCTAAAGCATGCATGACATACATCATCGTGTTCAGCAAGAATTCAACTGTGCACCGAAATCATAATTGACAGCATAGTGTTCAATAGACACGAGTAAAATGGTTCCCGTTGACCCAACGTCAAATTTCAAAATCTCCCGTTCTAAACCCGAAACTATGAAGCTGAAAGAGTATCTGAAGTAGACTAAGCGCGCATAAAACTTTGAGCGCTCGATACATTACTTTGTTAATTTTTGTACTTTGCGTTCACGGTTACGTTGTGAAAAACATCGTTAGCTTAACCTCTCCATTGACATCACAAATAACTTACGCTGGACAAAACATATTTAAATTATTGTATATCCAAAGCCAATAAGGCACTCGGATTTCTCAGGCAAAACCTCCATCAATGCCCTGAAAAAGTGAAGGCTCAGGCGTATAAGTCACTAGATAGCCCGGCCTAATTTAGAATATGTCAGATCGGCATGGGATCCATACCGACAAAAAGATATTGATATGTTGGAACAGGTACAGAGAAGAGCAGCCAGGTTTGTAACCAAATGTCACTCAAGGGAACCAGGCTACGTCACCAAAGCTCTTCAAGACCCAGTTTTCCTTTTTTACAAAGGAAAGCAGAACCTATACTAGCAGCCATCGACGTGCCTCCATGCTTCCGCCAACAGGTCAATACCAACACTAGTTTGTATCATCCATCTAAGTTCATACAATCAACTAGAACATATGCATACAAATAGCCATTCTGATACTCAGACCATCTCTGCTATGCACAAGAAGGAAATTGAGAGAAGGCTGTGATATCTCACGATGACAAATAGCTATTTCCCTAGGGCAATAGCTAAATGGAACACGATCTGGTGACATCTAAGACTGTGACAGTCTAAGTAGCTTTTAAAATCATCATACTATGCCTATGTCAATAACTGCAATTAAATAGGTGTGTTTTAATATAGATCTATGTTTTAATGTAAAAGGTCCCCAGTGCACAGCAACAAGCCTGCACTACTGGTAAAGAGGGGTGATGTCAACGCGGTAGCCTGACAGTCGCCCGGCCCCAGGGTATTTCAACACAAAGAGACTTCCTAGGCGGGTACAGGGGCCAACCAGGAAGGTTCCTTCTTCAATTTTAAAATGAGTTGTAAACCATAGATCTTTTTTTAAATGTTAAGGTTTTAAATTATATTCTATCGCCCTCTATTCAAATTCTATCACTGCTAAATTATATATATGCTTTAGTGAGCTTATTAGCATAGGCCAAGGGTAAAGTAATAGTAAGCTATATATAGAAGAGACAGGTATACAAGTAAGATTGAAAAAAATTCAAAATGTTTTAGTCTTGGCACTAGTTCTCCTTCCTGGTATCAAATTGTATTCCCAAATCTCTCCAAAATCTTCTTCAAAGTCTTTTTCAAACTTATATCATTGTTTTTTTTCAAATCTTTATCTAAAAACTGTATATAATACTGCATATAAAACAACAACTATGGATATCTGCAATTGCCTGGCAAGCTGAAACTGATTTGGTTGGTTAATACAGAAATTGTCACTGGTGGAGGTCAGGGAGGTCAGCAGTGACCAATCAGATCACTTGTTTACAAATGTACCTTTTTCTGGATAATGAACTTGCCAAGCAATTGCAGATTTTCAGAAATTCTCACTTTTAGACAGCATTATTCACTCTATATCATCTGACTGAGTTTCAATCTTAGGTAAGAGCTACAAACTATCAATTTTCTATCAACTGCCCATTGCTTTTTGAAAATAATACACTAAATATTGTTGAAATAAGTCAGACTTGTGTACCTGTCTCTTCTATATACGGCTTACTATATTACTTTGGGGCCCCACCGTTTTCCCTCGGCATATGCTTACAAGTTACCCTTTTGCAGATTATTGACATAGACATAAGACAGTAGACACTTGCATATATTCAATTTCAGAACAAATTTTCTATTTTTGTCACTCTCAAAACGTCAGATGGATGTCCAAAATTGTCATCTGTAAGGATATATTTGTCATTGTTCGTTTTTAAATTCCAAAATCACATTCAACATGATGAAATTAATTCCTTGTATAACTTTACACATATTTGATAGATGTCACTGTAAACTCTGAACATCCGGGCTTTCAACCGGCAAAATGGCGACCAGCGACAGAGAGAAGGTCCTCGGTGACTACCGAAAGAAACTGGTAGAACACAAAGAATTGGAAGCTAGGTTAAAAGAAAGTAAGCATATGATAAAAGTAGAAGTTGAGTGGTAACATGTGAGCTATTTTTATCCGAAAAGGACTGTGTTTACAACAAAACATGTGGAAAAAAACATTACGCTGAGTCACATTTTTGAACTCTAGCCTAATTTTTCCCATATTTTCTTTTGTATTTTTCTCTTCCTAGTTTTCATCAAAAACTTAGAAAAAACGTCTTGGATCCTGTTCTTGCTTATGCCGTACTAATTAATTTACGTGGAGCACCAGGTTCACGATAGACATCGTTCTTAAGAGTTTGAAAGTGAGCTGTAAGATCACAATTATCACATATTATCGCCCACTAGATCTAATGTCTAAAGTCAGATCATGGGCTTTCAACTAGATAAAAATAGAAACAATTATGGCCTAACTTTTGTTTATATTGGTTTGTTTTGTAGTTTGGGAAATTCAAAGCACTCACTAGTTATCCCGTACCAGGACTATAGTCCTGGACCGAGCGCAATCTTTTGCCTGTACGATTGCAACTTGGGATAATTATCTACGCCCCTTACACTTAAAATACCTACTTTAATAGATTCCTTGGTATTTTAGCATTCTTTTCATGTATTTGAATCCACAATTGTCTGGGTATATTGAGTATTCTTATCGCATCCTACGACCCCTTTAGATTGTGGTCGTATGCCCGATTCATTGGTAAGCATGTCTTTCTACAATGTCGGAGAATGAACTACGCATTGCACTATTAAATGACCTACCTCGATACATTCCAGAGTATTTTACAATTCTTTTTATGTTGTTAGATCGCCAGATCGTCAATTCTTTAGATATACCTCCATGTACTCTAAAAACAAATCTACATTCACTTTGGCTTCACTTCAGTTACAGTTGTAAATTTATATGGAATTTGCCATATAAATTTATTTTCCCTTTCCATGACATTAGCACATATATGCAAGGCATTAGGGAAAATAATTTCGATTTGCAAGAGTGTTGTGTCTTTTGTGTATCCACAGGTTCAATTTGTGTAAATTGTGTTGGAATATTTTGAGCTCAACATTACATGTGTGCCAAAAAACTTTGATGAGCTATTTCTCCAGTTGTAGATGCACTGATATTTTCATGGGATTACAAAATGACAATTTTCGGTAAAATATTAGCAATAGTATACTTTTCATGGGATTACAAAATGACAATTTTCGGTAAAATATTAGCAATAGTATACTTTTCATGGGATTACAAAATGACAATTTTCGGTAAAATATTAGCAATAGTATACTGTATAGGTGTAGCACTACATGATTCTTTGTTCTTTTATTTCAGTGCGAGATCAACTAAAAGAACTCACAAAGCAATATGACAAATCTGAGAATGATCTTAAAGCCTTGCAGAGTGTTGGACAGATCGTTGGAGAAGTCCTCAAACAACTAACTGAAGACAAGTTTATAGTGAAGGCGACCAATGGGCCTCGTTATGTAGTAGGCTGTAGGAGACAGCTGGACAAGACAAAGCTGAAGGCAGGCACTAGAGTAGCTCTCGATATGACAACTCTCACCATCATGAGGTTAGTATATTAAATAGATGATAATATAACATTATATTATATTATATATCCTGCCTATATTAAGACATGGGGATTTTCCTAAATCTATAGTCAATCACCTCCTGTTCCTTACTCTCAGATTTGACTGAGAACAATATTCCTGAAAAATCCTAAAATCGTACACTAAAAAAACTCACAATCCAACCGATTCCCCCTCCATCCCAAATTAATTTATTTCGATTATTTTTTGTATAATGCATGGAAACTAACTAAAAAGTGAGCAATGTCATAAGTATTGTGATAATAACGTTCCTTATACCTATTTATTACAGGTCGTGTAGACCATTGTTGCCCGATTTATAGCAAAAACATTGACTTTTGCACGTTGGTGATGATGCGCCTTTTTTAATAGATCTCATATCTTAGAAGGATATCAGTTCAAAAAAATACTAGATGACCTAACATATTTTGCCATGCACTGCGCCTATTCATTTGGTAATTCAGTTGTAAATTTTCTCTTGAAAAAATAAATCTTCCCAATTTGTTGAGTTTTCTTGCAGAAATCGCCTAATCCCCCCCCCCCCCCCTCCATCATTTTTGTACGATCACCGGGCGTGAAAATGTCATGCACCAATTATGCACCTGGGAGCAAGAATAACTGGTCAAATAAAGTCAAAATTGCTATTATCGGTTAAAAACTATTTCAGAGTCCCTACTCCTGGTATGAGGTGCATCAAAAATACTCTACAAAACCTTGGGGAGCATGAGGACTAGGGGTCCCATGATACGAGACCATTTTTCGTAAAAGAACATAATTTCTGAGAACTCAAATACCAGTTGACGGTTCAAATTTTATATACCAATGCCTAGATGCAAAGGAGCTCTGTTAAAGAAGAATTTTTTAAGATGACACCTGAATTTAAATGGCGGCTTATTTGGTAAAAAATATAATCGTTGATAACTCAAATACCAGTGATCTGATGTGGTTCAGATCTAATATGCTGATACCCAGGGACAAGAAGAAATTTTCAAGATAACTGCTATTTATCAAAACATGTTTTGTTTGGTGAGATTCGCTACTCCATGGAGTTGTTGTTGTCTATTTGAACAATGATTGGCAGGTGGTAGAGGTGGCATCTCATTTTCTGTCTGCACAGTCATTATTTCAAGACAAAACATACTGATTGTATTAAATTTTCAGGGATGGATCTAAAATTGACTAGTTTTTGGAATGTAGGGGAAATTTCAATGTGGCCTTTTTTGATTTTTGGGTACAGTGTTATTCATCATATGTCTTATTTCATTTCAGGTATCTCCCCCGTGAAGTAGATCCACTAGTCTACAATATGCAGGCCGAAGACCCAGGAAACATAAGCTACTCCTCAGTTGGAGGTTTAGGAGAACAAATCCGAGAACTGAGGGAGGTGATAGAACTGCCATTGTTGAACCCTGAGCTGTTCCAACGTGTAGGCATCACCCCTCCTAAAGGCTGTCTCCTCTATGGTCCACCAGGGACAGGAAAGACCTTGTTAGCAAAGGCTGTTGCATCACAATTAGATGCTAATTTCTTAAAGGTAAAACGAAAATACTGACGTTTCTAGATTAATGTTATGTCTGTTAAAATTGTTTTGGCTCTTTTGTGAAGTATATAGAATTATATTTTGTAACATTGGTCTAAATTGAAGATAAGGCTTATACTTAGTTTCAGTGTTGATGTATCAATGTCTCTATCATATTTATTATGAATAGAGGTATAGGTACTGAAGTATATTTTGTTTTTCTTTCCCCCCATAGGTAGTTTCAAGTGCTATCGTAGACAAATACATCGGAGAGAGTGCTAGGCTGATTAGAGAAATGTTTGGATTTGCAAGAGATCACGAACCATGTATCATATTTATGGACGAGATAGATGCAATTGGTAAGATAAATCAAATATTCTATTCTATATAGTTCTAGTGTCTGTTTTAAAGGCAGATTCAGATCTATAGGTTGTTGATCTATAGCAACATGTACAATTGACCAACCAATCTATTTCTTGCAATCTTAGATACAGTATTTCCCAAAATAGATATGCGATATGTTATAAATTGGTGAAATTATTAAGGATTCAAAGTGCGAAATTAGGAGGAAATGTTTAAATTCTCCCAAATAATAAAAAAGTGATATAACGATTATTATAGAAAATAATACATTATTGTAAATTGTTTTAGTTTTCCTGAAATAAAGTTTGCACTTTTGGGATTTTTAGAAAATAGAAATGACAAGCAATGGTATGACTATGAGCAAAAAGTATTCTAAAATAGAAATGATTTTTTGTTTAGCTTGCTCGCTAGATTTGATTCTCCCTTTAACCTTTACTTGACCAATAAAGTCAAACTGACATTTTGGAACACTTAACACAGTTGACTTATCAGTGATGAAAAAGATGTATATGTTAGATGTTTACACTAATGGCTTTTAATAGATTCATTGATTTTGGTAATATCTTTGTATCGTAGTTGTCTAGCCATGGCTGAGGAGGGAATTCAAAAATATGAAAGATTTTGCCAGGGTTTTATAAAGTTATAATGCATCTGTTTAAGATTCCACTGATGGCCTTTACTTGTTAAAAGTTATACTTAAATTTTGGATATCCACAAAGGTGTACAATTTGTACTGTTCACTTTTGGAGCCTTCAACCGGTTATATTCTATAATAAAGTTAATAAGTATACAGCATTTGTGAGCCATATTGAGTTATTATAAACAAACTATATGTTATTGTAAACAATCTATATTTTATGATAAAACAAGCCATGTTATCACAGACATCAATGTGTTATGATTACCTGGTATCTATTTGATGTTCAGGTGGTAGAAGGTTCTCTGAAGGCACATCTGCTGATAGGGAGATACAGAGAACACTTATGGAGGTATGTACTGCATATGCATTCATCAGATTTTTACATTTGAAGCAAGTTGGTAGAAGTATAGAAATATAAGCAGCTTGACCAGACTAGCTTTTTGCCAATTTGTTATTCATTTCTTAATTTTTAAACACTAAATTTTTTTTCATGAAATCGATAATATATATGAGTTCGAACATTTGAAGTTTCAACACTGCTAAATTTTAAGTCACTTTAAAATGAATGTATGGCACATATAGCTCCAAGGGATATCCCCTGGATTAATAGTTTGTAAAGCAGTTCAGTTTGTTTTAAAACAAGGTAAGTGAGCTATATCAAAAGTGTTAAAATACTCGTGGATATTGCTTGGGTATTTTCCCATTGACTCCAAGCCTGCGACTGGCAGGCTCTTTTGTATAAGAAATTGTAATTGAAAATAAATATTGACTATTAATAATAAAAAATTGACTCCCTTACAAATGCCTCATTATGGATGTAGTAAACCTCTATATGACATATATTAACCTGTATTGTTGCTATCCTATAGTTGCTGAACCAGATGGATGGCTTTGACACACTAGGCAAGGTAAAGATGATCATGGCCACCAACAGACCAGATACCCTGGATCCTGCCCTTCTCAGACCTGGTAGAATAGACAGAAAAATAGGTAGGCTTTTGTAATGTCATATTGTTCTCCAACTTCTTTGTGGACAGTGTTTGGCGTTCGGTGGTGGTTGTCTAACAAATGGCTGGTGGTGACATTTCGCACATAAATGCCTTGTTTCAGATAGTGAAGGCATTGAGCTGTCTGTTCATGTAACTGATATTTCAAAAACTGTTTTGTGTGCAGTGACAAGGTCAAATGTAAATTTAATGCTATAGTGGACTGTGCTACTCACAGAATTTTTGATTATGCACTTTGACTTTATACCCAGAGATCTCTCAACCATAAGACAGACTAGATACTTCATCCTGTACAAAATCTGACAATTACCTGCTACTCTGCAAAAATTCTATTAACACCCTGCCAAATGGTGAAATATTGGATTGTTACCAGAGCAGGTGAAATAGCCTGAAGCATCTTCTTGCTGCCTGTGGAGATCATTTGTGATTTTATCAAAATTTGTACTGAAACATTGAACAGCTGGATCAGTGAGGCAGCTACGAGCCCTGCCACATTGGCAACATTTTCACTAACTGTTTCTCTTCATATAATTATTGTGAATGTAGTATCAGCATGGTCTACTTGATAATGACCATTGTACTTTATGTACAGGAATGAGAGTGGCCATATTTCCTGCCACATTGGCAACATTTTCACTAACTGTTTCTCTTAATATAATTATTGTGAATGTAGTATCAGCATGGTCTACTTGATAATGACCATTGTACTTTATGTACAGGAATGAGAGTGGCCATATTTCCTGCCACATTGGCAACATTTTCACTAACTGTTTCTCTTAATATAATTATTGTGAATGTAGTATCAGCATGGTCTACTTGATAATGACCATTGTACTTTATGTACAGGAATGAGAGTGGCCATATTTCCTGCCACATTGGCAACATTTTCACTAACTGTTTCTCTTAATATAATTATTGTGAATGTAGTATCAGCATGGTCTACTTGATAATGACCATTGTACTTTATGTACAGGAATGAGAGTGGCCATATTTCCTGCCACATTGGCAACATTTTCACTAACTGTTTCTCTTCATATAATTATTGTGAATGTAGTATCAGCATGGTCTACTTGATAATGACCATTGTATTTTATGTATAGGAATGAGAGTGGCAATATTTCCAACTTTAGATGCAAGATCTATTGGATACTACCATGCTATGCTAAATGTCAAATGTTATTAAATATTAATGTTACTATGTTTCAGAAATTCCACTTCCAAATGAACAAGCTAGAATGGATATTTTAAAAATACACGCCCAACCAATAGCCAAACACGGGGAAATAGGTAAGACATGTATTTGTTAAATCTTTGTTTAGGGAATCTCACTGGTTTGAACCCAAACTAACACTCACATGTCATAGAATAAATGAATTATGAATGGAAAACATTATTAAGGTAAAAACTATCGAACATGAAGGTAAAATATGTATCAAATCTCTGAAATGATGATATGTAGAATATGGACCTCGCAAAGTACTGTTACTATGTAACTATGATACAAACTATTCGATTATATGCATTTATAGTTCAAACTTGATTTTAGATTGGGAAGCTGTGGTGAAGCTATCAGATGACTTCAATGGAGCAGATCTCAGAAATGTGTGCACAGAAGCAGGTTAGTTAGTTAGTTGAAATTTAGGGAACAACAAAGGGCAACATTAAAGGAAGAAATTACTAATTTATCAAAAACTTCCTGTAATTAGAAATCATGCCATACAAAGATTAAGTCATACCTAAATTAGAAATGGATTAGTCGTGCCGAAAAGGTCTTGCATTATTATCCTGTCAAACAAAGTTTTTGGGGATATAGAAAAAGGCTCTGTCAGTCCATTTCAAAATCATTTTACTAGTAGTAGTGGAATGATTTGTTTATGTTTGGTATGTGAATACTCATAAGTATGGTACATATAACACTGCTGTCATAACACGTTGGTTATAGTAGGTCTCCATTTCAAAAAAGGGTGCCATTTTTATGTGTAATTTTATGTTTATGTACTATAACTCGAAAAGTAGTGGAGAGATTTTGTTGAAATTTTATATGTGTCTACTTAGAAGCAAATTGCACAATCTTATGATAATTGCAATTTTTAATTGTGTTAATTTTGCTATAACTGAAATGGAGCGATTTTGTTGAAATTTCATATGTGAATACTCTTTCCAAACGTTTTGGCTATTAAGCAGCCATTTTAAAAAATTGGAAATTTATGTGTGACATTTTACACTTTTTGCTACAACTGAAAAAGTGGTGAGGCGATTTTAGTGAAATTTTATATATGAATACTTATTTCTATACAACACTGTCTAATGACCATTTGGCTACTAGGCGCAATTTCCAAAAATGGCTGCCAAAGCTGTTTGATGGGATTTGCTACGACTCGGTGTTCCTGTTCTCTAGTTTATGTAAATACGATGCACAAGGGAGGGGATGATAATAGAATTAAAAACCAATTAACATTCAGATTGCTGTCATAATTGATTTATTGTTATTATACATAAAGAAATTAAACAATAAGCGTCCCAATAGAGATTCCATTATGCAAAATATTAATTTACTTTACCACGCTTGGCAGCTCTTCGACTTAACATGAAACACAATTCTTCCTTTTTGAAGAAAAAATACCTGAAGCTTGTTATGAGAGTCAAAAGAATTCTCAATATTTCAGTTCATGCATAGTTCACAGCGATAATAATTTTTTTAAAGTAAACATTTAGCTAACCTGAAATTTGTTGGGTTGAAATGAATTCCATTTGGGAATAATTTGGTTGCTTAATTTCATATCATGGAACAATTACAAATAAACAATATTCCAGCCATAGAGCATTATGCTCTAGGTATTTTATCTTTTATCAGTTCATACGGGATTGTTTTACTGGTAAAAGGTCTATGTCCCTTGAGTATTTAGTGGCTTTTTGTGTTTATGTAATTTGTAAAAAATGAGATTTATTGAGTTGAATAAAACTGGCTTAATTTCAAAAGATATATCATGTATGCAAAGAGCATTTATTGAGTTTATCACTCTTAAAAGTGTGCTTGCTCTGACATGCAAGTTAGAATAGTAATTCTAAAATCCAAACTATGGAATTGAAACCCTGGATTTGTGTTAATCAATGAAATCATAATCTAGCAGTCGGTCAGTCAATGAACCTTCAATTACAATGCATTGTCTTGAATTGATCAACCCTAGATGACATAGCACCCCTAGAATTGTGTTAATATATCTAATATTTTATAAGAGAAATTGAGAATCTTCAGATTTAGTTATCTTAACCTAATTGTGAAGAATTGATAGCTGAGGCTAATACTGGAAGGAGCGATAACTTGATATGTCGAATAAGAAGCTTTATTAAAGATAATAGACATGAAACATTGGTCTGCGCTCTGTCATGCATAAGCAATATCCCCTGATGATAAACATCCGAATTCCTTGATGACTTCTGAAATTTCTGATAAGATTATAGCATTCCTTGTTATTTCACTTGTTAATGTATTTCAGGGGTGAGTGGGAGGGGAGCACTCAAAACGATGAAGTTACAAATTTGTTGATATCTTATACAACATATTGATATGATTAGCATAGCATGCAATATTTATTGTAAGTTTAGTCAGGTTGATGCAGGGTTCAGATGCGAAGGTCACGAAACCTGCATATTTGTGTAGAATGTTCAGACTACAGAACCTGGAAGAAATTGAATTGAGAATGTGAATAGTGTTTAGTGTGAGGCCTAGATTTACTGTCTAAAAACAACCATGCATAGAAAATATTTAATGCACTGTAATTGACCAATCAAATGGCCTGAAAAGTGCCCAGGCATTCCTGGCTGTTTAAGCATTTATTGTAACTAACCCAATACAGAAATCATCAATACTTATAGGAAAAACTAGCCATTGTATATAAATGCATGGTTATTTTTGCCTTGGCCTTGATTCATTGAAATTGATTACCTTTGTCAATTACTAAATGTCAAGGGCACGGTTATTTATCCAACAAGCAGATGTGCAGATTGCTGGTGCAAAACATGAAAAGGGATACAGATTTATTGACTAATTTAAACTGTTTATTTTATTTTTTCTTAAATAGAATATCCAGGCACTTGAAAATTAGAATTTGATTTAGAGGGAGAATGTACATGTATGCAACAAACACCTTGAAACTTTGATTTTAGTTAGGCCAGATGTCAAAACGACCTGTAGTATGGCTGCTGTTGCAAATGTTGTACAGTACAAGTCTATTTCTAAAGATACAACTCTTTTGCTCTGTGAAAAAAGGATTTAAGCACTGGACTCAATGCTTTCTATGTGATATTTATCACAGGTAAAGCATGGGGTCATGTGCTTAAATTCTTAAATGATTCTCAAGTACTCATCCTATGTTAATATTCCAGGTATGTTTGCGATCCGAGCTGAAAGGGACTTTGTCATCGAAGAAGATTTTATGAAAGCTGTGAGAAAAGTGGCAGAAAACAAAAAACTAGAATCCAAACTTGACTATAAACCTGTATAGATAATACAAATACTTGACTATAAACCTGTATAGATAATACAAATACCTTGTAATACCTTGTGTGACTACAGACAGTGACTTGAGAGATAAAGTTAAGGCTCTTTTGGGATATGGCCCCGTCGGGATAAAGATATGGCGATATTAAGATAAAATTATGGCTGAGTTGTGGTAAAGCAGTATGACTGTTGAGAAAATCCTTGACTCTGTTGAAACAAAGCTATACCTGTTTGATTGATAATATATTGTCTGTTGATGTAAAGCAATATGACTCTTGAGATAAAGCAGTATAGCTGTTGAGATAAAGCTATGGCTTTGTTGAAATAAAGCTATGACATTTGATAAATATATAGCTCTGTTCATTATGATATTACTCTGTTGATATAAAGCTATATGACACTATTGAGATAAAGCAGTGTGACTGTTGAAATAAAGCTATATCTGTTTGATAAATCTATAGCTCTGTTAATTAAGATATTGCTCTGTTGATGTAAAGCTAACTATATGACTCTGAGATAAATCTCAGAGTTTGTTGATATAAAGCTTTGATTTTGTTGGGATAAAGCTAAGGTTCGGTTGATATAAAGCTATTGCTTTGCTGAACTCAAATTGTACGTGCAATGACTATAAATAAGTCAGGCTGTCTTAACTAGTGGTCTCCATTGAGACTTCAGACTGATTAGTGATATGCCATAAATGTCTACTTTATTATCATTGTACTGTCATCTCTACATATTAAGCTAATTCATATGAGCCTGTTAAAACAAAGGGTGATATGGTTGATGAACAATATACATCTCAGTGTTCTCCCAAGGATTTCTATCGCACCCTAAGGTGCTATATTGTAATCAGTTTGCTGGGCGGGCGGGCGTCCCGAATAATCTTGTCTACAGGTTTCCAGCCACACCGTTTGAGGGATTTTTCTCTAGTTAGTGCAAAATTCTCATTTTCACAATTCAGAAAAAAATATGCCCATTTTTCATGATTTTTCTCATTTTCAAGTGGGTGCAAATAGATTTTCAGGCGGGTGCAACTCTGTTTTTGAAATCTCAGGTGGGTGATGCGCCCACTTGCTTTAGTGCCAAGGAGATCACTGTATCTATTCACTGTGGGGATTTCAAACAAGGGGTTTCAACAATGGATTGTTTCGGTAGCGGCATGGTGACAGACGTAAGAATTCAAATAATCTCTACACCTTTTGTACACGCATGCTATGTATCAGAAAATCTTAGTTGAATCATGAAAATCAGTTCACATAATATGGGTTTGTGTTTGTCACCATATGTTACCAAAGAAATCCGAAGTTGTAACTCCCAGTTCAGGTTTCTCCACAGTGCTACGAACCTCACTATTGACCTAGGCACTTCTTGACCTAATGAAAATGTAACACCTACATTGACATCGTTATGAAGTTAATAAGTACAATAAGTCAGTTGATCAATACCTCAATCATAGAGCCCTTATCTGCAAGGACGTTCAGATAACTAAGCTATAAGACTGTAAAGTAAGACTGTAATTCAGCATTATCCGGATAAGCACTCAAGATTGAGTCTAATTGACAGTTTGAAATATTAACATCCTGTTTGCTTGGTGGTATAAATTGATGGTCGATTTAGAGCTTCAGTTAAGAATTCACTTGTCACAACCAGTTTACTTTTGATACGGACCATTGGATATTTACATTAGTCAATCGGTCTAACTTAACCTTTTCCCTGAAATTTGTATTTAAATTACTATCAACATTCATGCTTGATTTAAATGAGCGCCAGTCCATATTCAATATATAGATAGTATATATGGGTATTATGTATGGATACTTTATATGATATTTTGAAAACAGAGTTGCACCCATATATACTATATACGAGGCATGCATAAACACTAAACGAAAGCTTTTATGAAAATCTCCACAAAAAGAAGAAATATAAGAAATCTAAAAAATTGACAAAGTTGGGCAAGGGCATTTGCCATATGGATCTGTATCTCTGGCACATCCTTAGCAAGAGCCCAGAGTGGTCAGTGCATCTCATTATAATACGATGTACAGTGTAATAAAGTTTATAAAATATAACATATGACTTTGAATAAGAAAATATGATAATTTTGTGTGTGTTTGGAATAGAAACCCCTAAAGTCAATTAACATGAAGGATTAAAACATAGATACATTAGATGAGCATTTTTTTGATATTTATTTAAAAATTTTCATGACAATATATATTTCTTACCGTCCAGGGCATCAGAGAGAAACAAGGCATTAACATGCAAAATGTCACGACCTGCCATTTGTTCCGACCGCTGGACGCCACAAAATAGTTGGTGCCTATAACAATATGTCACCACTTGTGGTGTATGGTGGTGACATAATAATTTATTACATGATGGTGAAATTCCCTCCAATCTTATTGGTCCACGTGACTTAAATATATCCTGTATTTATACGCGCATTCCACTAAGCGTTGGATACAGAGTGAAAATGACGTCAGCGTTGGGATACGGTCCAGTGAAAATAAAGAAAATCAAACGTATCGTATAATACAATAAAAGCAAAACAAGGCCGAAACGATTTTGAAGGAATATCGATGTAGGCATAAAATATCTTTGAGGTGAGAAGGTTGATCTGTTTCTCCGGTCCCAAGACAAGGAAATTGACCTGATCGATTTAGGGGAGTTTTATCTGAGTAATGGAATAAAAACGTTATTCAATGATTCGAGTGAAATACAGAAAATATTCTTCCCAAGAATGTCGTATTTCACGATGCGCTAGCAGAGTGAAGACGTTCAGTATTTGATAACTTGTGGCCATATTGCATTCAGATATGTCGGGAAGTGGTAATGCAAACCTGTTTTTGTTAGGAATTATTTCCATCCCAACTCGCTGCAACTTTGCTGCTCTTGCCAAGTGAATGTCACATGATTAACATTGAGCTAAATTCTTACCAGAGTTGAGATTGGCAATTGAGTCGTATATTTTAATTTTTCCTTGACTTGAAATTGAGAGATGTGTCAAATTTACACAACGTTTTGGCCTCTGCTATCTGGTTGTTCTTTTGAATGAAACACTCGATTTTTGTCACCAAAAAATGGTGACATTTTGTTTAAGACAGCCGTGATTGTTATGCTTTCACATATATTTATGAATTTATGACCGAGCGATATGTTTGGCCAAAAATGAATTTTGAATTAAACTGTAAAATAAAACACTCCCAACTAGTAACTTTGAAGAACCGGCGGGTTACCTGCTATAACTTGGCTCTAAGCTGCCGCAGATTGAATTTAAGAATATACTTCGGTTTTCAAATAAAGCCACGGATCACATGGTTAATTACGTTGACGAAATTTTTATCGAAGTAACATATTTACAAAATTCCAGCGCTCTAACGTAGGGACTATTGGGATCGCTGCTTTATTTGGAAACCAAATACTTGGAACTGGGAAGCCAGTATATTCTCAAATTGGACTTTTTCTACATCTTATAGTCGGTATCTTTGGCTTTAAGTAGATGTAAATCAGAAAACAAAATCTAAAAACCGGAAGGTCATCCTATTGTTACTCTAACACTACGTCAAAGTAACTAGTTTGGGAAGCAGCAGACATGTTTTTTATCGATTTATAGCTTTTTGAGAACTTTTTCAACCGTTTAATGTTGATGGACTCAAAACATCTTTATAGACACGTAATGTAAATGAATTTGGGTATTTCATCTCGTGTTAGCATATCATTTAAGATTTCAGACTGATTAGTGAAATTTTAGACTGATTGGTGAAATTGGTTTACAAACCGTTTTCTTTAGATATCAATCTTTTAAATAAAATTACTCCTCAAATAACAAAACGTATCGATCGTCAAAAAATTCACGAGACACAATCACCTCTTAGATCGAGACCTTTGTGTTTTGAGAGGTTGTTCAATTCAATAAGTTAACATTTTTTAAACCTTCCGAATTTGAACCATTAGAGTTATATGAATAATGAATAAAAGGGTAGTCTCTATAACTGGTCATACGTTTTATTAATATAAGATTTTTTCATTTTCATTGATCTGTAAGTTGCACCATCGATGTTTAGATTATTTTTATTTTAAATGTCCATGACTTGTATTATTTAAATGTAGACACCTCAACACAGTTTGACGCAAATTAAACAACTTCGAAAATATTTTTTAGTCATTATATCTATATATTTATAAAAACAGAAATTTCAGATTAAATTTAGTTTACATACACATTTTTGTAATTTTGCAATCATAATTCAGGTTAAGTAAATCAGGACGAACTCCTCCGACTATAGGCGACAAGTGCAATTTGAACTGGTGAAGCACCCCTCGTATGTTTACTAATACTTTTCATGCCTTTAAGAGGTCTTTTGGTGCTATCACTACGGTTGCTCTTAATGTTACTATTGTCATGAAATTTAAACTGACTCGGACCATAAGACCCATTTGTGCTGTTGTTTACAGACAAAACAGAGCCATTTTCATAAGTCACATAATGTTTTTCACAACTTGGATTCGGACTTGCTTCAGAGGATGATACTAAAGATGAGCTTCGATCACTACTTTTTAAAGTCATATTACGTTTGAGCGTTACAAATATATTTGTATTAGAATCGGAACTTGATGGGTCGCTTGAGGCCGATGACTGTTTGAACAAACCTATACAGCAGGCACACTTTGTCAGGTCCTCGCGGAATCTCCGTCCGCAGGCGACATACAGGTAGAAGTTCATGGCACTGTTTGTGAACCAAATCCTATTGGTGACGATATAGAGAGTGGTGAAACTTTCTTGGCTGAGATTGTCCCCGATTGCTCCAAACGTCTCCAGCATGATGACCACATTGAATGGTAGCGTTAGTATTAAGACTGAAAGTGATACGATCAACAGCACTGCAGTCATTTGGTTTTCCCGATGGCTTGAAATAGTGGGAGTTGATCCTAAATTATTGGTCCGTTGGCGCTTGTTATGTCTAATGGAAATGATGATGCTTGTGTTGAAGGTGATAAGGAACAATGGTGGGAGGATGGATTCTATGAAGGTGTCCATCCAGGGACTGATAGTCCCAAAGTAATAGTTGTATTCAACATCCGGGTCGTAGACCCCACAGTCCTCTGGAATGCCGTCGCTATCTTTGATAACATAGGTGGTAAAAGGCATATGGAAAATCCGAATAGCTAAGAGGGGATATAAAACAGAAAGTACAATCTTGGCGCGCTTACTAGAACACCACGTCCTGGATTGCATCGGGAAAAGAACGGCGAGGAAACGATCGACCGTCATGCATACAACCGTCCATATTGATGCCTCGCCTAGTAACGAGACACTATAGATCCACACTTGACAAAATAACAGAGTGACGAGGTTAGTTTCGGACGCTGAGCGGAAGATCCACTGCGTCAACCACGCCAGGTTTTGACTAAAGTCCACCACCGCTAGAGCGGTCATATACACACAAAGTGACTTGTTTCTATTTCTCGATCGTGTCATTATAAACACCGAAAGTATGTTGCCAATCACTCCAAAAGCAATTACAACTGGAGAGTAATATAAATCAAACGTCCTTGCGTCCATCCTAATTATTAGTATGCAACAACAGGCGACTGAAACTAGCGCCTTTAGATATTCTATACTCGTGGACAATCGAATCACTCCATCGGTGAGTTCCTAATGAATACTAATATGAATTTAGTGCTTCTTGTTAGTTTCAGTAACACCCGATCAGCAATTTGGTTTTAATTATTCATCGTTAGTCTATCACCAATGCCTACAAATAGAGCAATCTCTAAGACAATAACGAGCTCGACATATCTAGAAATATTCCTTTCGAGTACAAGTTCACCTAAACGCTTCAATTGTCAGAATATACACGTTTCTTTTAGATTTACGATATCCCGACTTTTTGCCAGCATCCGGGCCTGGAAACTTCAGAAATTATTGATTGGAAAATAAATGATTTATATTCGGAATTACTATCACTTATCAACGTGCTCTTTTGACAGCTTTGTGAGTTCGGACTCAGATGTCATAAATCCTCAGTCTAAATATTCGTAGCTGTAATCCAAGGATCATATAAAATGATATTAAAACCTATCAGAATAGGTGTAAAACTACGGTCTGTTATGATCATGTATATACATAGTCCATGGTGGCGTTCTATTGGTTATACCATTTGTTAATTGCTTGTTCTTTATGTTACGTTACAGTCATTGGTTATACCATTTATTAATTACTTGTTACGTTACAGTCACTATTAGCAGATCGGTGTTCTCTAATTGACGGTAACCTCACTGGCGTTTAATGTTCACGCTCCCCGTAGTTGCCTCGCTATCTTGTAACTCTACCTTGAGAACTTAATAGTTTCAGGTTCAAAGATATCTAAACCTGAAATAAATCCAAGTATGCCGATTTAGAGTAGATGTCCGCACTATTGGCAAATTCTCAATCTGAATGTTCAGAAGTCTTATATTTGTATCATTTATCACTTTTCTCTATTTACCAAGAAATCGTAAATTCCAAATTATTTATTAACATAAATGGATTACGTTAGTATTAAATAACTCTCTGTCACTTTTATAGTATCCCCTTATAAATGTTATCATATAATACTTGTAACGAGTCTCTATCTCCTGAAATATGTTAAATTCTAATAAGCCCAGGTAGCTATCGGAAGCAGTTATCAGTGTTATTTCAAAATCATCATCTGTTCGTAGAAACGTCTGCTGTTTGGCAAATTCCTTCCTTTTATCCAATATACGTTCCCGCAACAAGTCGTATATTTACTAATTGTAAGCGAAGTATGTTATGTAATAATTGAATCATGAACGGAGCAGAGAAAGCCAGAAACTTGTTCCATTCGAATTAAAAGATAACTTGCCAGCTTCGGTGATGCTGAATAAAACAGTACAGAGCGTATATCAGCACCTAACTGTGTTAACACATTTCTATATTTTCTCCCAACCGTTCCAAGCTCTCCGACGTTTTCATCCATCTAACAAACTATACAAATACGGAAAGTGATACTGAAAGAGCAATAAGGTGGGCTGGTTATAATTACCACACGATTCACTAGTTCAAATGTTATTAACATGGGAAATGATAAATTAAAACGCTGTGATTTTCGCACCTTATGTTTATATTTTCTTAATGTTCTAACATTGCTCGTCAGATAGCATCACGATTATCCAACCCTTCGGCAGGTGTTGTGTAGAACGCTATTAGAACTTGTAGATATTTGCTTTAAATTGCTACCACATATTTCACAATTTGAGATATCTCCGTCAGATAGTCATAAATTGATACAGAACAGATATCCACACTCGAGACTATCCGTAACATACTTCAGGATATCACTAGTAAACAATAGTGATTTATAGTAATATTTTGTTGTTCTCTTAGAACTTTATCACCAAGACAAACGTATGCTATTTGTTTAATTGCGTGCTTGGTCTTATCTTTCGCTGACGTCCAGCTAGAAGTTCCAAACAAACTGTTGACAGGTCCAATCGGTAAAACGTGACCTCGTAATGTGTGAATAATAAAAACGATTCAATTGATGAGTGAAATATTAGCAATTATTATATCAATGCTAAATATCGTGTGATTTGATTGGCTGATTCAGTATTGCCCTCCACAGAATGAAATATTTGCTTAATATTTCGGTTTAGTTTCTCTGAGCGCAAAATTTATTATGAGTTTTAGATTTTTATACTCAATGAAATTGAGTCTTGCTACTACGTACATGTAGTACACATAACAGGTAGATCGATCTCGACTTCCTGGACCGGTAAAACATATCAATGTTGTATTTCAGAAGATGTATTTCACATAAGCCTGTTAGTAATGTTATGATTATTTCATTGCAACCATTCGTTCACTGGCATTGGTTCTGTTCTCAAATAGGATAAAAAACAAATTGCACCTTGCGTTGATTTATCAGTCTGTTAATCTCTATTTGAAAGCTCATCCCCAGTAACGTTGATTGAAGGTCAGGAGTTTTCACCGATATTCTCAAATGATTATTTTGGTAAAGTGTCTGGCTCTCTTGGGGATATTTAAATAGGCCAATATTGGTAGGGATTTCAGTTCGTAAACGACCATTCCGTGGTCTATTACACCAATAGAAGTAGACCATTGTTGGTTATTTCAACAAAAGAATATCCAGTTTTTCGTCCGTACGTCCGTCCGTCAAGCCATTATTTTTGCCCTAGGAGACAGACTTCGTCTAGGGCGTTCATTGTGAATCAGAAAATGTAGAATGGCAAAATATTGGATTTAATAGTTTCACTCAACGTAAAAATATTCTTCCCTAAGAGCTAGATGATTTTTCTCGAAAATATATCATCCCAATTAATCATGCAAAGTGCTCGTATTAATTTCGTTAATGAATTAGTTTACATTTCGTACACTCTAACGCAGACACATAGTTTTTTTCTTTGCAGCAAAAAATCATTGGGGATAACTAGTGGAAATAATACTGTTGGCTTCATTCATAATTTATAATGTGATCATACAGGTACTTTGTTTTGTGAAAACCGATAGCGTTTGTAAATTTTTCTATTTCTATAATTTAGAAAATTCTCATCTTTCAAAACAATTAGTATCCTTTTAGGGAGAACCTGATATCGAAGGCAGTGATCTTGAACAATATATTGAATCATATCACCCACTTAATGGTACATATACAGCACCATCTTTTGTAACCTATTGGTGGAAAAAGGATATACGAGTTCTAGATGGCTGTGTTCGGAGAATTGGTTCTGGGTCTCACCCGACATATATCAGTCTCTTAAACATTAAAATTATGATATAATTGTAAAGAATGATGTCGTGGTCAAGGTCACATTTCTAGGAGGTCAAACCAAAGGTGCAATCAACTAACAAAGTTGGGATATATTGGTTATATAAAAATCAAGCATTTATAATGATTAATATAATTAAATAATTCCCATTTGGTCTTTAGTGGTTAAAAATGCAGACCTCCTAAAATCTCATTAAAACGAGACCTTAGCGAGATTTCAAAACTATATGGAAAAGCCAGTATTAGATAGATGCCTTCACTCGGCTATTCTCTGTACTTGAGTCCGTGCCTCATTTTGAGTAGCGAGTGTAAATTCTTTTCGGAAACATGATTATGTTTTCCCTGTAATATGAATTGGAGATATCTGACAAAATATGGATAGCCTAGAATATAAATTTTGTGTTTTTGAACATGCGGAAATATCTTGAACACTTTGAAACTGAAGTACAGTTCCTTAATAGGTCGTTCAGTTTTCTTGTTTTTGTTCTACACAACACTTGTGTTTAATAGCCACGCGTAATTATTAATAAGCGTAATCAGATTATTTCAAGCGTCGAAATAGCTTATTTTCCTCGACGTATCTACACAACAATTATAATTGTTTTCACTCATCGGCTTTAGTGGCCCGCGACACCTTTTATTTCATTCATTTGAGACGCAATTGATATATTGGCAACAAATCAAATGTTCTACATGATTCTTCTTCATTTTGGAATGTTTCTCCTACCCGATATTCAAAGATGTGTCTTAAATATTATACTTTACATTGATCACGATTCTTGTACTTTCTGTCTTTACGACCCCCGTTCACATTTGCAAGAGTTGTTGATTGCATTTCCTTGATCGTTGGTCGAACTTCGATTCCAACTAAATCAGGTTAATCAATTAAGAAATGTAATATCATGTTTATCCAAGCAAATAATTGTAACAACTACATTATTTTTTAGCAGTTTTGACACCTAAGCAGGGTAGCCTAGTGGCGTAGACTGAGGCTACTTTGCGGTTGAACGTCGTGGGATACGGAGGTCCCGCGTTCGAGCCCCAGGTACGGAGTTGTTGATCATTGTCACTACGGACACCCGGTCCGAAGGTCCAACCGTTTACCGGCTCTTGGCATGGGTTGGTTCTCTGGCCGCTCTTGCCGGAGACAGATTGTGAGACTGTGGTTGGTTCCTCCACTAACGTGCTTTAGTAAACTCCGGGAGTCATATAGTATGGTAGCGGGCCCCCACCAAGGGCAGTAGTGGAACGACGCGAATCGGTCCCAGTATGGTTGCCTTGCAACTGAAGAGACTCGAGGAAATCATGCCATTCGCAGTGACCCAGAAAAGACTTTTGCTTCTTAATTTGACGTTTTAATTCATTTATTTACATACTTTATTCATATTACTTTCCAGGCAGTTATGCTTTTTATTGGTCAAATGAATGAACGAGACATATAGATACTATTAAATACATCTAGATAGTATCAAAACCATAATTCGATTTGTCGGACATATATAAAATAACACTTGAAACACACAACACATATAGCTGCAATATCCGTAGCATTTGGCACAGTCGGTTCCCACGCTCTATCATTTTGTGTGGTCATCATAATATAAGGAGGATGGTTGATTGGACCATGGGCTTTCAACAGAGTCAAGAAATTGGCATGGATACTTGAGGTAGCAACAAAAGGAAACACCGAAAATAATCCAGAAATGTCCACACCATTGTTTTCGTTAGTTATGGCAAAGCCCCGGAGGAAACAGCATTCGTGGGTAGCTTAATTTTTGTACCAATTAGAGCCATTACTTAAACTCAACCAAGAACGGTGGAGCAACGTCATTATGGGTCCAAATTGAGAATCAATTCAAATCAAAATCAAATTGAGAATCAGATGACCTACTAAGTCTAGTATTGATTTGCCCCTAAATAGATATTAAAGGGGTGCTGAATATTGGACTAAGTTAATGAGCACCATTTTAAACTGCCAATTAAAACATGTATTCAATGTTTCAAAATAATAAAACTGAAATATTGGGCAAAATAATTGATATTTCGTTTGTGGAATGAAAACTGATGATAGAGATAATATCAGTAGCCAAAAACTATAAATGATGCCAATTTAGAAGTATCATATGAAAAGGAATGTTTGTGAAATGGTTAGAAAATGAAATAACTTCAGAATTAATGGATCATTGAGGCACACATTGATGAAAATCACACTTGGATTTGGAAAGATTTAAGTAAAACAAATGAATGCGTTTCTTACTATCTCCATGACAACATATCTTGCTCTCTCTCCATGACAACAATTTTTGGCCGCATCAGCACAAGATCGAAAATACAGTATTTATCAAGTTCAATAAGAAATGTGAAACTTTATATTCAATAGCACAATATATTTATTTCTACCAATGAAACAAAACAGTATAAATAATTAATTAATTGAATACAGAATTTACCACGGTTAAATATATATTTTATGAAGTACAGGGTTTACCATAATCAAACATAAATAACACAGAATTATGACTTTATCCTCTATGACATACAGAAATTGATGGTTAACTGGTTAACTGGAATTCAGTTTGTTGAGACGACCCCTCAATCCTAAACGCCTAGCATCAGTTAAAAAATTTCTGGCAACTGAGATGTAAAGATGTTCAAAGATTTTAAAACCGATTCAGGATATTAGCTGTAATTTTAGGTGTAACACCAGGTAAGGGTAACACCAAGGCTCACACGCGTGTTTAGTATCAAAGCTTAATGCCTGTTTTCTGTTAAATAGAATAACTTAGTTAGTGCATAAATCTGAAAATATGTTTTTGCGCGATAAACTTTTAATTGAATATGAATATATAAACAACAGATTGACATCCAGTCTCATATTAAAAAGTTTAAAGTCAAAATATTGTGGAAGTAAATAAAAATGAATTTTCAAGACTTGTCTGTTCAATGAAAAAATCATGTATAATTTGAACCAAGGTGTATGATAAAGTAATATATATAATCTTTTTTATATGCTGGTACAGTAGAATTTCTCTTGGCTTTTCAACATAGCACCATATTTGACTTTTCAGGCTCCACTTTTATTATTCTATGCCTATATAATATTACTGTGCACTGTCATACGTGTACATAATCATGTGTCTATATGACGTTTTGAAAGAGTATAGAGCTAGATTCAAAGCACCGTTCGTGCGAGTTTCAAATGGAAATATTGAAAATGCATGTATTGAGGACTGCAACTTTTTATGTTTAAACTGACAAAAACTTGAAATTCCCGCTGTAAAGATATAGTCACACGCGGAAGTGAACGTCATAAAACTGATGGGTTAAGGCAATGTGCCGTCCCACTGGCACGGATTTCGGTACAACGCGCATCGGTAGGCCTTTTCGGTATAATGCGCGTCGGTATAATGGGTTTCGGTATAATACGCGTCGGTATAATGAGGTGATAATGGAGAGGTTAAGCTAACGATGTTTTTCACAACGTAACCGTGAACGCAAAGTACAAAAAATAACAAAGGAATGTATCGAGCGCTCATAGTTTTATGCGCGCTTAGTCTACTTCAGATACTTGTTCAGCTTCAGAGTTTCGGGTTTAGAACGGGAGATTTGAATATTTGACGTTGGGTCAACGGGAACCATTTTACTCGTGTCTATTGAACACTATGCTGTCATTTTGATTTCGATGCACAGTTGAATTCTTGCTGAACACGATGATGTATGTCATGCATGATTTAGCGCCAAAAATCTTACGAAACGAGCTCGTTTAAAATATGTATTAGAAAACCAGCTATAAAACCGCATCAATGACATACTATAGAATCATTACACGCTATGGTGTAGTCTAAACAAACACTGGATTTGAACGGCTATTTATATGAGAAGGCTACATGAATTTGTATATGGTCGAGTGATACGTACAGGTTCAGTTTCGATTATATATGCAAAGCTTAACCTCTCCAATTTACATGAACTAAAACTTCATTTTGAAGTTGAAATGACGAACAACCTGTTAGCCGACAAACAAATTGATAACGTTACTTTTTATGCCATTGTATTTTGCATTTATGCGCATGCACGAAATGTACTTCCGCAATTTGCAATACCGAACTCATCGTGAGTCTGTGTTAGTTTCTTCTAAAATGCAGGCAGATTAAACTGTTTTATAAGTCAGTTATTAGGTTCAACTCGATTGCTTGCAATTACCGGGATACACGGCAGGTACTATTCATATGTGAATCAGTTGGTTATTAATTCCAATCAAACTGGTAGCCGGCAGCCGACAGTTGCATTCGCAAATGTTACGTAAGAAGCCTTAGAGTTAACATAACACAATCATGATTGGACACATCGAAAGATAATCCTTTCGAGTATACCCCGAGGTCTTTCCTTGTCCATAAGTTCCTCACTACGTATTCCTGGTCAATGTCCACCCCGAGATAATCAAACTTAAGTTCAATTTGTCTTGGTTTGTTGTCCCGGTTCACAATAACAACAACGTGGCCGCCATTGTGTAGTGGGCCGTAATATACGTTAATATCTGGTGGAGAGGATATTCCCAAACACATGTGATTTGTGTTGGAGAATCGAAATGATTTTGTAAGGTCGCCAATAATTTGAAACTCATCATTATGGGGGTGCCAGGCTTCGTTGTTTTTCCATCGTTTCTTATGCGCTTTGCAATCTTGGATTCTAGCGCTAACTCTGTTGTATGTACTTGTTGCGATACATTTTGTTTTATCTGTTAATTTTGATATTTTTGTAGCCTTTGTGTTGTTTTTGACGATCCACTTTTGGTTTTGCGACTCTTTATCACATTGTCTAAGCACCAACGAATCATCACCTTCAACCTCTATACACTGAGGGTCGGGCTCATCAGTTTTTATTTTAATAATCTGATTGGTGGACGTATCATAACGGAATGCGAACGACTCGGTCATCTCTGTGTTCGTACAATCTTCGCCTGTAAGTATAACGCGTGAGACACCATCTGCTGGTCTTATATTTTTCACAAGTGAAGCAGAAACACCAAGGGGGTCCTGATTAATTGCGATAACTTCAGGGTTTGATAGTATTTCAAGCTCATCTTGAGTCATCTTGGATAAATCGTGTCCTAGGAGTAATGGTGACTTGAGGGCACACCACAGTGACATGTGAACTCTGTATTCAGAAGCACTCATTCCTCCGTTTCCGATCTCTAGCATATCTAGGTCATTCCAGAACCCAGGAGCGCTGTATCTCTCCAGTCCTTCGTTTATAAGAGAATCAACGCAAAATAACATAATTTCCCATTCGTCGTATATATCACTATGAACGCGTCTTACATTGGAAACATGTCTACTTTTCCTGATGTCAATAGAGCCTTTGATGCTATGTATGATCTGTCTGTTGGTGTTAGACAGGGCTGTGTGCATTGCGGCATAGTTTTCATTGGATGTTGTTCCAGGGTACAACCAACAATCATCATTCTTCAAGTAATCAACACCCCATGAAGCATACGATTCTGCATCCTGTATCTGGAAGTGAATATTATACAAATATCTTATTATAATGAAGTGAATACATATGCATTTTTTATATTGAAATTATGAAAGTTCCAGAGGTATTCAACGAAAATAGAACGAAATATTTGTGTCATAAGGCACTATTGATATTCCCCACTTTAAAGGTCCTCACTGGTGTTTTTTGTTGCATTTAGTGTGTTATTTGAATGTATATTACCATAAATTCTATTGAAAATATAAAAGTACACTGGACGAAATGCTAGCCAGGGCACATGGTTCAGATTACACTGAATGCATCAACGGCCGAGGAATATGGCTTATATTTCCGAGTCACGTATGTGTCATAGATCAATCAGAAAGTGAGGAATATGACAGTGAATAATAATGATTGATAATGATGAAAAATCCAATGTCTATATTCAATATCTAATCTAGATGTTCATGAAGAAGCTTAAGTTCTATGATTTATCTCTGAAATGGTTAAGTTGATTATATACGCCATCTTTAATAAATATTTTGTATATACGTTACCTCGTGCCTGTAGCTTCCAGGTCTCCGCTGACACGTAAGTGTTCCAGAGTCGGTGTACAAGCCATACTTCAAGCCTTTACTGTGAATGTATTTCCCCAACGTCTTCATTCCACCCTTAAACTTTTCTGGGTCAGGTTGAATGTATCCCCTGTTATCCCTGTATAATTGCCAACAATCTGTAAGAATACATCAACATTGATGTAGGTATATTAAACAGGCAATGCGCCTATTTTTGAAGGAAAAGGGACAAAATATTATATGAGACATGTCACTCACACAGTCAATCAAATATGATAAAAACTTTAATTTGGGATAATACTGGAGTGAAAGAAAACTCTTTCTATGGCATTGCTAAAAACTTGAAATATTTTTTCAAGATCTAGTGTCAACTCTGATGTGGTCTGTTTGAGCTGTTTTTGGTGTCAAATGAAAGGTCGGGTACTTATTTATCCATTGGAAATACTATGAAGATCAAAAGTGAGACTTCATTTACGCACTTTGTCCCTTTAACTGGCCATCAAAATGATTTAGATATATCCAGTCACCATCAAATTGACAAAGGCGTATCAACTAACCACCAAAAGTGACGTAAAATGTCGCCCATTATGATATAATTATCAATATCTCACCACCATCGGACGGACGGACCATTAGCAAATTGACGTATAGACATGCCTACAACCGTTCAATGCTAACACAGTGGTTTCAGTAACTTTCTGCACAAGGGGCAGGTGAAAAAAACAAGAGGCGCCATTCAAAACAACCAATTTTGCACTCCTGGAAATTCAAATTCTTGTCCATCGACAGAAAGTGGACAAATGAACAAGGGCATTGACAGGCTTTGCCAAAAATGATATAAAATTCTGATGTACATTATATTTCAAAGACAATGTATCTGAAATACATTATTATTGTACAGTCAATCAAAGTTTTGAACTTTGAATTCTATTTAGAGGTGATTTAGAAGATGTCCAGGATTTTACTTTTTTGTCAAAGTCATATCCCCGTGTGATATTGGTTCAATTGGTCGATTGACAACAAGACATGGGCTACACAAATGACACCTTGAATTGTGGAATGACTATGGCAACTTATATATAATTTTTGAAAAAAATGTTTTTGAAATGAAAGTTGTCAGCTTTTCATTTCTTAAATTCCAAAGGACAGGTGGCGGTAAACCCCTCTTTTAGCCCCCCTACAAAACAAGTATATATTGACATGGAATTGAAGAGGAAGTATGACTCATTACTTAAAGTGTGATTTCTGAGAGTCTTGACATTTGACCTTGATACTAGGGTGGTTTAAAGGTCAACTTTGAGAGTTGATATTTTTGTTAAAATTTTAATGTTTCTAATCCAAGAAATGAGAGCAATTGGCTTTATTTTGACTGTGACTGATAAAAAGACATGTGAATAGAAATCATTTTTTTTAAATAAATTATCACGGGCAATTACCTGAAAATCTTGAGAATAAATACCGATATGGGCATTTTTAGGGGGACTAAATTTTCTTGTTTCAAAAATGAATGTTCTTGTTGCCTTTTGAGACTCTAACAGTATCCTAACCATGTTTTAAGAGTTGGGATGTGATTATTATTTTAAATGCCCATGGGTAATTGGGATAAAATGACTGAAATTAAATGCACACAAGGGCACTTCAAAAAGAATGGATTTTCTTATTTCATTGCTTCTCGCCAGTTTTCTAAAGATGTTTGCCATATTCTAAATAGTTATAGGGTCACTTTTACTAAATGCCCATTGGCATTTGGCATTTTATTTGGCATTTAAAATTAAAATGTTTGAATGTACACTTACTTTTAAAGTTATTTGCCAATTTGCAGTTCCCATTTTTGAAACACAAATCATTCAGAGAAATCCTCTTTCAATATATATCATAAAATATAAGGCAGCATCATGTATGAATGGCATGACACTCAAAGGATTGCCTAAAATAATTTCTACTTATTCCCTATTTAGAAAAACACTTAGGCCATTCAAATATGTTATTATAATAATGTCACTAAATTCTATGTTTTCAGAAAAAACAAAATGTTCCCATGTATTCTCTCTCTACTTGTAATGTATATAAATGACAAAGGGAATTGTGATCTTGGATTATATTGCAGCGAAATGAGTTCCAAGATTGATTAAAAACTAGAGTCCATTTCACTGCTTCATTTCGTCAGTAGAACGGCAAAAATAAGAAATTGGGAGACCATTGTGCAATAATAAATGGAAAAGTATATTCATAATGTACATGAATGACATTTGTATATTTCAGATTTTTTAGTTTTTTGTGCAATAAGCCTGTGCCGTATTGTATTTTGAAGAATTTCAGCCATGTTAATCTTATTGAAAATAACATGGCAGAGAAACATCCAAATATAAGAGGCCACACACTTTATAAGCCAAACTAGAAGCAATCCAAGATATACAAATGTCATTCATGTACATTATGAATATACTTTTCTATATATTATTGCACAATGGTCTCCAAATTTCTTATATTTGCCGTTCTACTGACGAAATGAAGCAGTGAAATGGACTCTACATGTATATAAACTTCATTAACAAGGTTATCTGAACTCAAGAAGTGTGATACTTGCTTTGGCACAATATGTTATTGCATTTTCACTCTTAAAATATATAAAACCCTTTAAATAAATGAAGGTTTTGTAGTTTTTAATATAAGGCTCTTCATCAGAATGCCAACATATAATTAATTTTGGATGGCCTAATCTGTACATGCAGTTATGTAGTGTACATGTATGCTCAGCTTAGCAGCCATATTGAAAACATAAACCAGTCAGGCTTATTTTCATCACAAAAGTTAAGTTTTAGTGGTGAGCCCAAACTCCCACAAAAATGATATTTGCAGAGAAGCTACTTTACAGTCTCTGCATTATACAGTTTCAATATATTTTTTGTGGGAGTGTGGGGTGACGGTTAACTTTTCAATGAAAGGGAATGAGCACCATGCTAAAACTTGATAACAAAGTGAACGAAAAATGACAATGTTTTCTAGATCATCTACAATTTTCTTCTCCGAATACTTGTATGTCATATGTTCCATATATTAAATTCTATATAATGATAAGTTTTGATATTATTTTGATGGTAAACATAATGTGTATTGTGTACCCATATTCAGACAGCCTTGTGATAGGGGTTCTTACTGCCAATTTTTCAAAGAAACGGAGAACTTATGCCACTTTTTGAAATTGCACATCTCAAGAAGAAAGGTTAATCTACAACTTGTAATCTGTTTTAAAAGTAAATGGAAGAATGAGTTTTTCAGAAAAAGTCTAAGTGGACCAATAGTCTGTTAAATGGACCTGTTCTTTCCCACCATTTTTCAAATAAAGTGTAACTTTTTTAATCATCAAATATTTCACTATACAGTGCAAGAAAATATTGTCTTTTTAACAACAGACAAACTATTTCAATAATAAAATGTCATATCTGATGTGTCAATTCAATGTTTTAGCATACCTCATCGTGACATCATTTAGGTGGCAACATTTCTCCATGTCTATCTTTTTCTATGCTAGTCTAAGAAATAAACCAATGTTGACTGTCTAACCAGGTTAAAAGGATGAATACATTATGTTCTTAATATTATTACCATTGGTTTCTGTGAGAACTAAAATTTCGAAATGCGTTTGCCCTGAACCACTTTCATCCATGAATGAGTTTATTGCTCGCTTATTTATCAACCAATTTTCTTAATTTTGTCGGCAAAAAACAAGTGAGGATGAATGCTATGCATTGGTGTGAATTATGTGTTAGTGTAACCTCTCAAAGTTAGTTTTTAATAAATTCATGATATTTTGAAAAAACGGTCCTTCAAAAAAACATTTTTGAAATTTATAAAAAGTTTCACATTTCACACTTTGATAATATTGGATAAGCCAAAGTTTATATTGGAACTGATGAATACAATTTTACACCCATTGGAAAGATGTACTGTGACTGGTTGAACATAGTTGTATTAATCATACATTTATCTGCATGTCCCATGGAAAATAAGGTACAAATCATAAACAAGGAAGTGCAAAATAAGATCGCTAAATCAAATAAAGGATAGTCTATAGAAGACTTTTAATTTCCCCCAAACTTAGACAATATTTGGCTTCTGACAAACGGCGAATTATCGAAAACAAACGGCGATTTTAGGCACTCGCCCCCTGCTATTGAAACCCCAGTAACAGTTACATTTCAATTTGTTTCAAATTGACCTTTTTTCAAAATCATCTGCAAGTTATCAGAAGTTCAAATCTGACTTTAGATTTGAGATTTGACCTTCAATGACCTTCTGAAGGTCACAAAAAGGTTATTTTTCAACTTGCTTCAAATTGACCTTTTTTTCAAAACCATGTACAAGTTCTCAACAGTTCAAATCTGACTAAAGATTTGACCTTCAATGACATTCTCAAGGTCAAAAAAGATTTGACCTTCAATGACATGTTCAAGGTCAGAAATGTCTTTTTTCATCTTGCTTCAAATTGACCAGATTATTTTTTCGTTATGGTCTCCGTTCTTTTTGACGCCGGTTGGCAGTTGCAATGGTGGTTGGCTGTTGGTGGTTGGCGATCGGCGTATGTAACAAATTCTTACAACTTCCAATAACTTACCAAATACTGTTTAGACTGACTTCAATTTTTTTTAAAAACTCAAGGTCACAAAAAGGTCAAAAATGTCTTTTTTCAACTTGCTTAAAATTGACCAATTTTTCAAAATCTTCTAGAAGTTCTCAACAGTTCAAATATGGCTAAAGATTTTACCTTCAATGACATTCCCAAGGTCAAAAAAGATTTGACCTTCAATGACATTATAAGGACAAAAGGGTCATTTTTCATCTTGCTTCAAATTGACCAATTCTTTTCAAAATCATTTACATCTTCTCAGAAGTTCAAATCTAACTTTAGAGTTGAGATTTCACCTTCAATGACCTTCCCATGGTCATAGAAGGTATTTTTTCAACTTGCTTCAAATTGACCAGTTTATTTTTTCAAAATCATCGACAAGTTAAATTTGACTTAAGATTGAATATTGTGAGCAACTAGGTAACTAGGATTTCTGACTCTACCATTTTTCAAGGTCTTGCTCGCTTCCCTGATTTCCTCATTAATTCCATTTTTTAAACATACCTTGGATGTCTAAGATAGTCCTTAGAATTTGATTTGATTTCTTCACAGTATTTATTAAGTTCAGAAACTTCTCATTTTTTCAAAATTATTGTTTTTAAAAGTTGCCTGTTCACTGATAACTTGATAATTTTGTAATGCATTAACTTGATGTTGCACATTTCATTAGTTGCGATATTTTAATACATTTTCTACAGTATATAGCCCCCAGCCCTCGGACAGCTACCAAATAAACTAAAACAACATGTTATTATTAGCTATTTAACACTGAAAAGTACCAAAGAGTAAGTATCACAACTTCAGTTGATTTGTAAATTCATACAAAATCAATTTTGGTTTACATGTTGAGTTTAAATTCAATGCCAATTCTACTGTACATATATCATATTGTAGTAATACAAATACAAGACGAAATCCATGAACTGGGTATTTCTGCTCTGGTGGTTGCGGTATTAATAGGATAAAAATAGACTGGTTGGCTTAATGTAAACCTTTATATTTCAACTGTTTTTAAATTGAGAATTTCTGTCGATACCCATACTCGTTTCCCAGTTTGATTTTCAATCATATGAAAACATCATACCTTGGAAATCCTTTGGAAGGTCTTTGAAGAGATGTGAATCAATGTTTTGGAAGATAAAATTACATACTTACGTGGAAAGGGTATGGGCGTTACATAAAAACGTTTCAGTGTATTAATGTTCATACATTTATATTATCATAAAGGAAAAGTAGCATACACATAACAACAAATTGTGAATATACGTAGACATTTGACCAAACATTACACCCCTTAAAATGGGACTAAAATGGAACGAGTGCCAATCAACGGGGGTCGGTTATTGAGAAAAAGTACGTTAATCCAATTCTTAATATAGAAAGAATGTTTAACATCAAATTAAAGCAAAGGTTTCCAATGTGGAAGGAAATAGTCAGTAGGCTTTGTTAATCGTGCAAGTTCAGTGTTTGGCTCTGGCCAGCCGACCCAATAGAGGACCTCTCCGGGAGACAGCCAACCTGCCCACCAGGAGAATGTCCCAGTTGACATAATAATATGATCACAATGTGACAAAATTGCGAGATCTTCTCCAGGTGAATGGCCAATAGATAACGTCGTATGATGGAATTGGGTATTGTTTTGGGCCCATTTTATATCATCGGTGCATATGATGAAATGAACATGTTTATGCTTCGTTCTAAAGTATTCCATCGCATTCTGAAAATATTGTTTCGGTGCAGCAAGGTATCCTGTCTTTGGATGTAGATGTTGAGCTCGAGCCATATCAGATCTGCGTATGTGTACTCCAATCAACGTTAAGTTTACATGATCAATGTCCAGAGTGATGTTAGCCCGTGCATCACTTCGGACTTGATTAATGAACTTCAGAGCTGTATTATCGATGGTCGAATTAAATGTGAACTGTCTTTTAAGATCTTCTTTTATTTCTTCTAGATATCTCCAAGACTGGAAATAGCAACAAAGCTTAATGTTTGTATTGGCTGGGATTTCTCTAGTCATAACACTTTCATCATAAGCACTTGGTCTTTTCTCATCGAGGCGAATAGTTCGGAAAGAATTAAGATTCTCTTTTTCTGATAGAATATAAGATCGGTCAATTTTAAATATCCCATCCAAGATTTTTCTCGGATAAATTGGAGTCATGTTATTGTGTTTTGCTACTGCGATTAGAGCCGCAAATTGGAACATATTATTTCCCAATCTTCCTATTTTTGGTACGGTGATCCACGGCCCTCTGCCAACCGTCTCATTTTGATATACATCTGGAACAGTACTCTTTGTAGAAGTGTTATCATCGATTACTGGTTGTCGTATTTCAATGGCATACTTTTCATATTTATCAGGTTCCTTACCAACCGGTCTTGTGAAACGTTTATTAATAACGACTGTTGTATTATTATCCACTTTAAGCAACATCTTTGACTCAAATCTTGTCATTGCGATCCATATTGATATCACAGTCAAAATCAAAATCAAGAAGAAGAATTTTCTTATAGTTTTAGTCTTCAACTGAACAGCTTGAGTCATTTTTGTAAGTCCATGTTTATATATGCAACATATATTCGAGGCCCTTGTGGTCTACACGGCACACGTTCACGGTTCGACTTCACCAGTTCCAGGGGTTTCACAGGTTAGACTGTCGACATGGTTGGCCGAGATCACGGTGTTATAGCATGACAGATACGACAAGGCAATTGGCCAAATTTTGCGGTAACGATAACAAAAAATGGCGGACGGGAAAGACAGCATGTCCTCTTTTTCGCCTGTAGGCAAGATTCACAGATAAGCTTTCCTTTTCAACTAGTTCCATTCGGTGATGCATATGTGAATGGTTTTAAAGATTGAGTTAAATCTGTCGTGTGGTCTACAAGAAGCAGAATATAAGCTGTAAACCTACCCAGCTGAGATTTCGAAGTTCATAATTTTTAGTCCTTTTTCGTGTTTTCTCAGTATATGTGTCTCAGAGCCACTCAAAATACTAACTGTACGTAAACTGTGCATAAACAAGCCATAAAATGACATATGCAGAACAGAAATGTGGTAAATATTATAGATAATAAGGTTTCAATCGCAAGGTCGTTAGACAGATACGTATGTATTGCATGCTTTTTTATGGACAGCAACGCATTGTATTAGTTTTACATTAGATGTTAGCGGACGGTTACATGCAAGTTCCTGTCAAGTCAAGGTCCCTAGATGGATAGCTCTCTATGTGTGAACTGCCTATATTTGTTTTCAGGACTCGCAAGAGACGCTCTTGCTTGAGCCTCTATAGGGCAAGGAAAAAATAGCGAAAGCCAATGAAAGTGAAAATGATTGTAATGAAGAGGCAAAGGAAGAAATTAGTAACAACGAACGGGCGACGGAAGAAAACAACTCCAAATTAATTGATGATGTCATAAGTGACATTAGACATATATTACCATTATTACAAATCATATTCAGCTGTTTATGTCACCATCTTCATAATAGTACAATAACGTCATTTCTGCGGGCAATATGAAATATTGGACCACCGTTAATGCCCAGGGCTGAAATAGCAAATTTGAAATAGAAAATCTTACGCACTGAACGATATCACTTTTCCCGGGAAACATAGCCGGGCGAATAATATCATTATTGCCCGACTAAAGTCATTAACGCCCGACACAATATTGCTCACGTCAATATAGCAATTTAAATGCCTTCTCAACTAGTACTAAAACCCCTATAACAGGCCCTGCAAGGTGGTAATAATACGATTTCATCTATTATAGCTTACAAAACTCAAATCCAGTTGAAAAACATTTCAATTTTGGATCACAAGCGATATGAAATGATTCGGTTTTACATATATGAACGAGGTTCGCGTAACTGTCTATCATTTTTTGGCGTATCCGCAAATTCAAAATACATTATTATGGCTTGAGTAGAACATATTAAGTGGTTTACAATGCTTAATTGGCTTTGTATGATCGTATGTAGGTTACATTTATATACACCAAGGTTGTTGCGCAATGTAGAGCATGTCCTAACGAAGAAAAGAAACAAATTACTAAATTTTATGAAGTTTTGAATTTCAAACTCGACAGTTTTTCGCTTATTTCATGTTATCCATGGGCGTCGATTTGCAAAGACTACGTTCAAAATAAACATTACTGAATGCATCACCGAATGCGACGCTTACATAAATCTTTCATGCTTTTATTGATACGCAGTAGTAGAACATAATGCACCTACCTTAGCTTTCTGTTTCATCGTGGCCATTTTATTGGATAAATCAGTGATCGTATACGACTAACCTCGTTTTCAGAGGTGGCGTATCTGTCATGCTATAACACCGTGGAGATAGATGCGCCATAATAGCATTGTATACCGCAATATATAGTATAATACAAACTTACATGTACAGACTATTTTTACTCTATTCATCTTGCAACCACCAGAGCAGAAATTTCCAGTTTAGTGATTTCACTTACAAATCTAGAATCACTGAACCTGAGATAACACTAAGAACCTAAATTGAAAAAAGTGTTTTGCAATGATGCGATTTTATTGCTAAAGAAAGCACCCTCGTTTTGTTAGCGTTTTTGGCTAGGATCCTAGATGAAATGTTAGATAAAGTTACCAATAATAAATGAACAGATGTCCATGTTATATATGGTTACCAATAATAAGTGTACAGAAGCCTATGTTAAATATATATGTTCATTAGGTCAAACGTGTGAGTTAACTTGCACATTTTACAAAAAACTTTTAATCAATATTTGTGCATTACTATATTATAGGTACAATATGCAGTGTACATAAAATAATAAAATGCATTTATTGAAATAAAACTGGATTTTGTTATATGAAAATAATTTGATATCAACATAAGAACATTTGTGAATTGAACTATCTAAATGCGTATTACATTACATAAAATAAATTTTCCCACAATGCAACTGAATCAAAATTCTACAATTTAATTACGCAAAAAGTTACAGGTCATCACACCTAACAATGGTACGTCATAATCCTAGTGTGATTGTTTCCGAGATCCACCCCTTTAACAAAATTGGCATAATACCCAATACCATCTTCGAATTCCAAGAGGTTATAATTGTTTTATCTATTCAGAAAGACCCTCACATTGGAAATAATTTCAATGAATTAAATTAGGTCATTATTCGAGAAGACGCATTATCCATTTGTAAAAATATCAAACTTGTTTAATTTATATCGATGTACTATTCAATTTCTAAACAATTGCCCTTACTCAAAATTAAGGATAGAGCCAGACATCTAACTACAGTTAAATGTATGAAATTATCATATTGTAGATGTTTCAGCTTTGCATTATTCTTTGAAACATACGAAATACTGTTAATCAATGCATGTTCTTCACACATTTTTTTACGTATGACGTTCAATTGTATTGAAGTGGTTGCGTATCTTCGAATTAAAAGGAGGTTATCATTCTGATTTATCAGAGTCCCTCTTTACCTAACGCTTCTGAACTATTCCAAAAGGATAGTAAAAACTGTGGATCCCACAATGGGAGGTTATAACATGCATGAAGCAACTAAAACTTTGAAAATCAAGATGTCGGTTGGGTATTATGTATGTAAAATGCCTGAAAACGATTAAAGGATATCGATGAAAAGACTTGGAGGTGTATTATCAGAGTAAAGAAGGCTAGTTTTGGATAAATCATGCGATATTAAAAGTTATATTTTTGTCACCTCTAACTTTTGACTTAATCGTCTGTTTTCAACGAGAATTGCACGGATCTTGTTTAAATTTTATGCTGCAAGCGTAGATTGCCACAATAATTGCTCTTAAATTAAAAAAGGTACAAACCATTACAAATTCATGGTATTTTTTGTGATTTATAATTGATAAGTTTTAGATTACTATAGTGATTACTATAGTCCTCGGAAAATATGATATTGACCTTGGGCAATTTGATATTGACACTTAGTCGCTGCTCTCCCTCATTCAATATCATATTACCCTTCGGTCAATATCATTTTGTCCCTCGGAATAAAACCCATATTCAATCCCTCCCAGTAAATAACCTATATATATATATGTATCACTGTATCCATGCCACATTGACCATTGACCTAAATATATCTCATTATCAAATTGACCTATATATTTCAACTCATGACTAAGATTGACGTAGACATATCAACATTTCAAGATCGACGTTTCAACTCACATATTAACTCGCCATTAGTAATTAGCACTTATGCAAAACATCAACTCACCATCAAGATTGACACAGATATATCAACTCACCATCAAGATTGATGCAGATACATCCACTTACCACCAAGATTGACGCAGATTTATCAACTCACCATCAAGATTGATGCAGATATATCCACTTACCATGAAGATTGACGAAGAGATATCAACTCACTATCAACACTGTGCAAAAAGCCAAATATAGTAGCGTATAAGTGGCAAACTATTTGTGAATATAGTTCAGTATGTCCTCACTATATTGTATTCGGTATGGGAAACAAACTATTCTTGCCTCAGAAGCGGAACATTTAGTATTGGTGGTATATACTCTACGATACTAAATATCGTTTGAACTATTCTCCGATTATTCTTAAGAGCCAGGAATAGTAGGATATAAGTACATAGAAAAGATGAGTATAGTATGTATTACATAATCCAAAAACAAACTATACGCCTCTTATACTCGAGGCTATACATTCTTTGATGTGCCTTAATTTGCTTGGAGTTAATCCTATTTTATTTTTCAATTAAGCGCTAATGTAAACAAATAAAATCATGCATTTCACTTAAGAAAGCTTAATCAAACTTAATGTCTGAGATCTCATCTAAAATTTTATGATGTTGAAGTATATGATTTTAAATGAACTTTAAATATATTTTAAAAATGTAAGTCAATACAAAAAGTGGAATGAAAAATTTGGGTATATTTCAAATATAAATCGGTAAATTATTTATTCTCCGTTTTGAGTAAAATAAGCGCGTATTAATTTGAAGTTTGTTTTTAGTCTTACCAAAAATCAGCAGCAATTTCGGTGTAGTTAAAATTAAAATGAGGTAAAGCGTATCGTGATACACTGTATCTTTGTTCTTTGTCAGTTTTAAATTGAGACAATCCTGACATCCTATATGACAGATTAGACCCCTAGTCAGGGACGGGGTTCGGAGGTTTAGAGTGAAGCCATGTGGAGGAAAATTAATTGTTGTATAATTATATGACATAAGTTGATGATGATGATGCATTTTTAAATCTTAAAAAGATAACAATATTCAAATGTATGAAATACAATAAGGAATCAGTATAAAATCCCCGGGATTAAATATTATGAAGGATGAGGAATTGCGCTGAACGAAAACATTAGGTTACATGTACAATTTATCATAAATAATGTGCCAAATTGAACTATACTAATGCACCGAATTTAGCTTTTTAATATATTGATGAAGTTAGAGCACATCACATACTATGTCCCAAATTGAAACATACTAATGAGCCAAGTTTAACCTTTCAATGTAAGGATGTACTTTGAAAATCATAAATAATGCGCCAAATTGAACGATACTAATGCGCCAAATTGAACCTATTAATATACTGATGTACTTAAAGCACATCACATATTATATCCCAAATTGAAACATACTAATGAGCCAAGTTTAACCTTTCATTGTAAGGATGTACTTTGAACATCATAAATAATGCACCAAATTGAACTATACTAATGCACCAAATTGAACTTTCTAATATACTGATGAACTTACAGCACATTACATACTATGTCCCAAATTGAAACATACTCATGAGCCAAGCTTAACCTTTCAATGCAAGGATGTACTTTGAACGTCATAAATAACGCGCCAAATTGAACTATGATAATGCGCCAAATTGAACTTTTTAATATACTGATGATCTCGGAGCACATCACATAGTATGTCCCATTGAAACATACTCGTCAGCCAAGTTTAACCTTTCAATGTAAGGATGTACTTTGAACATCATAAATAACGCGCCAAATTGAACTATGATAATGCGCCAAATTGAACTTTTTAATATACTGATGAACTTTGAGCACATCACATACTATGTCCCATTGAAACATACTCATGAGCCAAGTTTAACCTTTCAATGTAAGGATGTACTTTGAACATCATGAATAACGCGTCAAATTGAACTATGATAATGCGCCAAATTGAACTTACTGACGAACTTAGAGCATATAGCATACTATGTCCCAGAAATCAAATTGAAACATACTCATGAGCCAAGTTTAACCGTTCAATATAATGATGTATTTTGAACATCATAAATAATGCGCCAAATTGAACTGCATGTATACTAATGTGCTAAATTGAACTTTTTAATATACTGATGTACCTGGAGCACATCACATACTATGTCTCAAATTGAAACATACTCATGAGCCTAGTTTAATCTTTCAATGTTTCTTTCAACATTTGGGTAATAACTGTGGATTAAAGGTGAAGAAAAGTCATTTATTAAAAATCAAAAAATTAACTTTTCAATGAGTTAATCGATTAATTCCAAATTTTAACACAATATTAATCATAGCAAGAGGTACACTAAAGAATCAAATAAATTAGAAAAACTTATTTGCAAATTATTTTTCTGTGGAAATCAGAACCATTGGCTGTAGATATTAATCCTTTAACCCATAACAAACAGATTAGTTATCAATGAACAAAACTCATGTCATAGAAATTAAATACTTGGGGATTAAAGTTTTTTTATATGCTCTGACATGTCAATACATGTACGAGATGGTGAATAACTGCATGATCTTGAAAGAATTGTTAGTCAAAGGGAGGGGGTCGCTAGGTACGGGCCTGTATAAAATGCGTAATGTATTTAGCTGAATATTGAGCATTTTTGTGTCAAGATTGTTTTTTGTGGCTGACAAAGTTAATACAGGTGGATGTGCCTGTGAAATATAAGAGGGGGATTTAAATGACGTTTATTGTAATCTTGATGTGACAGAGAAACAATAGAGTAAACATGTGAGGAAAACTTATTAATTAAGAATTAAAAATTTATTTTTCCAATGAATTGATCAATTGAATCCAAATTTTAACACAATGTTAATCATAACATGGGGGATAATATACAATCAAATAAATATAAAAAACTTAATTTGCAAATTATTTTTTGTGGAACTTAGAATCGTTGGCTGTGGGAAATTAATCCATTGCCTCTAACAAACAGATTAGTTATCAGTGTTTACTAAACTCATTTTATAGAAATTGAATAATTAGGGATTAAAGTCTTACTTATCATATTGCTCTGACATAGCTGTATGTCCATACTGTATGTTATTTGCATCAGTTTGTTCTTCCATGCACCAATTTGCTCAAAACATAATCATCAATTTGTCAGATGAAACATTTGCAATAAATGTAAAATGCGCCCGTTTCTTTCTTTGCACCTTTTGTATATGTATATATTGAAACGGAAAACAAAGAATGATTAATAAAACCAGCTGTTATAAACAGAAATGGTCCAATTCTAATAGAAACAATTGTATTGCACGGGCTAATCTCTGTTGTTTATCACAGGTGTTTATCTCAGATATCATATGGATAACAGAAAACACATGAATTGTGAAAGAATACAAGTTTTAACTTTGTTTTAATATGGCTTATAGTACTTGTATCATTTACATAAAGCATGTTATTTCCTAATTTATTATGTGATTTGTCAGATGAAATCTGCTAATTACATTGCTCTGACATGTCAATACATGTATGTGAATGGTGAAAAACTGCATTTTTTAAAGAATTGTTGGCCAGGGGAAGGGGGTCCTTAGGTACGGGCTTGTATAAAATGCGTAATATATTAATTGAATATTGAGCAGTTCCGTGTCAAGACTGTTTTTGGTTGGCAAAGTGAATAGTACAGGTGGTTGTTCGTACCTGAGTAAGAGGGTGATTTAAATGCTGTTTGTTGTAAACCTGATGTGACAGAGAAACAATAGAGTAAAAATGTGAGGAAGACTCATTAATTAGGAATAAAAAATTAACTTTCCAATGGATTGATCGATTGAATCCCAAATTTAACACAAACTTAATCATAACTCGAGGGACATTATACAATCAAATAGATATGTAAAAACTTAATTTGCAAATAATTTTTTTAGAAATAAGGACCATAAGCTAGAGAAATTAGTCCTAACAAACGGATTAATTAGTGTGAATGAAACTCATTTCATAGGAATGGAATACTTAGGGATTAATGGTTCAAAAATAAACGCATATAATCCGGTTTTGATTGCAAATGCCAACATATTATTTTCTCCTGACTAGAATATTATATTCTATATTATATGGCATTATATGTTGTTCCCTTCAAATAATACACGAATAATATCATTAAAGAAAAATTGATTTTTAAAAATAGTTATTATATCTTATTCCCCTATTGCAACTATATTAAACATTTTATTCTATATTATTTTTACTTCAATACCAAGTGAATTGAAAAATGTAACTTTCCACAGACTTTATGAAATGAATCCAAAATTTAACACGGTGTTAATTATAATTCGACTGTCATTGTCCAATTTAATAAAAGTAAAAAGCTTAATTTATAAATGACTTTTTGATGGAAATTAGAACCCTCAGTTATAGAAATGACCAGATTAATCTGAACAAGCGAATTAATTAGCATTGTAAACAAAATACATTCAATGCTGGACTTTGCTTTTAATCTGTTAAAACAACAAACTCGGGAACTGAAGCTATTACGTAATATCGCGTATAAGACGCGTATAGTTTGTTTTGAGGTAGAATAAGAGAAGAATAAGTCAAGTATAGTTTGATATAGTCTGTTTTTATTTAATATAAGTTGTTTTTCACCGCATATAGTAGGTTTGATTCCTACTTTGAGGCGTATAAGTGGAAAATAGTTCAGTAAAGATATATACTCTGCAATGATATATGCAACTTATTTTAGTTTATATGGGCGTACCGGAGAGTATATCAGGACTTATATTAAAGTGTTCCGTTTTTAGGAATATGGGAGAAACTATTCTCGCCCATATTTTAGGTGAAATTCAAACTATATGGGGGTTATTCTAAAAGATAGTTTGCTATAGTACAAACTATATTTGGCTTTTTTCACAGTGCAAGATTGATGCAGATACATCCACTTACCATCAAGATTGACGCAGATATATCAACTCACTATCAAGATTGACGCAGATATATCCACTTACCATGAAGATTGACGAAGAGATATCAACTCACTATCAAGATTGGCGTAGTAATATCCACTCTCAATCAAAATTGACGAAGATATATCAACTCAACATCAAATGATCTAGTGCACTCTCCATTATGGTTTCCCCATGAACAAAATGAATCATTTATAGGTGCAACATAAAGAATACAATGTTACATAAAACTTTGAAAGGTATTTAAGCATTTGGAACCACGTGGGCGGAGGTTGAGGCCATTAAGCTCAGCAAGGGAGTATTGGCTTGACATTGGATGTACTCCATTGACTTAACACGTGGATACCATCAGATTCCAATGGAGGCCATTGGTTTCTATTGATTTTTACAAAAATACCTAAAATACACTATGACCTGAATCGATTGCAAATTAAATAGTTTTACAATATGACACAAATGGTATATCACATCAGACGTGCAAATATGAAGTTTGCAATCGATTCAGGTCATACTTCAAATTAAAAGATTAATAATCTTAGTATACATTTTTTCATCATTTTTTCTACAAAATGGTTATGGAAAAATGCTTCAAAAGCAACTTTCACACTTATGAAATGCCATACAACTTTGTAAATCCAAAGATTATACTGTTATGTTTCATAAATTAATAACATACTTGGATAAGATGTAGGGATGTGTAGGATGCAAATGGATTTTGACAGACACAAAAATACTTCCTGGTTTGGAATCTATGCCTCTACACTTCATGATTGAATTATGACTCCAATAAGTGGCCCATACGTACATCAATAAATACAAAAGCAGTATACTCATTTTGAAAAATTAGAAGAACAAATTTTTCATGAGGAGATCATAATGGAGAGCGCACTACCTCCTTTGACAAAGATATCTTACTTTCAAGATTGACGCAGATTTATCAACTCACCATCAGGGTTGACACAGATATATCAACTTACCATCAAGATTGACGCAGATATATCTACTTACCATTAAGATAGACACAGATATATCTACCTACCATTAAGATTGACGCAGATATATGAGCCAGGCCACAAGAAAAGGGGTCTTATCACAGATTTTTTCAATATTCTGATTTTTTCTTTATCTTAAAAAGCACAAAGAAACCTTTCAAATGAGCCATGTCTTATGTCCTAACAATTTTCCCTCGCATATATAGACCAAAAAGTCGGATCTGAATTTAGCACATTTTCCTCTTAATCGTGGGCACATTTTTGGCTCTGTAGCACAATTTTAATTTTTGTGATAAGACCGGTTTTCCTATGGCCAGGGTCATATATCTACTTACCATCAAGATTGACGCAGATATATCTACTATAACCACCAAATTTGACGCAGACATATCTACTTACCATCAAGATTGACGCAGATATATCACAATTGACGTAGATATATCAACTCAGATCAACTCACCATCAAGATTGACGTTGACACTACTCACGATCAAGACTGTCGTGAACATATCAGCCCACCATCACAATAGATGCAGATATATCAACTCACCATCAAGGTTGACATAAACATATCCTGAAGCGGCAAGACCTGTGGAAACCAGGAGATCAGCAGTTTTCTTTACAACATCTTCATCAAGATGCTTACAACCAAACTTATTCCAAGAGTTCCAGCCCATAGGTGGCGTCCTTGCAGTGTCTAAAATAAAAGTTTACATGTGTAGAACAAACTCGCTTACGAGTCTGATTTTTAATGTAAAAACTGCATATCTTAGATATTGAATATGAGTCGAATATAAAGTGCAGTGTCATAGTACCTTGAACCAATAAATTGAGAGTATTCAATGGTTAAAGGCTGAGGTCCGGTAATGCAAGAATAAAATCACTTTCAGTATTACTGTAGTATATATCTATCGTCATCCTAATTTTTCAGTTTTATTCGAGTTTAGTGTATGAAAATGTAGTTACATATCACTACATATAATCAACTCGTGATCAGTCACGATCAGTGTATTGGAAGACATTAATTTTCAACATTTCTGGACCAAAGGATGAAGGGCTACACATTGCATTATACGTTGATTGTTAAGGTTACCTGTGTCTGAGTTCCATCCCTGTTTATGGTAGTGGCTCATGAAAATCTCTATTATGGCATCCAGTATAATGAGGAACCCCAATAAAAATATTGCCATAAAAATATACCTCAACATCTTCCTGCTTACTTTTGTTTTCATGCTTGTTAAAATCTGAAATAAAATATAATTCAAAATATATTACGAGTTCATTGGAAACGTGAAAATCAATGTATGTCAAAATATTTCCATTTCTTTATTGACTCCTTTATCAGTCTATATCTCATCTTCCAGATGCTGGATCGCCTCAGGCTGTCGAATTGAGATTTGAGGAAAAATGTCCACCTTTCATCATCAAAGACCTCGGTCCATTCTGGAAAATGGGCCTTCTATAAAAATGGTCCTCAATTGTTGAAAAATGGGGAAGGGAATGTAACTCAGAACGCTATAGTCTGCATTGGAAGGTAAACATGTACTATACTGCAAAGCAGAACTACTTGCCAGTAATCTATTACAAGTGTTACATTGGACAACATATTGTTACAGCTAGGGTAATGAGGAGCTGATCATTCAAAGAACCGTGTGAATCATTATGATCAAAATTATTTTGGTGATATATCTTTAATTTGGTGATACTCCAGGATCCTAGCATCTTGATTCTTAAGGTTATTGCTCCAACTCCATAACCACTTGGAATTCGAAGATGGGATCCTAAATGATAATCAAACTACTATGTTTCAGAATCCCGAAGCAAAAATTTAAGGTTCCATTTTCAAAAAAATGTTGGGCCCGGAAAAAAAACTGCTCAGATCCACCAGTGTTCACTATCTCATGAACAGAAATTAAAAATGTAGGCCATGTATCTGATGTGTGGAATAAGTAATGTGTTCCTGAAAATAACACGGGACTCCAATTAGGAAGCCATTATGATTTCAGAACATACGGAATTACCTTAATGATTCCTCGAATCGCTGCAGCCCAGAGCCGTCGTGCTAGCGTCATGAGTGTGTGCCAGCTAGCTAGCAAAGTATTGGTATCTTCGGCTTCACCATTATATTTTTTATTTCTAAATTTTACGCATTAGATATAGCTAATGGCTCTCACACCGTGTCTTATATCAACGCTGTTTACTATTCGTTCAATATCATTTCTAGTGTGGCTGTCTAATACGTGTAGTGTAAACTCTGCATAGTGAACACGGTTAAAAGGTTTCTTTGACTTATGCATTTATCATGATGTATTTTGGTATTTTAGAGTTACTATTTTTATTTCATATTTGACTATAAAGATGTCACCCTCCTACCCATCTATTTAATTTTCAGTTATCCTCTCGTTTCACTAATCTGTTCTAGTCATGTGAAAATGTATAGATGTCGTTTCATTCCACGTAATATGTTTCTTCGGTTTATAACTATCTCGTACCATTAGTTAAAATGTGTTGATTAATTTCTAAATCTCTTTATCTTGTTGGTTTTATATATTGGTTTCAGATATTTTTCTTTACCGGGGGAGGGTGATAACTAAAAACCTGCCATTTGCATGGATATGTAGTATCAAATGGTATGAATACACCAATATACAATATCATTTTTGTGAGACTCTTCCAGTTCTCAAAAGTACAAGTATACCAGACATTGTCATTTAACTAAGAATTTTTTCAAATACATCTGAACAATATGATAACGAGAAATGAAATAATAATATGCACATCTAAATATTTATACTTTTAAAGACCACCTTTGTGAACAAATAACTGTACTCGTATCATATTTGCTCTTATAGACATTGTCTGTCCCAAATCATTTAGGACTGAAGCTCCATCTACAGCTGCTTTTACGAGGTGTGATCATAAAGTTCTCATAATATCTCCCTACATAATATTCCTTATTTTCATTTTTCATTCTGTGAAAATTGCGTCAGAATATATTGAAAATAAACAAATAGGAGAGATATTTTTTCCATTAAAGCATAAAATGAAGTCCTTTGAAGAAGTATGATTAGAAATATACATATCCAATACTTTTGACATCGAAAATACGAGGGATGATCATAAAGTCATTTCAATATGTTATTCAGCTTAAATTGTAATGAATATCAGTATGAATGAAATGTCTAGTTTAATATCAATATGGGACTTTGGGGTTTGTTTTTTCATTATCTTGGATGTTTCTATTTCTTGCATGCTTTTGTTGTATTATTCTTCGGTCCTTCCATTTGGAATCCGTGCTTATGTATTTACAAAAATCGGGACTTATTTTTGGATAATAGTGAATAATTAACCGATTGCCCAGCATGACCTTCAACTCGATACTTTTTTGTCAAAAGTTTAATCACAACTTACGTGGGAGCATAAATGACAATCGTTAAATATCAAGAAAAATACTGAAATGTTTGACTTGTAGTTGCAATATAAAAGCTATAACAATTCGTTACATTTAAGAGGTAAGGGATAAGTGGTATCAAAAACGAATAAAACCCTGATAAATCCAAAATAACAAACTAGCTCTCATATATTTGTAATTTCGACGATCAACATCTAATGATAACACTTTAACTTTATTCTTCATATAAATTTTATATATTACATAACAGTTTCGTCCAACAATAACATACATTACGTCACCACAAACAGATTCCAGGTTTCATTTAAGTCACTTAAAATGTAAATACAAAAAAGTATTATCTTCAGACCTTCAGCCAATTGCAATAGACGCTGTGTTAATACACACAATGGCTTACGTTACGTCACTACAAGCACTTATATGCAAGCAAGATGTACGTCTTGTGGATTAGTCTATATGTGACTAATCTACGTCATGTAGATTAGCCCATGTGACTAATCTACATGATGTGGTTAAAATTTGGTCGATTGATACTCAAGTTTAATACCATATTGGACCATAATTATACACAAACTTATTTGCTGCCTCTCTGAATCTTCACATAATATACACAGTACTTAAGATGGCCTTTCAAAGAGAGTTCGTCTTCAAGAGTACTCAACACTTTTACTCATAGCCTGTTTAGAGAAATACTATTGTTCCGGACCTCGGATGTTTAAGTTGATGATTCACCAGTGTCTGATGCTGATGATGTCGACGAAGACGGTGATGCTATCGAATCAGATGAAGATGACGTTTCGGAGCTCGGACTAACACAAGTGATATCAAGAGTGTCTCGTGAGCTTATATTGTCTATGGAGGTGTTTGCGTTTGAGTTCGACGAACAATTAGAACGTGGGGACTCAGGTATATCAGCACCATCCTCGTCTTCGTATCCAAGGAGTGCACGTAAAGCGTGCATATAATTCAACGCCAAACGCAATGTCGTTATTTTAGTCATTTTTCCATTTTGTGCAAGTGCTGTATCATGTGGGACCGCGTTCCGTAAATCTTCAAAAGCGTCATTTATTTCTTGCATGCGTGTACGTTCGCGTTGGTTGGCGGTTCGTCGACGGTATTTGCTTAATGGCGGCGGTGAGGGTTTTTCCCTTGGTGGTTTTGGCAATTTACGTCGTTGTTCCGTCTCAATGCGATTAAGTATAGATGTTTTTCGAAGATTATATTCCGGCAAATTGGTCGTAATGGCTAAATCTTTCAATGTAGAAATCTCATTGTCTGTATCAGGCTCATCGGATGACCAACGCGCCGTTCCGTTAACGGTAATATTCGCATTGGCATTAGCATTGTCTATGTCACTTTCTGAAGTTGTTGACGACATACGCCGTATTTTAGGCCTCTGACCAGTGGCGGACTTCTCCATTGTTAATTTCATTGGTGGCTTAATGGGACAGTTAACTGCATTATCCCTCAACAGGTTCACTATTGAATGTTGTCTTCTTGAATAATCTACTTTTCTTCATTCATGAACTTATTTCTATGTTAACAACTTGCTTCCCTTCGTCTTCTTTCACCAGAATAATTTATCCCCTCGTATTCTTTAGAAGTTCTGTTTGCTATTTTGTCAAACTAAGTCTAGGATGTCATGATGATATATTTTATTGTCACGAAATATTACTGAACTTATAAACTTAAAAAGCGTGGAGATCAAAAGTTGAATAAGTTCATGATCAGACATCTAGTTGTTTAACTATCGTTTTGTGGATCAGGCAATCGTTCCCTCGTGCAGAGAATAATTCAACTTTTCGTATCTCTTCTTTCTTTTGATGATGATATGTAAACCAATGATGATAGTGTTAATGTCAATGAAGAGATACTTTATACCTTTAATCCTTAGTTGATCGCTAACAACGTTATCCACTTAAAACGCTTTTATAAGTTCACCGTCTATTTTCTGAATGAACCACGTTAAGTTTTAACGGGCCTTTAATACTGTACTTTACACACAAGGTCTCTCCCGGGCTTCCCCGCCTCGATTCACATTCATTTGAATAAGAAAATAAAGTTATGGACTCGAAATAAGAGTTTAGATATTTAAAACCTGACAAGTATTGTCGGTTTCTCTATCAATGCTGTCAGTAGGATCGACTTGATGGATTGGTCCTATGGAAAACTAAACCTGCGTGGAGAGCAACACTGAATTATTAACCCTCTTGATTGGTTAGGCGTATTTAATTAAACAATCCCGATATGATTAGATTATTGATGGTATTCATGAGCTACCAATCCAAAAGTTAAATATTCAATGCTTGACTTTTTGTATTGGCTTTTGTATTGCCAATACGTGACAATATTTCAAATTATGTGTATTTAAAAAGCTAAACTTCAAATGTACTTGAGGCTTGGAATTCAATAACATTCTTCATAATAAACGTGACCAAAGTCTTTTGCAAGTGGTGAAAGAATTCAAAATCATGAAATTATAGGGTTCTGGGTATTAATTTTATTTGCTAGTATTGTCTTTTGTAAGTCTTATTGTGTCTCTCGTTGAGTGACTTTTAAGGTTAGACCGGAGAATTACCGACCTACTAGTATATTCTAAAGTGAATGTAAATTTCAACAGTTGAAGTTCTACATCATTTTTTCGAAAAAGTTATTTCACCGTTAGTGCGAGCGTTAACTTATTATGTCTATGGCCATTCGCGAGCGACCTCAGTATCAACTTTATAAGCTTAACAACAACGCATGGGCGATAGGCCTATATCTACTGATCTTAGGCATACGATGGTAGTCGAACTCAGAGAGTAGGTCGTTTGAAGCAATCGCTACAGCTATTGTTGCTTTAACGGCAGAATCATATCTTTAGGGTTGACAAAATTGCAACCAACGTTGAAAATTGACCAACCAATCCATTCTTTACGATCTCAAATACAATATCTCACCTAAGATCCGCAATATGTTATACATTTGTGAAGTTATCAAAGATTCAAAGTGGGGGGATGCTCAAAATGAAAATGGTTACCATAGATCTCTAGATCTAATTCTACCTTCAATAGATTAATCCACGACCAAAGCATTCGATAGTCTACATTGTAGTTCAGCATCAACAAGTATCCCTTTTTAAAGAATAAATTTTTGTTGAAGCATCTTTGCCTTTCTTAAGATTTCATTCATAATTTTTCTAGTCAGGCCAATCTGTGAGCAATAATTAAGGAGTACCACAGGGTTCATTGTTAGGTCTGTTTATATATCATGGTTATCTCGAAAAACTCCCATTTCTGATTTTCAGATATTGAAGACTTTAAGCAATGCGTATAAAATCGAAACGTCAATCTGTACACACAAGTTGCCCTCAAATGCATGTAGTTTTCTCACATAAATAATCGTTCAGTAACAGCGTTTACTAAGTCCGTTACATAGACTACACATCATCGTGTAATATGCTTTTGATAGTAATATAGCTATTCTATGACACATATTTTAAACAAGCTTAATCGTTTTGTAAGATATTTGGAGCTAGAACATGTATGACACACATCATTTTCTTCAAAAAGCAAATCTCCCGTTCTAAACAAAGATCTGAAGCTGATCGGGTATCTGAAGTAGACTAAGTGGCGCTTGTTTTGTATGCGCGCTATACATGTATACATTACTGTATTGATTCGTTGGCTTTGCGTTTACGGTTGCGTTATGATAACTTAAACTCTCTATTATCTGTAGATACGTTGTTAGTTCCGATAGTATTTTATGTTTTATTTTTCATTCCAGCGATAGTTTTCCATTTACCCTAAAAAAATTGATTTCGGGGAGAACATTTGAATTCAAGACATAATTTCACAGACTCAAATATCATATTTCTTTAGATCAAATTATGTTTTCGGACATCAGGACACCCCTTTACGAAACCTACTTGAATTCAGGTGTCATCAAACGTGTGATGGGGATTAATGACATTTAGTGTATGATTTTCTAAACAGCGCTCGCTAAAACTGAATAAACACTTCATTTTCCATTCATGGCGAAGCTCATAAAATAAACATTTTTTCTCTCTGTACAAAGAAGGTGATAGGATGCTGCAGGCCTGTGTTGATGGATCATATAAGCTTCAGTTCATTTTCACAATACACTGTTGAAATAAATGACAACATAGCGAGCGTGCGACAGTTTTTAGAGTAAAATAAATTTCAATTATAGACTAGAAATTTCGCGTTTAAGAAATTACTTCAATGCAGTTCGAAATGATCTATTTTTAAGTAGATACTTTTCAACCTGGTGTAAAAGCACGATGTCACTCCTCATACAATCTTTTTAACTTAGTTGAGGAAAATGTGTCCACCGCCAGCAAATCGATTACGTCAATCAAGAAAATAGTATGGAGAGCACATCATGATACTTTTCTGATCAATCACATTCAATATGTTAGGATTACACTTTTGGACCCAAGAATAAATATAAAGAACATGTAAATGTCGTTCTTCTACCGGATCGTGTTCCAGAATATATACAGATCATTTACTCGAATTAAGTTCGAGGCATCTTAGGTCTGTTTGTTTGACAGAAAACATACTTTTCTTTCACGTTTGGTTTGAATTTTTGACATGAGTACCAGCGTAAGGGGATTACAAAAGACAGTGATCAAATAAATATTTTGTAAAAATCTAATAAACAGTACATCGTTTTAATAAAACTTTATCTTTACATGACCTTTTGCCATTGGGCGACGATCCCTTCCATTGTCAAAATAAACACAATTTTGATTTCAATCAAAGATTATGGAGATTATAGACGAAATGTAAACACTCAACTACGAATAGAGTGCAGTTTTTTGCAGCTTCAGGATGTTAACTTTTGTACGATCTCGTTTTGTAGACTATTGTGGTTTAGCCTATACATTGCCTAAAAGCCACGGCGCCGTCTACAGAGCTCCACAATGTTTCAAATAACACGTGCCCAAATATTATACCACCAAAATAACTCAACTCTGAAATACCCAAATCCTTGGATCAAAATTGTTGTTGGTTAACTGTTATTACATAACATCACTTACAGATAGATTCATAAATAGATTTGCACATTCCCTCATCAAGAGTATTCTTTTTCCGTGGTATTCCGAAAAGACCCCTATTAAAATAGAACCAAGTCGTGAAGGTGGGGCAGAACAAGGAAAAGGACGAGGTAGATCTAACGAAATAGTGCCACGGGTCTAGGGGACTAGCGATGTACATGTAAGTCAGGGAATAGGTATGGGAAATCTAGGGAAAGGGTGATACAGATGCTATGACGAACGGGTAATGCAATATTATCAAACAAAAAATACAGATCTAGGGAACGGGTGTCATAGGCCAAGGGAACGGGTGATACAAATCTAGGGAACGGGTGATGTATGTTGAGAAAAACATATGATGCAGATCTAGACCCGGGAGATCTAGATAACGTGAATGCTGAATTGTTTTGAATGAGTGGTGTAGATCTAGCTAGTTTGGAAACAATTGATGCAGATCCACAGAACTACTGATATGAATCCAAGGATCATAACTCCCGTGAGATGGTGAAAGATTTGACACAAAGACATATGAGAATGAGCGCTCCCACGGATCAACTTACTTACAAGCGTCGTAAATCCCACATTAATATACATAAATCTTGATGATACGATCGTGGTGATGATATTATCGGCCTGGATCTTGATTAATCTGGTAACATAACTTCACGCCATATCCCAAAACTTCTTTATTAGAACGATACGATCTTCGGAAGACAAGGAGCTAGCATTTATCTTCAAGATAAAATCAGATTCAGACAATTATAGAAAAGCTATGATTTGTATGCAAGTTGCAAACATTAATATAACATGAAGTTGACACTGTTTTACATGACAACCTACTATAACATTATTAGGATTCCCGTAGGGGTAACTTGGAGGTAACCGTCTACTCAGACATTGAAATCATAAATTATTTTGTAATCACAGGTAGCATTGTTTACTGCTTTAAAGCATTTATTGTTTACCTCTATAATTACGTCATATAATACGGGCAAGTTATAAATAAGTTACAATAAGTTAGAAAACAGGCGTATTAATATAATTAATATGTAACCTTTGCATTCGTTTGACTTCATTTCTTAAAAGAGAGCTTCGTCTTCTAGTTTAACTAGACTCTGCGCGCGCAGGGTATATAATATGAGGCTTCACTCCATAATGGATTTGCCGATTTACCACTAAACATAGACAAAGCACTTCACCAGTAACATATAATCCACACCAGTAGCCAGTTTTAGACAAGGGGTTCACTTAAAAAATCCAGGGGAGGGTTCATATTTTACTATTTGGTCAGCGGGAGGGTTCGCTCGGACCCCCTGACCCCCCCCCCTCCCCCCTTCCCCATGATACATTTTTTTCCATACTTGGGCTAGCCATCAGCAACGGGTATCCTTAGAACTCAAGTTGTCATGACAACCACGACCCATCAGTTCCCATGGCAATCATGTGATTGAAATTGAAAGCAACAATGTCCTTTCTCAAACATGTTCACTTCTCACGACATAGAAAAAAGTTGATATCATCTAAAACGTAGAAACAATACACAGCGTTTTGCTCATCTCATATATATTTTGATCCATACAACATTCTAAAGCATGTCTTGACTCATCAACTTAATTGCTTTACAACTAACGCCGCAACCAATTGTATTTCCTGAACCGGCGAAAGAATATTACCGGAGGTTACTCGCCGTCTGGCTCAGTAAATGAAGTCATAAATGGCTCATTTCAGGACCTACAAAACAACGATGAGATGTAAGGTGTCGAAATACGAAAGAAAACGGAAATAAATTAAATGATGTCGTGAAATGAGTTTATGGATTTATCCACCTGACACGATGCCATTATCTCAGCTGCAACTTGACATCGCTTGATCAAAACTAAAAAGTTGCATTCCCAAAGTCGCTCCCATATCGTTTTAAGTAAATAACTGTGAAAAACAACCATAAAGAATTCAAAAAATCACCTGGGCGTATTATGAAATATGTGCTAATAAAATTTCTCAAAATATATCATATTATATTAGTGTTTTCACCTCTACCGATGCCTTTTATTGAGTATCAAATTACCGGGATAGTTGTTATTTTGTGTGTGTTTTATATATTGCTGATGTCAGAATAATGAATTATCGTGAAAGGGCTCCCTGCCGTCGCGTTTGACATTCAATCTCATCAGATACTTTGTGAATAATACAATAAAAAATATTAAAATACATTTGCTTTAAATAATATAACATTTCAACAGCCTCAATGGTGAGTAGTTTACAAATAAGTGGTTTTTGCCTGAAAAGGTTCAACGAGGTTGTAACACGGCGGTTAATCAAACATTTGTCTAGATGTATTTTGTATCCATTCCCCATGTATATTCACTTAATTTCTCATTTGTTGACAAGAAAGGAGGAATTGACGAGGACTAAGAATGACGATATATCCCGAGGTACATTTTTAGACACAGTACATTGCATACTACGAGATGTTATGTGCAAACCCTGGGGGCATACACCATTCAGTTGCGTGATTGATATTTTCTTTGGAATCCATTTCCTCATTCACTTATTCAAGTTGTTGTCAATTTCTTTTTGTCTGCAACTATTTTGGCTTTTTGTCGCAAATCTTGTTTGTTCATACGTTCCTTATCTCACGTATCTGTCAATGTGACTCAAGTTCCTTTATAAGTACTTTAATGTTACAACTTTAATAGAATCAAATGAACGCCACTTGCCCCTTCCATAAATTCACGTATCCCCACAACAATACAAATCTTAAGATAAATATAACTTAAAACTCCTTTTTGGACGTTTACAACTTTTTTATGTAAAGCATAATAAATGAGAAAACAAGATATTCCATTATGATTGCCAAATATTGTTGCATGTTTGTATGGCATATGGAATTTCGATCCTTTCATCGTATCTGTTTTATATCATGTTGTTGATAGGCATAAATTGAAATGACATTTAATTGATAGTTTTGGTCAAAAGCTTACAAGTTAAGCGAAGTCAACAACATTTCAAAAGGTTTATTAAACCTAAGATGAGACTTACGATTATCTTAGAGAATTACGGCAAAACCAAGGGCACCCGGCGCATCCATTACTTTTTTGACAAACTTGAAGTAGGGTACCCCTAGAAAACCTTATATCTTTATAAAATACACGCGCTACCCCTAATTAACTACCAAGATAGACTGGGTTTTCTTTCGACAATCGTGGGTTAGACTAGGCCTTCTGACACAACCAATTTCTCAGTATTAGAAACTGAAAAATTATATACTAACAACATGTACAAGTATGACTTGTAAGAAATCTCATAATACATGGTTTAGCGAATAAAATATCAGAAATAGAAAAGAAATAGCCCGAGGGCTCGACTAATTACAAAAGAACACTATATTTAACACTTGTCAATACTTTTTTACATTCCAATATTTGATAGAGCGTTTAATTTTTATTGGATATTTTGTACGTTACTTTTTTTAGATTGAAAAGTAATCTAAATCGCCAATGCTAGATACAAGATAAGTCGAATGCTTGTTCATTTTATACAGTTAGGTAATTATACAGTTATACGACCTGGTGTCCAGCAGGCCCTTTTACCTTTAAATGCTCGGAAGTCTATTTAGTAATCATTTCACAATCCTATGGATCCGCGATATAAATACACTCGTTATGCCTCAGTCACATTTGATCTACGGAAACCGTTTTTGCGAAGTACGGTCGCCCGGCGGTAGTCGTACGGCAACCGTAGAGCAAAAGTTTCCTTCCAGTTTTAATGAGTTGAAACCAAGCCATAGATCTATTTTTAGATGTTAAGGTTTTAAATTATATTCTATTCAAATTGTATCATTGTTAAAGCAATGTGTTACTTTAATTATATCACTTACATACATACATGTATAGGCCTTCATCATTACTTCAATATTTCATTTATAACTTACATGCAGGCCTTCAACTGAAGTTAGATTAATAAAAGTTGATATATTTGTTGGTGTGATTTCAGTTCGAAAATTTCTTTGACAAGTATATGTCATGTAAACTGTATTACTTATTTTAGTGACATCTTTCTGATCATGAGTTTTCTTGCGCCCCATGAACATATTCCCTAAGTCATTCGGCGAACATTTTCATTATACGACATACATGTAAATTTACAAGCGACATCTTTTTAATAAATAAAAACTTCCAGTTATTAACTGTTCAGTTTTTAGGATTTGATCCTTCCGTTCCTCTATGTTTGATTATCCTTATCATTGGGAATCCCCGTATCAGTAACTGTTTAACGGCAAACTCCTCCGAACCACTCGACCGTGCCACCTTCAGTATAGTTGACCTGTGTACGGTTGGGAACAATACACATAGTCTAGAAACGCCTGTCACCACGTCCATAGTCCCTCGCCTAATCTCAGAGGTTTGGTTTTCAAACCGTCGCTCTATCTCGTTAATCTTTTTTTGGATCTTATCACGCTCATCTTTTGCTTGTGCCCAAAGTCCTGCAAGTTTACCAGACTTGTATGCGAGTGCATCGACGGAGTCTTTTTTTCTTCGACACGACTTGAAAATGATGACGAGGAAAATAAGTGCTATGATACCGATAATGACATAAAGGAAATAGTTTTTAAACCAATCCGATATACCCTGAAAGCCTTTTGAAAACATGGCATTTAATCTGTCTATGGCCCCTGTATCAGCCATGATACATTCAGCATCAAGGGTACAAAAACCGCGGTAGTTATTACACGGGCCTGAACGCTTGGGAATGGAGTCACCGTTAGGTCGGGTGATGTTGAAATGCTCGGAGGAATAACATGTACTGTCTGTGGTATCCTCCCGACAGCAAACTTTGCAGAAGTTTTGTTTCTCATCACACTGACACGCTTCGAGCCCATAAAGATGACATATACTCCCCGAGCAGTAACCATTGTCACACATTTTAGCACCATGGTCACACATTGTTGTATCTGGGAGGTGGTTAGCGGCGGGACACGCCCCGTCAATTCCGTCGCACACGGAGGGATATTTGCACTCAGTGGCTGGTGAACAAATTGCCCATACTGTTGGCGGAACTACTTGACAAGACTGAGTGCAACAGGAATCGGATTTTGGACTACACGCATAGCCTAAAGATCTTCTGTACGTGCATTCTGGGTCTGAACCATCGCCCCCGGGTGGTGTGCAACAGGGATCATTTATACCACATTGGGAGAGAATGCCACAGTCGCATTCCTCCCCTTCTTCTACTATGCCATTGCCACAGAATGGACCGATAATAATTGAGAGACAGTCACCCTTGTTTGCAATAGCTGGCGAAATTCTGTCCTTACTGCATTGTGAAAATTTATCGTTGTTTGGTTTTGTTCCATCTGTAGCATACGGATACATGAGGAAGTTCCCCTTTTCATTATTTGGCGCACATGCACTGTTGTCTTCATCATCGTGAGGGGATCCAAAGTTATGTCCAAACTCATGAGTAATTGTAGTAGTACTGACGCCACGAGGGACTCTTGAACCATGGTTTATAAAGGACACAAGCCCCGTGTTGAAATTATATTCTCTACTGCGTGGTGGGTAGAATATTCTACTTTGGCAGATTCCACCCGGTGACCCGTAACCGCTAGAGCTTGCGATGAAAGCTAAACCTAACACACCGTCATCAAAGTCACGGTAAGTGAATGCCGTTCCGAGACAATATGCGTCAAAGTTGTACTCTGAGAATGAATTCAGGTAAGAAACAACACTCATTGATTCGTCTTTGAGCTTATACCCTGTGGTCAAACGATCTGTGTACACGGAAATCCCAGTGATGGTGAATCCGACATTGTCTCCAACGCCATTGCCGTTGAAATCAGTTGCTCTGAAAATGATGTCTGCTTCTGTGATGTGCCAGATCATCTCTGCGATTGTGTTCGCTACATTACCGCCTCCTACGTGTCGGTAAAACATGTGGTCAGCCAAAATATGGACTTCACAAGACAAGGGCGATTCCGTTCCATTTCCAACAAATCTTTTACGTCTGGGCTTTCTTTCAGTGGACCCTGGTTTATATTGTGCTTTCATCAGTAAAGCATAGTCATTGTCAACTTTTGTTCTTCGGGCAAATTCAAAGTCACGTCTTGACTCATTCGAAAAGGGGTGAATAACGTCACTCTCTCGATAAACGACAACTTCTCCATCGGTGAAATTCTTCTCGCCCATAAGAAATCGTTTAGCAGGTTCGATGTAAAAGCTCTCATTTCCAGCATGGATGACACCATCAAATGTTTCATCAACAATGCCATTGATGAAAGACTTGGGATCATCATCAAGATGTCCTTCAAATAGTTTATCACAATAAGGCGTTTCAACAAAAACATCCTCCTCTCTGTAAATTCTCATCTCTGCTTTTGGAGAAACAACTTTAGAATACGGGTACAAGGAGGCAGAAAATGATTTAGAGAATGCGTAGAATTTTAAATGTGTGACTGATCCAGTTTTGCGCCTGCTCCAGTCTGATTTCGGGTTTGCGTCTCTCTTTCTTCTGGAATTTGAATCTGGTTTGATATTCGTTATGTTTATTTTAACCATCTGATAACATGTTATGTATTGTCCAATTTGTCCTTTGCAATCGTCTTTGTGATTAGTACCCTTCGTAATTATGAATGAAAACCACAAAACAAAGAAGAGATATGAGTTCGCCATTTTGGATTTTTCAAGCATGACGTATGGTCACGTGAAGTGATGGTTGATTTAATGATGACGTCATGGTTTTTATGTTGAAGTCGAGGATCTGTGGTCCTTGAATGAGGGCGGTAGCTTGAATACAAAGTCAAGGATACAAGACATGAGTGGATTGAATACATATAGCAAAATTAAGCATTGCAGAGAAGTAGTCACCACCCATTCACCTATCAAAATGGTACCGATTATGCAAATATAACCCAGAAATGATAGTATAAGGACTTGTCTTCTTATTACTTTCTTTGGGTTTTAACTCAGCATGCTTGTGTGGTTCACGTATCTTTAGCCCAAAACGTTTTCTATGGAGGAGGTACAAATTATTTTGAGCCACTGATTTAACATAAGAATATTGAATCTATATTACACTACATGTGCAGTCATAAATTATCCCATATTAAGCAATTATTGTCAATAAAAGAGAATAAGACATTATGAAATTGATTGTTCATTCATTAGCCTATGCTTAATAATTATAAGTCTCCAAATACTGTATTTATTTTGCGTAATATTTTAAGTAAGTAAATATGTAGGCCTGACTCTTAATTACGTTGTTAATAAGAAAGGCACATATGAATGCCTCGAGTTTGTGCAAAGACCAAAGGGTACATGAACAATTGAAAATAGTAGGACGGGCATTTGATGTTTCTGAAATCTGAATACATGATCTGGCTAGTTTTACGAATTGATAGTGTCAAAACGTGTCCGTCAAATGTTAGTAAAAAAAACTAAACGCTTTAAACTGAGTAGATGCGGACGTTCATTTATATTTACCGATTTGTCGAATGTGAAGAAAATATTTATCGTGAATAATGAAGTCATACTCCTGCTCAGCTATATCAATAAAAAAATTGAAAAGGAATGTTTACTTATTAAGGAACTTGTTGAAAACATATTAGCTACGCAAACGTCAAAAATCAACAATAGCAGAATAGCCTCCCCGCAGTGCAAGCGCAGTAAAGAAAAGCCAGAATATCGGTGACAACAAGTCACTGTATTAGTTAAATGGAACTCGGAAATTGAAACTTTTAAGTTTTCGCGAAAACCAAATGTATATTCAACAGGCAGCCATGACACAAGACTTTCGACATGATTAGACAATTATTTTTCAAGGTGTTTTGGTATTTGATAAAAAAAACGGTATATTGTTATCTTAAAATACACTACCATTGAAGTATAAATGACCGATTGCTTGTTATGATCAAGAGGTTCAATGTATATAGTAGTTGTTGTACATGATAAACCTAAAAGGTTTCAACAAATATTTTAACCATAATGCAACATTAAAAAGCAGACGATCATGGATTTGAGGATCTTGGAGCTTATTTCACATGACCCCGAGGATAGGGATGAGCACGAAGTTGAGTTAGTTATTCCATACCTAAGGAAACTATGTGACCTACTTAACAACATGAGCGAAGGTAAGACATTTAAAATCGTAAAACATTTCCCAAATTAATTGAGCCTCAACGAAGAAAATGTAGTCTTATCGCAAAAATAAAATTGTGCTACAGAGCCAAAAATGTGCCCAAAAGGAATCCGTCTTTTCGGGGTCTATGTTTGCAAGGAAAAATGGTTAAGTCATGAGCCATGGTTCATTTGAAATGTCTCTTTGTGATTTTAAAGATAAACAAAAAGTCAATATGGTACCAGTAATGCCTTCATTGAACTATTTCTTAAAGGAACTTATTAAATCACACTCTGGAAAAATTTTTAGCACGTACGTTATGTGATTACATTTTGCGACTGAGTTGATAAAGCTTAAAAGAATGATATCAATTGTTTTACTTCGGCTTTAAATTGGATATCTAGTTCGTTGATATTGCATTTCATCAGTTTTTTATTTCATTTTTGAAAATATATTGGACAACTGATCTCTAACTACTCGAAAAACATATTAAGAAACTATACTAAGAAAGATATCACTATACCAAAAATTGTGGAGTAGTTATATAAGTGATATTAGAGATTACCTACTTCAAATGTATATTTTTATATTTGCTATCAACAGATGTCCTCGTCGATATCATCATCAATTGCAAGCACCAACGATCTCACCGAGATGACGTCATCATCAAACAGGGAGAGAAAGGAGACTGGTAGGATCAATTATATGTGATACACTTTAAATAATCGCAATGATCTTTCAAAATGTGACTCTAAAAAATGTGAAAAGTGAATATGTGATACACTTTAAATTATAATCGCGATGATCTTTCAAATTTCAAAGACTCTGAAAATATACTTTAATTTAGAGTATTACAAAAAGAGCATTTAAATGTAATTACTTATAGAAACTGATCAATACAATACAATCATCACTAGGAAACATATTAATTATATAATCAAAGGGAATGTGCGTTGTAATTGATGTACTTCTAGCCTGTGTTGAAATTTTAGAACACCGTGCATTGAATATTTCAAATTGAGAGTGAAATCTCTAGGGGTCCGAATGGTATAATTTCGGTAAATATGGAAATCCAGGTGTGTCAATTTTTCAAGTAAAAAATAAATCTATCTCCATTTTTTGATTGTGACTTCCATTTTACTTCTCAGCTTCTACATCCTTTTATCTGGAAAGACATCTGTCTACATCGACAACCAGAAGAGTGAAGAGGGAATCACTAGAAATGATGATGATGACCCTAATGTAACAAGCAGGAAGACAGACATGCAGAAACTCTTTGACGAAATTGATCTCATCAGTGGGAGGAAGAGCAAGAAAGAAATAGACGCCAACAAGCAGTTTGTGCTTGACAGAACACAGTTTGGAAAGTTCATCATGAATTTTGGTGAGTTTTACAATTCATAAATGATATTAAAGGGAGTATAAGACCTAGCGAGCTACATTGCCCCAATTTAGAATGTTTTGGGCTTATTTCATTCCTTGTCATGTCTATTTTCTAAAAAAAAACTCAGTGCATGATGTACATGTACATGTATTTGAGGAACACTAAACATTTTTACATCTAGCATTTTTCCAGGGCGCGTATAATGTTAAATGGACGCTTATACATTTTCAATGGATTTCAGTCCATTTTGTTAAAAATCAACGTCTAGTTCGATTTTTACGACATTTTCTTTCAGACGCTGGCAAAAGTTTCGGTGAGCTTGCCCTGATGAACGAAGATGCAATAAGGAACGCGTCCATCATAGCTGATGAGGATACGGACCTATTGGTCGTATCTAGAGGGCTATTCAACAGGTGCATCAAGGTATGAATCTAAATGTAATGACAAACAATCGATGCACAGTGGTTGTTGCACATACATTATATATACTATTTATTGTTTGTTTTTTTACATAATAACTTCTTTTGGGGTACTTTATCTATAAGTAAGTGTACAACTTTCTGATTAAAAATAAATATTTGTAATGTAAAAGATGCATTTATTCACAACGTATACTAGAAATGAAGACATGTTGTTAAAGTCTCTAACTCTTTGTGAACGCTGTTTGCCGTTCTGCAGTCGGCGTCTGTAACAAATGGCAAGTGGTGATATTTTGCATGTTAATGCCTTGTTACTTAATGTATTCGGAATGTATTACATTTGTGGTATTACTGAAAAAATGCAATAATGCGTCTATTTATCATCAGGCCAGACAGGAACACGATTACATGGAGAGAAAGGACTTCATCATGAAGTGTCCATTGTTTGACCAATGGAGTGTCCGCAACAAAAGACTATTGGAAATGAGTCTGAGAAAAGAAACATACACATACGACACAGATATCGTGAAACAAGGAGAACCAGTTAAAGGACTACACTTTATCACAGAGTAATTTTTAGCTCTTTTTATTGTGGAGTAATAGGTTTTGTTATTGTGAAATTATAGCCATTGTTCTTGTAAAATATCTGGGTCTGTAACTATTGTTGCACTTTCCGAAATGATGGTATTTTAGCACGTAATGCCTTAATGTTATCTTTTCTGATCTGTATTTTTAATGTTGATTGTTGTGTTCTCTGATTGCAACTATTTTACCATCTTCTTGTAGGGGAACAGCAAAGATAGTCTTGTCGCCAGCTTTGCATCCGACACAATACCCCAGACTATTCAGTGATGAAAATGACCCGCTTTCGAAAGAACTAAATAGGTGAGTTGAGTTCAAAGGTATGAATTGAGGCGTTTGATTCCCAGTGCAAATGAGGCGTTCTAGTCTCAGTACAATGTTACTCGAGGCGTTGATAATTCAAAGTATTTAATTGTTAAATTAGAGTACAAAGGAATGCATTTAAAAACGTGATATTGCAACAGCTTTCGATTTTCTTCACAGGTCTATGCTGAAAAAACAAGAAGATGTAAAGAATACAATCAACGATCAGATTCGAGTTCGGAGGCAACATGGATATGCTGCCGCTGAGAAGCGTCTTAAACAAAAGACTATTGACCTATGTTGCGTTGACAAGAGTGACGTCATCGGAGATATAGAAATGGTGCTCCCTTTAAATACATACCATCACACTATTGTCACAACATCCAATTGTGAAGCATTTATTCTCGATGTTAAAAATTATGAACGTTTAGTCCCAAAAAAGAATATGGGTTTTATCGAATTGTTAAGGAAGCAATTTGAACAAAAACTCAAAGGTAGAATTAAGACACCCCATGGAGCACAAATTAAATTATTCCAACATTTCCTGAACAAAATCGATGATCTAAAACCTAAGAAAGCAGCACCTCACCTGAAGAAGCAACTTGCACAACGGGAGTTACATTTGTTGAATATGAGAAAGTTGTTCTTAGAAGATAGAGGGCCAATGCTGGAACCATGTGTACCGGGAACAATATTTTACAAAAACATAGCTAGATTAAAATCAAGTTATCATAATCCTTGGATGATCCAAGCTGCAACAATAGCGGAAGCTGCCCAAAAAGAGAAGCCCAAATTCACTGTTGATATTATGCCTAAGACGAGGATTCCCACTTCCAAACGGCGACCTCGTTCCACGAGAGAGTTGCAGAGCCTGCGAATAAGCGCTCCTCCAAAACCAATTCTCGTTAAACAGAGGTCATCAAGACCATTGACTGCTCCAGGGAAAAGAGTTTCTGATGCTGTTGGCACAGGTGCCACTACTGGAAGGCCACAGACAGCTCTTGGACATAAGTCTGGAAATACAGATGATGTTAATGAGCTGGGCGAACCGAATATGCATGATATAGTCGATCAAATTGATGAATTGCAGAAGAGAAAGGAGTCAAGTCGTAATCGCATACTTTGTTCCATGATTGTTGATCCATCAAAATCTTATGAATCAAGTTCCGGGGCTAAAGCTCGGTCTGTGTCAGCCCCTGCAGTTAAGAATGGAGAGGTAGAGGAGGCAACAGAGGAACCGAATACCACCGAGGAAAGCGGTAAGGGCAAATATATAGTACAGTTAAATAATTGAGAGAATGATTGCATGAGGCAGCCACATACCACATGTATCATCATTATAAGTGGTTTAATTAACTCAATTTCAACAATCTTCTGTGGAAGAAACATTGAATTGAATTAAAAATTGAAAATCAAAGTATTGAGTGTGTTTGATAAAATGAGTAAACTCAGAACACATGGGTCAAGTCGGAATACTTCGGCAAGAGCCGGAATAATTTGGTAGCCGAGAACAATTGGAGCTCCACAGGCGTCGCCCACAATGTAATCAAATGGGACGGAAATAATGGCGGATGGACAAGTTTTAACGTTATCCGATTTTGTTGAAAAAAATTAGTGAACGACTGGCACCATGTAGCCCCGTGTTGAAGGGCCGTTGTGATCTGAGAACATTCTTGAAAAACGAAACACCCTATTCCACTTGCGCTTGTTTTTAACCAGACGCCAAAAGTCATTCATAAATTACATCGATGTTATCCGATTGATTCATTTTTCTCTGTGTTTCCACCGCGTGTTTATGTTGCTTATCCCTCAAAAGTTTTCTGAATTCCCGAATAGTCTAAGCCTCTTGATTCCCCATTTGCCTTCCAAATGCAAACATTTTTTATACAATATCACTTAAAGATATGAAATTGTTTAAAAGAATATATTTTCAAGGATTTCAACACTTACAATTTTGACCTACATAAGCATGTGGATTGTTATTCCCTGTGATATTATTTATAGGTTTCTGCTCAACTATGAACTCGATCAGCTTATCGGTTTCAATTGTTTCATTAGAATCTAAGTGACCTTGGGTGGTTTGTTGGTTATTGCAATAAAATACTGTGTTCAGATTGGCTAGAATTGGACACACCTTGTCAAGATATGTGTGAATGACTGTGTAATTAATTGATTCCAACAAAAAACAACTTTCTGGTACGTCATATTAATGGGCATATTTGAACTGCTTAATAATTTGACATTCTGATGGTCATTTGAATTTCTTAATAATGTGTAGTCAAGTCATCACGTATATTTCAGAGGAATCTGACAACTACTATGACTGGGAGACAAGCGAACCAGCTCTGAGGACATTGGAAGATCGGTTGATGCAGTTCCACAAAGGCTGCAACGACAGCCCACTAATCAACAAGAAACTTCAGCCGACTATGTGGGGATTAAGGAGATTTGACCTCAAGGTGAGACATTATAGAAGGAGAAGTCAAACTGTGTAAAATTAAGAAATGGGCGGCACAGAGGCGCTACATACCTATATATAAACAAGAAAAATTAGAAGACATAGCCAAAATAGAAAGATATCCTTATTTCCAATATTATATTTTACTGTATTCATGTTATTAAAGAAGTGCAATCTATTAAGGCGGTAGTTATATATTTCTTTGTAAATTCTGTGTTATCCATATGCATATTATTCACTAGATAAGTCACTTCCAGGGTCCGGAGGCCATCCCTATGTCAGGTGGGACAGTGTTTGTAAAGACAAGGTTGTGTAAATATCCCCCAGGGGCACAGATAGATCCAGAATATCACAAGCACGTCAGACGCTTCATTATACCAAAGGAATCATTTAGTAATCCACAGACTTTAACATATACTAAGATGGTTTAAATTTGAAATAAATATATATATAATGAACCTAAAAATATCAGCTACGGTTATGTATCTTGCATATGTTTATATCCTCAAAATGCTTCAACTAATAGACATTTTCAATAAACTATGCCACCTTTTGCATGATAGATCAAAGAAGTTACTGAATGGATTTATTATGCCATGAGTTTTTGATTAATTTTTCCAAGCAAAAGAACTAAGTTAGGCCTTTTACTAATTTTGAAAACGTTCAACCTATGACATGATCAATCTAGCCAATATATCCCAGTTTCTTCAATTACCAAAAGATGGCAGGGTTTATTTGAAAGGAATATCGTTCATGGGCTAAGCAGGCATGGGACAGGTGGGACAATTGCATTAGGCAGGTGAGGCAATTGCATTAGGCAGGTGAGGCAATTGCATTAGAAAGATATCCTCAAATAAAAATTTGATAAAAGTTGACCTTGTTTAATTGCTACCATTACGCTCCTCCCAAGAAAAACATTAGCATGATTTTTTTCAACATTTAACACTCACTCCCTCCTAATTCCTTTGTTATGGAATAGCAGCCAAGGCCGTATTCTTAACAAAGAACATAATTCATACTAAACATTTACATATTCACATTTGCTCTAATGCAGGTATGGCACCATACTGTAGTGTCAGTTGTGCCTGGATTATGTATTTGTAACATTTTGTTCCTTTAGTTCTTTAATAAAATTTAAGAAATATAGACCGAAGAGCAGGGGCACTAGTTTCGAATACACCCAGCTGGTCTCGGCACAAACGTTTTCTGTCATTGGCGTAGCCAGGAGGGGGTTCGATGTTGTGATCGCACGACCCCCCCCCCCCATCACCAATGAAAATATGACCATGATGATAGACGAAGAAAAAAGCCTTATTTGAAGCTTCTAGCTCAATTTTGAAGGGAGTTACATACATTTTTGTAAATTCAAAACAACACGTTTTCTAATGATCTGATGATTTCTAATGATTTTCTGATGACCAAGTTTGAACCCAGCATGAAGGATTTACTACCCAGTACCCGGTTCTTTCTACAAACCCCATCTCTAGCTACAAAGCAACCTCGAAAAATGGAAATAAAATTATAAAAAGTTTTCTGTTTAAAGCGCTGCATAAGTGAGCTCCAACTGATACAAACGATCTAGAAGCACTCTAAAACAATTCTTGGTAAACTTTCACTTCAATTTATGTTCTCAATTCAAAGTATGAATTCCGCGAAGATTTCTCGAAAATCAACCGAAATTCAATATTCTCTATATATAAAATGTACAGCGGTGTTAAAGCCAGTAATTAAACAAACTAAATATAATTCTAGTTTGCACATTGACATATTCACATTTGATGCAGGTACCGCATCACACTCCTCAAGTGTCAGGTGGCTGAGTTGTGTCATTTTACTTATCGATGTGTTTTCATTTTTTATGCGGGTATATAGCATCAGGTGAAACGTTGGAAGTGGATCCAGGGATCGTTTGTTCAAATGAACTGCATTTTGCAGTTACAAAGACTCAACTTTCATCGAGTGATTTTCATAAACAAGTTTTTATCATTTCATGGGGGAATGTACTAAAAACCCTTCGACCCTTCGACCCTGCAACCTACGACTTACAGCGTGTCAAGAATTTTTGAAATATATTTTTATAAAAACCCTTCGACCTTCTAGATAGGCTATTTCTCAGTCCATATGAAGTTGCTGGAAATATTACTTTGTGTATAGAACTTAAGAATCTGTCCCAAGAGAGTTAAAGATATTAAAGCTGGACTTCGATCGGAGCCGGCGATATGATTTTGGAAAGGTTTCTAAATGAAGAACGTGACGTCACTTCCGAATCATAGCATTCAAAAAAAGTAGCGTTTAATTACTCCCATCATTAATAAAAACACGGTGGTCCGGCGAATGCTCGCCTATCAACGCGGGAGGCCCAGGTTCGAATCCCGCATTCGCCTTTCTATTTTTTTTAACTAAATGATTGTTCTTTGACATTACGCAGATAATTTTTTTTATTTACATAAACTTTCTATTAGAGCTTGTAATTTATGTAAAAACAATATGTGTCAACATATTACGTTTACGAGCGATGTGCAGGTTTAATGTATTCAAGCACATTCGAATGTGAACGTTTCTTACCTCCTCAGTAAAAATATTTGTGCTTTTCCCATCACATTGCAACAGTGGCGCATCGTGCATATTTTCAGGAGGTCAAATTTTTTATATAGTTTAAAGACAACCGTCTTTTGATTTTATCAACTTTGATTCAATTTGGATTTGTATAGTTAAGAATCTAATGCCAACTAAATAAGTAGATTCTTTGTTTTGCAAGGAAAATAAACACAAACCGTCAAGAAAAAGCTTGTAAGCTAGGTCATATCAGGTTCGTATAACCAGCTTTTGCCAATTTAAGTTTTTCAAAAGGATCAAGGGGTGAACATTTGACAATTTTCAAGTGGCCCAGAAATCTTGAAAATGCTCAGATTCGTGAAAAATTGTACTGATTTTGAGAGAATATTTGGCCAATGGAGTGGTCCACTTGAACCCACGAATGTCCCCCCCCTGAATATATACATTTTAAGGGCATAAAGGTTATTACAAACACATCTATACAACTATATTTATTAGACATAGATATGAAACATTTCAGAACTAGATAACAGCAACGCGAGGTGGAGCAAATCCCATTGAACTTTTGATCTCAAAATCGTTCAACTACTTTTCAAGTTTTAGTAAAAAAGTAAAATAAGACGAAAAATTTCGACGCGTGAAAAGTCCGAACGAAATGCGTACGTTTTTTTCGGCGTTCGTATTTTTGCTGTGTAGACGAACTTTTTTAGAAATTTTTCTACTGAAACATTTTTGCTTGACAATTACCAGGTAAAATGCGTATTTGCGTGCACAGGGAGCTCAAGTTGGAACTATACGTAATCATTTAGTAAACTGGACTGGGAAATCTGGGAGGTCGAAGGGTTTTTCAATAAAATATATTCCAAAAATTCTTGACACCCAGTAAGTCGTATGGTCGAAGGGGGCTTTGTATAAAAAACCTCCTACCCACGTACCCTCGTACCCACGTACGTGGGTCCTGACCCAGTCTTTAAAGAGTTAAATTTTTAAATGTTTAAAACATTATTCAATCTCAGTTTATCCTGAATTATAGATGAATTTATGCATCCATATGCCTTTATTTATAGGTCTGACATCTCTCTAGTAAAATAAAATAAAGCCGGAATTGCATAAATGTTCACTATTTTTGAGCTATTTGATTTATGTTTTTGATATGTCGAAATGTTTTTTGTTGATCGGGCAGTCTTACCTGTATAACACATCAGTGCTGATTAGCAATCTCCTAGCCTTCGTTCAGTGCAATCCGTGCCTCCTGTTACCTCATGCAGATTGTAAATGTCCCGGGAAGTTTACCCTTGTCCAAAAGTTGACATCTTTTTAAAAATATATTTCTTAGAGTTTCCAACCAATTAAATTCACCACATTTTATTAGATGTTTATTTCAAATGTTATTAGAATTCATTCTTACGAATATTATACGTTATTAACGTATGTTAGTCAAAGATTTGGTGTCGTTGTCCATTGTATTCACGTTTTACGCGCAAAAAGCTAGAAACTACAAAGCTGAACTTTTATCATTCAAACCAGTTTTACATCAAATCATTGTCAAAATAAAACTCTACTCTTCATATTACCTAATTATGGTTCAAACGGCCATGAATAATGTCGAAGTTTACAAAACCAAATTAACTTACACTCCCCTGCATAAGTTTGGCAACTCTAACTTTTAATTCCATCTAAATGATTCACTGAACTAGTGCGCACAATTATCCTTAAATTGTGCCAAAAAGCGATTAAAAACGAATATAGCGAATCCTTCTACTTTTCAAATATTTCGTTATTCAATTGCGCCACGGTTAAACAGAAATGCAGCCTTTATTATTCCTTGAGATCGTGTGAATTGATCACTCTATCACTTTGTATCTCCAATTCTGATGTTAAATTAAATAAAAGACATAAGACAAATTACACGTATAGTTCAAATCTGTCGTGCATACTTGTAATATCGTTTGAAAGAATAAAAAGTATATGTGATAAAAATCGAAACTACAGGGTGTTAAAAAACAGGACCGATGAAAAGTTGAATAACTTCGTCAATCCAGAATCATTCAGGTCATTCAATGTGAATTTTGTTGTGAAAGTTTGACCATATTCTGCTCATGGAGTCAAAAGCTACAGCACTTTACAACACATGCCCCATGTGGCCAATTTGCGCCAAGCAATAGATTGGTTGTACACTGTAAGACTGCCCGATCAACAAAAAATCGCTTCGATATATCAAAAACAACACTCAAATAGCTCAAATGAACATTATGCAATGCCGGCTTTATTTTATGACGAGACAGATGTCCGATCTAGAAATAAAGGCATATGGGTACATAAATTCATCCATAATTAAGCATACATTGAGATAGAATAATGTTTAAAAAATGTTAAAAATTTAACTCTTTAAAGACTGGGTCAGGACCCACGTACGTGGGTACGAGGGTACGTGGGTAGGAGGTTTTTTATACAAAGCCGTCGAAGGGTCGTAGGTCGAAGGGTTTTTAGTACATTCCTTTCATGGGCGAAGATAGGCACAAGGCAGGGATAATATATCTATTCGGACGGTTTTTAGTTGATCTTGGCCACACCTATCATGGCCTCCAGGACTGTCAATAGATGGCATAGAATTCAATAGGTTTAATATACTTTAACATGTAAAAATCTCGAAATGTAAAAAGCAAAGACGTTTATATCAAATAAAACATATATTCTTCAAATATATATAATCGTAAATCATTTATATAAGGTCTAGTATATAAGAATAATCACAGTTTATTTCAAACAAATCAGCTAATCAAAATCGGTAATTTAGACGTGGTCCAGGTACGTTGACGTTAACGTTAGTGGATGGTCGCAGAAGACAACCCCTGTCTCTTCTTGAGTTTCATTCGTATGCCGTACGTACTGAAAAATGAAGATCGGAGCATATAAACATGTATTTTATCATTATCAAACCAAATATATAACCTCGTGTTTCGGTTCGTTGTATTCTCATTGTAATTTTAACAAAATTAATTATTATCAAAAACTTGCTGTAAGAGCACTATTGAAATTTGGATATTTCACTTACATAATTAGACAGAGGGCAATACCCGACGTTGCCGCCATCACGAGGAATGTAAGACCAGCAAATATCTTTATTGTGTTGGAATATATAAGTTTGAACAGTGATTGCCCCATTAGTGAACACAGTGTTTCAACACAGCCAATTGCAGCGAATAGAGAACCTAGTGTGAAAAGAAGAGTGTACAAGCACGAATCCACAAAACGCAGTCTTGCGAAGTCAATTCTGGCGATTGGGAACGTCAACATGCGAACTTACATACGAACACCCCAACGAGCTCCAACGAGCTCCAACGATCTACAACGTACACGTACTAATGGGAACGAATTTTACTCAATTCCTATTCGCAAGACTGCGCTTAGAGGATTCGTTCATATGTAAGGGGGCCTTAAGGTCATTCATATTCTGGTCTTCGCTGTCGGTACTAACACAGGGATAGTAGACAATTTTGTATTCACCAGTTACAAACTAGTATATTGTTAGAGGTACCGGACTCATGTTTTGTTTGGAAAATATAAGTGGATTCCTTATTCCTTGAGTTGCTTCCTTAAACCAAGGCCGAAGGTCGAGTGGAATGTAACGTGTAATCTCTAGCTTTAAGTTGTGGGACAATTTCATTGAGTTTCATGTTTCTTTCCTTATTCTAATTAAATATCAGTGGATTGTCGACACAACCATATGTAAATGGGGAGTTTAAGCTTGAAATGTTTTTCACAACCTAAACGTAAACGGAAAATATCTTAGCGATGCACGTATGGGCGATTGGTCTTACGTATAGGTTGGCGTTTCGATTTTAGATGCAAATTTAAACTCCCTATTTTGTCTACACTAAACGTTTAAACCTTACCTATCTGGTGTGGCTCAACAATTTTTGACATCATCGATCTCAGCAAAGGTATTACCAATCCACCAAATATGCCGATTACTGTAGCTGTAAAAATGTGAAAACTGAATGAGTAAAAATGGATGGTTTAAAATCATTGCGTACATCAGGAGAATTGACTCCTGAGTTTTCTATCCGATCCTTCGCCGATACTTCGTTCAGTGCGTTCAAAGCGGTCGACCTTGGCGTTAAAAGTATGACGATACATTGATCATGATGGCCAGCCATAGGCGGCGATCTAAGAATGGAAATCAAAACATTGCTGCACGTAATTGTTATCACGTGAAAGTCATGAGATCACAGCTTATCCTGTCGATCGAGGCAGCGACATTTTGTTACGAAAACGGATCCGTTTCCGTAACTAGTTTGAAGAGTTATTCCACAGTGTGAGAGTCATCAAACTTTTGCTCACTTACCTGTAAAGGATCACTTTCACACTGGTGAACTTTTTTTTTCTCTGCCTCTTAAACTGCTTTTGAATCTAATTCACCAAAACACGAGCTCAAAAAACCATCGCCATTCGCAATTCATGTAAATAACTCAGAAAAAATGAATATGGGATCAATTGATCACCAGGTCACGCTGACATAAATGCCAGACAGGCAGCTTTTTTACAAAAACCAACAGCGCTGTTTATCAATAAGAACGTCTATATACAGACTAACAGCAGAATAAAGAGATCTTTCCATGAAGAACAACGGCAATGCTCGGAGAGCAAATTAAATAGGAGGAATATTTTGTATAAGTAAAAATAGCACAATTAAATTGTATTCAAAAACAGCCAGTTGCCAATCCACTGTGGCTAGCACATGGCTTTAGACTACTGTAAAACCAGTTAATTCTTAACCCCATTGAGACCAGCCAAAAGTGTTCGGATCAACCGGTGTTCAATGTGTTTTTTCAAAACAATGTGATTAAGAAAAAGGTGTTCACGTTGAGAGGTGCTAAGATATACAGGTTCCATTTTTTGCAGAAGGAAATGAAATGAAGTGTTGAAAATCATTGAGTCTTACCTCCAAATACCATATAGACGTTCGAGGCAAAAGCGAACAACAGTGCATTCCCTATATCAGACACAATCGCTATGATGATCATCTGATAGTCTGAGAACCATATCTGCAAAACCTTCAAGAGAAATATTGACGCAACTAGCTTTAATCCTATTCCAACCCCAGTGTAAATTCCGGATAGTGAAGCGTTGAAACATAAAGGAGCATCTAATACTCTCAGTCCATACACACTTAATCCTCCAACAGCAACCAGGCCGAAGAATAGAAAGACAAATAACAAATTGAGTAACTTCCATTTGGAGCCCTTATTCAAAGGATCCTTTGTAAATGTGTCTAATGCATCCTTCAAGACACCTGACATTTGAACTGTTCGTTTGGGAAACATAACTGTTTCTGGTACAAAAAAGAAAATATATAAGCAATTGATCGTGCCTATTACTATGGCGAACAGAAATGGGGGTAAGAAGCCACTTTCCCCGATCCAATAACCAGTCCCAATAGCGGTAGCCCCTGCTGTCCCCCCAAATGAGGCCTCTAGTAATGTTATTCGGAAGCTTCGGTTCTCCTTCGTAGTAATGTCAGTTAAATATGAAAAACAACTCATAAACATTGTCCCGTACCCACCAGCAAGACCTTCAATCACAGCTCCAATAAAGAAATAATAAATTGGGAGATGATACGTCAATATTATTATGCTCAACAAACCTCCTAATACGGTTGATATGACAGGAGTCAACAGTCCGAGCTTCCGCCCGTATCTGTCACTATAAGCACCATATACCATCGTCGTAACGAACCCGGGCGTGGTCCAGACCAGGGCATAGTACAATGTCCACCTAGCTGTCTCAGCTTGGATGTTCTGCTGTTTTATAAAGTCTGGATCAGATGCATTCGTAACGTCACAATGGGTACTACCTGTCTTTGGATTGTATACAAAATGGTTATCCTCAGCAAATCGTTGATACCAATATTGCGATATGGTTCCCAAAATGGCCATTGCACCACATGCGTATAATATTAAAACTGGCTCTACAATTATCTTTCTCTTTGGGACTCTTATGCGTGTCTCTGGAAGAAGTGTTACATTGTCAGTTGTATGTTCTCCACTGTTGGCACTGTTCATCTCATCATTGCCTTCAGTGTTTGTGTCAGCATTTGGTGACCCATCTTCTGTATTGGTTACCTCTTCCATTATAACTTATAAAACCAGTCCTTACATATAAACAAGCGTCTCAAACCCTACTTTAATTGTGGGAAAACGCTATTGTTCAGGGATGAGATTACCAGCAAATCTCTTGTTTTATCACAATCAGAATGATCGATCCGAGAAGTGATTCAGAAACGTTAAGGTTGGGTCTCGTGATGGTTCTTTGCTAGCCGGTGTTATGACATACTATTAATGGAACAAAATGAGTTCAAAATCCAAAGATTACCATATTTTGTTTGATTTGCTCCCACTCCTGATCACTTATCACCTTATATATAGCCTACTAAATGTGATTTATAAATCATATAACTACTTGACAGTTTACATATTTCCTTCTATATTAGGTTTTATGCATCTGACATCGTCGATATGATAGTAAAATACTTTTGAACGATTACACCATATTACTAGTCTATCGTCTACTCCACTCTATGCACCTTTACTCTGTTATATGGTCCAATCCAAATACTTTCATCTTTTGGTCTGCTGACGGTAGGCTTGTTGTTGCACTAAACGTTCACAATTAACGTTCATCCCATGTTTTATGTATCTTCTTACAGCCGAGATCAGAGGTTATATTTTATTGTACGCCACTGTTGAATATTCGACGGCAGTGAACATTTTGTGAATAGTTTATCTGGTTTACTATTAATATACCCGTAGACTCGACTATGTATATTCAGTACAGTTGTATGACTAGCTGTTAAACATCTGTGTGCAGTTATAACGTTATTTGCCTTCAGAATATTACAATCAATATTGGCAACAGTATATAACAGTACCGTACTATTCTAAGCTCGCCTTGTGTAAATCAATATCACAGTATGTTCATTTCACATTAAAAGATGGAAGCATTGTATGTAGTAAGTTGATTGTTTGAGGTTGTAAATTACAGCACCTTTTATTTGTATACATATCACAGTGACATACGCAGTCTCTGCTAGTTACATAAGACCTGAATGATAAGTAACATACAGTGGCGTTTTTGCAGTATTTTGAATGATTCTATATCTGCTGTTTATCGTAATAATTCAGGAGGTAGAGCTCCATTAGAACACTCGTGAATCGTGATGTAGTCTCGTCAGCCTTGACCTCAAATCGAATACAGAATCACTGACATTGAAGGCAGAGTTCCTTGGGACCGGAGCTACATGTACATTATCTGGTTATTCTTAATATGAGTCCTGTATTGTCACACCTGGAAGACTGAAAGAATACCTGCCTTATTTAGGCAAGGGTCGATCTCGTCGATGCTGTGCCAGATTATGTACCCGGGATGTGTCAGCTGGTTATTCGCTATGTAGAATGTCCCATGATCATAGCTTAAAATCGCAGCTACATTGTCACGGCTGATGTATAGGGATTATAAGTTATGAAATCGTTGATTACATGCTGTAAGATTGTAGGGTTTACTCTGGATATTACACATTCTTACAGTGGTATTAGCTCGGGGCTATTAGACTAAATGCTGTTACATATATCGATGATATCTTATCTCTACATGCACAAGTTGTTGAGCTATTGGCAGACTGGATTCAATTCATGAAATGTCATGTAGTGAACAATTTAAGCTAATGTACTGATGAGGTCTTTGGCACGTGTAGACTGCTGTTAGAATGAGATTGAGCGATGATCGACTCTGTTGTGAATAGTGATTGAATTATCTACATCCATAACCTGTTAGGATTAATATCAACCCATAGATACACTGTTAAAATGGATACAGAAGATCAAGTACAACATGTAACAAAGAGTAACGGGGAGAACCCTGGAGAAAAGGATCCACTTATAAATGAAGATGGGCGACAGACAGTTGAAATCACATTACCCAAAAGGGCAATCATAATAGAACCAGTGATGTGTTTATATTTCGTCGCATGGGCACCTGTGTGGAGTATTGCCCAGCAGTATGTGTATTCGCGGGTTGCTGAAGAACACCAGTTCCCACTTGACTCTAGAAATGATACCAACATTGATTGTAACATAAACAAAAGTAACCCTTTATATGCTACAGAGCAAACTGTCCAACAGATAACCTCCCATTGGTTATTGCTCAATCAGATTGCATTGATGGTACCAGCTATGGTTACCACTGTCATGTTTGGTGCGTATAGTGACTCTGCTGGGAGAAGATTTGTAATACTTTCTCCCCTAATAGGATGCACTTTGAGAGCTGGCATGTTCCTCGTAGTCATAGCCTTCAAGTTGAACATTGCTTTTCTCCTCATTGGAAGCATCTTGGAGGGCTTGTCTGGAAGCCTAGGCGCCGCAATTATGGCTTGTTTTTCATATGCATGCGATGTGTCAACCAATGAAAACAGATCGTTCAAAATTACAATCATGGAGATATCAATTGGTATAGGAATTGCATCATCGTTGGTATCCATAGGGCATTTTATAAAACATGCTGGATATATGTATCCGTATGTCTTTGTCATAGGAGTGCAAACTTTGAACATAATATATGTCTACTTTTTTGTCCCAGAAACTGTCAGGAGACAACAAGACGCCAAGTTTCTATCACTTCGTCACTTTCGGGACACATTTGTGTTATACACTAAGGACAATGGTACAAACAGACGTTGGAAGTTGTGTTTACTTATCATTATCTTCCTCCTTTGTGAAATGGTAATTGCTGGCAGAGGGGATACACAAAATCTGAAATTGATGAAAACCCCACTCTGCTTTAACTCAATTCTTTTGGGTTATTTTGGAGCCCTTCAGGCCTTCACCATGCAGCTTGGCAGCATGGTGGCTGTTAAGTTGTTCCAGCATTGGGTGTCTGATGAATGGTTCGCAGTCTTTGGGACATTTGGAGGAATGGCAAACAACATTTTCTTTGGGTTTGCTAATACTACTCTTCTCATGTTCATGGGTAAGTAAGTCTCGGAAAAATCAAAATAGACAGAACAGAATGTCTATAAATCCAGAACATCAATATTTTCTTCTTCCCAACCCTACGATCTCCACACAAAATTCACAAGATCCCAAGTTGGCATACGCTACTCTGGATGTTATTGCGTTATATGAGCATTGAATCCTTAGTTTTCCATTTGCCATATACATAATATTGTTTTGAAATCTCCCTGAATTAATGAGATTTTAAATGAATTACATGTTCAACCACTATGGACTTACATGTACCTGTGTTTCATGACATGTTTGAATTCTGTGTATAATACTTAAATTTACGAACATTGTAACGCCAGCTTGATTTACAGTTCCTATTGTTGGTCTGGCTGGAAACATGGTTCTTCCGTTTGTCAGAGCAATGCAGTCTAAGCTAGTCCAGCCATTAGAGCAGGGTATGTACTCGTGTTTGACAAAACTTAATTGGTGTTATTCTTAGACTATTAAGAAAATACTTGCATGTATCTTTGAACCAATCATGTTTGCACGTACCATATCCAGAGTTGTCATATGGTGGTCTTTCGCTCCCTCAGATACAGAAATATTCTTATTTTAGGAGCACTGTTTGCAGGCCAAGCCTCCATACAGTCACTGTGTGTGTTACTTGCTACAGCCTTATTCAATTCAACATATGCAGCTACTCTTGGCATCTGGGACAAAACTGTGTTCATGATGATGGGTGGAAACAATTTCTTAGCACTAATCCTAATTGTGTAGGTGGAAGCAACGTCTTATATCACGATAAAAGCAGTAACAAAAAAAGTATTCCAATCATTTTAATCAGGCCCGTAGCCCCCCCCCCCCCCTGGCCAAAGATTCTTTCAAAATCATGCAGTTTTTCGTCATTCTGAGCACCTTGTAAGTGATTTGGGCTATTTTTGGACAAAAATTGTCAAAAGTGAACCCCCCTGAACGTTTTCAAAAAGTGGAACCCCTCCCCCTCACCCCTAGGCAAATCCTGGCTACGGGCTTGCCACCTGAAATAGATTAATGACTAAACAACTTGTAAAATGAATAACGATTTGGTTCACCCTTATTTGGATCTTATAGGGGAGCATGTACCTGGCGACATCTTGAATATTGATACTTTTAATTTATTTTAGTTTATACATGATATTGCAAATGAGGGAGAGGACTGTTAAACAATCGTCGGCCCACTCATCGTCTTATGAAGCAATAAATTGACAAGTGGATACATTGAAGACGATCTAAAAATAACAACGAATATAATGACACTGACGCCAACAAAAAATAATCAACTGATCTAGGATCATTTGAACTACCCTCTGTATCAAAAGTCTTTTCCTATTGAGAAAACCCTTAAATTACTTTTGTATAAGGCAATTAAACTTAATGAAACTTTCCACGCATAATTTGAGGCATATAATACACCCTCTGTGAAAATTTGGAGACAATTGATTGATTTTTACTCAAAATATCACATATAGAACATAGCATATACCAAAAACACCGATGTGACTTTTCCAAGTTTGTGATGTCAAACTTACCTAAGATTGCCAAACTGACCAAAATCAGGTTGCTCTGTAAAAGTATGCAGACAAAAGTCTTTATATATAAAATGCTAATTATGAGCAGAATGTGTTATTAAATATACAAAACATGTACTCTGAATGTCCTCATACATTTTACTAACAGCCCTGGACCATGTTGTACTCCACTTAACCCTTTCCTGACCAAAATTATTTGAGGAATTCAGAAATATGTTGTCACAATAAGCACTGCTATTCTTAATATATCAATGTTCGGTGCATTATGATTCAGAATTATTGCAATAAAATGGAAATATGATAGATTCTTTTGAATTAGATACCAAAAGTACATCAAGAATATTTAGAAGATAAACCCCTGAGAAAATCATATTGACACATAAGTCACAAAATTATACTTATTGATGTCATTGGGCAGGAAAGGGGTAAATATTAAGGAAATATGGCATAACAATGAAGTTAGGCAATACTGTTCTAAGACCCAAGTGTAAGGACTTTTGCATTGTTATTATACAGCTTTCAGTGACACCTTTATTTTATGAAATATACAACTCTCATGAACAGGATCATTTGTAAAGTCTATAACATATTCTGATTGCTCATTATTAGCATATTATATATAATAACCTTTGTCCACTTAGTTTTGCAGAGCAGCCTGACTTTGGTCAGTTTGGCAGTCTTATGTAAGTTTGACGTCACAAACTTGGAAAAAGTCACATCGGTGTTTTTGGTATATGCTATGTTCTGTATGTAATATTTTGAGTAAAGATAAATCAATCGTCTTCAAAATTTCGAATAATGTGTATCATATGCCTCAAACTTTGTGTGGAAAGTTTCATTAACTTTACTGGTCATTTACTAAAGTTCTTTGAAGTTTTCCTTAATAGGAAAAGACTTTTGATACAGAGGGTATGAAGATTAAATGGGAACTGATATATTTTTTGTGTACATTGTGTGTATACGGTCGCTTTTTGTCCTTACTGACTTGCTTATGTGAAATGTTACATATAGAACACAAACGCCTGTAACTTTTTACCATTTGTGAGTTGAACCATAGTACTTGGCAAATCAATGTAACTTTGAATAAGCTTTAAAATGATATATGACACATACTTTGGAGACATTGGTATATGACTCCCTAGGGGGACATACTTTCGGGATACCCTGTATCATGTACTAGAATAGTACTCAGAATGTTTGGTATGATGATACAGAAAATTAAGATGGATACGATTTTAAAGCACAATATACCTGTTTGATTTACAGAACGTATTTTTAAATGATTAGTTGCCCTTTGTATGTCGTTACTGGGAGAATTATTGGGCCCGGGGATCTTGGGTTGCTATGAGCAAATTGCATTGAAGTTTTGTAGCATTTGACTGTGATTCCCCATGCCTATATTCACAAATAAAATACGTTCTAACAAAATCGCATCGCGCATGCGTATCAAAGATGTTCAAACATTTCCGTTTTCGAATGCGTAACATTATGCACTAGGATTAAGAAAGAAGCAGTACAGTACATGTAGTAGTCTCGATGATGCCTGAAAGCTCCTGCATGGAGTCCTGCGTTCAGAGGATGCTCCGTGTTTTTGCATACTGATAATGCAAGTTCATCATATACAGTACAGCGTGTAAATTGTACTTTAGTATATGTAGCTCTATTAACAAACAACTTGACCTTGAGTATTTTATATTTATAACATGCAATTCTTTTGTCTACCGTGCGATAAGCAATACAAAGTCTAAACTGAAGACATATACTTGGCATACCTAGGGGGAAGACCTCCTAAAGGAGATACATAACACATACATATATAGACGCCATGCCGTAAAGAAATAACCAAACACAATGGAGGATCATAACTCAATCGACCAAGATGAGTCCAAACCTCTCATGCAGAAACACCCAGATGATAAAGATAGTCATATCACCATCCCAAAACGACGCGTCATCATTGAACCAGTTATGTGTATGTACTTCATTGCGATGTCACCTATCTTCATTGTTGGGGAACAATACATTTACTCGAGAGTTGCAGAGGATCATGGGTTCAAGTTTGATTCCAGAGGCGAAATATCAGATTGTGCAGTCAACCATAGCAGTCCCGAGTACCAGAAAGAAAAGGCTGTACAAGAAGTCACTTCTCGTTGGCTGTTGATTCTAGAGGTAGCGATTACAGTGCCATCTATCTTCTCGACTGTTATCATAGGTGCATACAGTGATAAGGCTGGGAGGAAAATTGCATTTATTGCCCCTATCATCGGGTGTTCCCTCCGTGGAATCACATATATGATCGTTGTCTATTTTAGATTACCTCTCCATTGGCTTATACTCTCCAGTGTATTCGAGGGTTTAGCGGGAAGTACTGGTTCAGCTATTTTATCATGTTTTGCATATGCTTGTGATGTATCAACTGTGGAAAATCGATCATTCCGGATAACCGTGATGGAAATTTCCATTGGGATAGGTAATGCAATCGCTGTAGGTTCAACTGGACCTTTGATTAAAGCAACGGGCTACATGGTTCCATACGTCATCATAACAGGTGTCCACTTGGTAAATCTTACATATGCTTGCTTTTTTGTACCAGAGACCGTCAAAGAACAGCCAAACACTAACTTTTTCACACTGAACCACTTCAAAGATACATTTAAGCTATACGTCAAAGACAATGGCACAAAACGACGATGGAAATTGATAATACTGTTAGTTGTCTTCTTTTTTTGTGAGATGGTAATTGCAGGCTCTAAAGGGCCACAAGCTTTGAAGCTTCTGAAGTCGCCACTTTGTTTCAACTCGGTGCTGTTTGGGCTGTACCAGGCAGCTCAGGGTCTAAGTATGCAGACGGGTACAATGATAGCAGTGAAGTTATTCCAAAAGAGAGTCTCTGATGTATGGTTTGCCTTCTTCGGCTGCTTTGGAGGAATGGCCACTAATATCTTCTTTGGATTTGCTAATACGAGATTATTGATATTTATGGGTTAGTATATATGAAAAGTGAAGGATAGGAAACAGGTTTTATAGCCAAAGTAGGTATTTTGGTGTATCACCATTTTGTGCTTCATAATGATTGGTGTAACTAGTTGGTCGTCTTGTTCTGTTTTCTTACTAGAATGTTTTTTTAATGGTATACCAAATATGTTATTTTATTTCTCTATTACGTATGTCTTCAGTTGTGATTGTTGCCTTCACGGGAAACATGGTGCTTCCAATGGTGCGATCGATGATGTCTAAGCTTGTCCAACCATTAGAACAAGGTACAGTATGTAGTAAATATATGGATGTTATTTTATGGGAGGAATGGAATATGCATTTTATTCCAAGTTAAAAATCAATTGATCGAGGGATCTGATACGGAATTTTGGCTGATACGGATATTGTTAATATCAATTATGTTCCCTGTTGGGAAGACATGGGAAAACTCTGTGTAATCAACATATACTGTATAAATAGTTACTACATATGATGTATAATGTTTAGTTTATATATGCATGCGCAATATGATCAAAAAGATGTATCGTTGTTTCTATATAAGGTTAGTCTCAAGATTGGACTATTGAAAAGATTTCTTGTTGACAATTATTTCAAATTTTTTGATAACAATACAACTTTTTATCTATATAATAGGAAAATGGATATTTGTACATTACATAAGCAGACACTCATTATTTCCACAATTTTGATCAATTGTAGCGCTTAATTTTGGCTTAAACTGGTCAATAGCATCATTGACATGCTGTTGAGACAATCAATTCCACTTCCCAACAATTCTATCCTTAATAAGGGACTGATGAGTAGATGTAAGAGGCTCATGATAAACCAATTCTATTCGTTCTCCCAACACATGGTAGTTTCAGACGTTGTCATCGGATGAATTCCAATTATGCTGTTTTTGGACCATCATAATATGAGCTCATTATCGAATCATAACATTTTCCAACAAGATGTCAAATATTTAAAGGAAAACGTGCCTAGAATCATCTCCCTTAATCACTGCCTCCCTCGGATCAACCGAGTCTGCGGCTACCACGTAAGGTGAGAACTAACAGATTTGGTGTTGGTGTACCATAGATCCTTTACATCTATTCAGTCCCTTAAGGACAGAATTATTGAGAAATGAAAATCATTGTCTCAACAGCATATCAATGATGCTTTTGACCAGTTTAGGCCAAAATTGAGGGCTACAATTGATAAAAAATGGTGGACATATTGAGTATCTGTTTATGTAAATCAAGTTGATAAAAACTTGATTTTTGCAAGTTTTGGAAAACCCGATTTGAAACGAAAATGACGACATTTATATTATGGACGCTAGTTGACAGACATCATAATAAATAATAAACTTATGATATACCAAATTGAAGATAAGTAAATTCCCTATCCACTGGTATATAATATGACAGGTTTTGATGAAGAAAATCAATATTTATTTTTGAAATACTAGTGTTCCATTTTTTGACCACCCTGTGGCCTGTACATGCCTGTACATATGATAATATATGAAGTTACAGAAAAGGGGATAGAGTTTGCATTTGTAGGGAGGGATGATGATGATGAGGGAACAGTGATATTGTGAGGAGGCAAATTACACATAATTGTACTAAAAATTCATTTTATTATTGCTATATAGGGTCGCTGTTTGCCAGTCAGGCCTCAGCACGTGCCTTGTGTGTACTGACGAGTCAGTTTATGTTCACAGCGACATATGCTGCCACCTTAGGAATATGGAACGGCATTGCATTCATGTTAATGGCTGGTAACAACCTCATTGCACTCTTAGTTATAATGTAAGTGGGCCCATTTTGAATTCGGAAAGTGAGTCAGTTTGTTGATTTTCAGTTCACCATTTTAATTATCTCGGACCAAATTTTGTATTGTATATAAGATAAAGCAGCAACAATATTTGGGCATGGCTTTTCTTTGAATTGGCACTGCCATGTGTTTCTCACAAAATGTCCATTATCGTTCTAATGCTTGTTGTATTGATTTCTGAAAGATGGCGCTTGACATGTATATCTTTTTTAGGAAATATCATTGGCATTTTATAAAAATCACCATGTTATCATTAAATGCATATTAATTATATTTTTGTTTCAGATTATACATGGTATTAATTAAACGAGAGAAGAAGAAAGAAACAGAAAAATACGCTTCAATAAATTGAAAATATACAAAAATCATACAAAAAACATCAAATAATCGTAGCCTATTTGACATTTGTTTTTATTATGTAACTGAATACCGTATATGTACATTTATAATAAGGAGCACACTAAGACCTATATACATTATGTACAATTATTTATTTACCCAATATAGGGCAATCTAAGATAATAGCATATTAAATCCACGATCTTAATCTAAGCTTCACAGTTGCTATTTTAAACTTTCAATTAATCAATAGCCTTGAATTAGAGTCATATAAAGAGTCCATTTTTCTTAGTGAAATTAATTCAGTTTAGAAATTGGACTTGAGTCCCTCTGAGATGCGATCATAGCAGTTGTCCCAGGCGATAGCGTTAAAACCAGAGATGACAGCTTCAAGAGTCTCTCCAAGCGGCTCCTTGAATAGCTGTTGAGTAAAATAAGAACATATTTAAGGTCATATTTCAAATCATTTTTCATGTGTGTCACATTTGCGCATTTGCGAAGTCTACAAATCGCCAGGTGCCAGTTTGGTTCCTAAACTTGCCGGCCGATTTTGGACAAAAAACTCATCAGTCGTGCGCCTAATCGAAATTCGGAGTAAATGTGCCGTTGAAATATTAGGGTAACTTAGCACTGTTTTGAAGAACATGTACGTGAAACCTGTTGTAAATTATGATCCCCTGTGGACTGTTTCCAGCTCACTCGCCTAAAACGTCATTTGCCCTTTTCAGTATGAAGGTTTGAGGAAAATGTGTATAAAAAGGTCCCCGTTTATACCAGTTGACAGGTTGGCTATTGTTCCTTCAGATAACCCAAATAAACGCATTTTTCCAAAGGTCCTACGCATCTGTTCGAAATTGATCAAAGCGCCTCGTTCTCTTCAAAAATGCCCCGTTGGATATTTACACCTTGAAACTACACATTTGTAGTCATAGACTCTGCGGGGCGTTTTGGAAGACAACGGGGCGTTTTGGTCAATTTCGAACAATTGCGTAGGACTTTTCAGAATTGCTACATTTCATGTAATAAACATGTTGATGCAGCGATGGAGGGTTGTAGTGGGAGTCCTTGCGCAGAATATTTGGGAGAGTGATAGAAGAACTGGCGAGATATCAAGGATTATGGTTGAAATCTATGAGGATTTGCAACTTCTCACATCTGGGGACCAAAAACGCCGCTAAAACGAGGGACTTTGTAAACAAATGCAATGTCTCGACTGAAAGGTATATCTGTGAAGGTTTTAATGGAACAAGTTTCAAGAAAAAACGGTGCAGTGTGAAACTCACAATTATTGATTTTCCAAAGACAGGGTAGATTTGAAGTTCAAATTAATGGTTTTGCGGGGCGTTTTGGTTTCGATACGCCCCGGTAAGTTGGTACCGCGTGTACATACTACCTTACTGACTCATCATGATCACAATTGTGTTGGGACTACATTCATTTTTAAAAACTACTTTTTTCTGCATCAGCGGAGGTGACGTATTATGGCATTTTGGCCATTATGCACTAGGGTTAAGAAAGAAGCAGTACAGTACAGTCATGTAGTAGTCTCGATGATGGCTGAAAGCTGCTGCATGGAGTCCTGCATTCAGAGGATGCTCCGTGTTTTTGCATACTGATAATGCTAGTTCATCATATACAGTACAGCAGCAGTGTAAATTGCACTTTAGTATATGTACCTCTATTAACAACCAACTTGACCTAAAGGATTTTACATTAATTTTATTACGTGCAATTCTATTGTCTACCCCGTGCGATAAGCTATACATAGTCTAACTGCTAAACTGAAGACATATACAGTACTTGGCAGTTGGCATACCTAGGGGGAAGACCTCTTAAAGGAAATACATTACACATACAACACAATGGAGGATCATAACCCAATCGACCAATATGAGAGACACCCAGATGATAAAGATAGTCATATCACCATCCCAAAACGACGCGTCATCATTGAACCAGTTATCTGCATGTACTTCATTGCGATGTCACCTATCTTCATTGTTGGGAAACAATACATTTACTCGAGAGTTGCAGAAGATCATGGGTTCAAGTTTGATTCAAGAGGCGAAACATCAGATTGTGCAGTCAACCATAGCAGTCCCGAGTACCAGAAAGAAAAAGCTGTACAAGAAGTCACTTCTCATTGGCTGTTGATCCTAGAGGTAGCGATTACAGTGCCATCTATCTTCTCGACTGTTATCATAGGAGCATACAGTGATAAGGCTGGGAGGAAGATTGCATTTATAGCCCCTATCATCGGGTGTTTCCTCCGTGCAATCACATATATGGTCGTTGTCTATTTTAAATTACCTCTCCATTGGCTTATACTCTCCAGTGTATTCGAGGGTTTAGCAGGAAGTACTGGTTCGGCTATTTTATCATGTTATGCATATGCTTGTGATGTATCAACTGTGGAAAATCGATCATTCCGGATAACCATGATGGAAATTTCCATTGGGATAGGGAATGCAATCGCTGTAGGTTCAACTGGACCTTTGATTAAAGCAACAGGCTACGTGGTTCCCTACGTCATCATAACAGGTGTCCACTTGGTAAATCTTACATACGCTTACTTTTTTGTACCAGAGACCGTCAAAAAACAGCCGGACGCTAAATTTTTCACACTTAACCACTTCAAAGTTACATTTAAGCTATACGTCAAAGACAATGGCACAAAACGACGATGGAAATTGATAATACTGTTAGTTGTCTTCTTTTTCTGTGAGATGGTAATTGCAGGCTCTACGGGGACACAAGCTTTGAAGCTTCTAAAGTCGCCACTTTGTTTCAACTCGGTGCTGTTCGGGCTGTACCGGGCAGCTCATGTTCTAAGTATGCAGACGGGTACAATGATAGCAGTGAAGTTATTCCAAAAGAGAGTCTCTGATGTATGGTTTGCCTTCTTCGGCTGCTTTGGGGGAATGGCCACTAATATCTTCTTTGGATTTGCTAATACGAGATTATTGATATTTATGGGTTAGTACATATGAAAAGTGAAGGATACGAAATAGGTTTTACAGCCAAAATAGGTATTTTGTTGTATCCCCATTTTGTGCTTCATAATGATTGGTATAACTAGTAGTTGGTCGTCTTGTTGTTCTGTTTTCTTACTAGTATGTTTTCTTTTATGGTATACCAAACATGTTATTTTATTTCTCTATTGTGTCTTCAGTTGCGATTGTTGCCTTCACGGGAAACATGGTGCTTCCAATGGTGCGATCGATGATGTCTAAGCTTGTCCAACCATTAGAACAAGGTACAGTTCGTAGTAAATATATAGATGTTATTTTATTGGAGGAATGGAATATACATTTTATTTCAAGTAAAAAATTAATCGAGGGATCTGATACAGAATTTGGGCTGATACGGATACTTTTAATACAAATTATATGTTCCCTCTTGGGAAAACATGGGAAAACTTTTTTATCAATATTACTGTATAAATAGTGATCACATATGATGTATTCTGTTTAGTTTATATCTGCACGCGCAACTAATGTAAGATCAAAAATATATATCGTTGTTTCTATATAAGGTTAGTCTCAAGATTGGACTATTGAAAAGATTTCTTGTTGCAGTTATTTCAAATGTTTCGATAGCAATACAATTTCTTATTTAGATAATAGGAAAATGGAGATTTGTACATTATGCTACATGTTTAAAATACAGGGTGGTCCAAAAAATGGGACACTCGTATTTCAAAAATAAATATTGATTGAAAACATGTCATATTATATAATTATATACCAGTGGATGGGGAAATTACTCAGTTCTAATTGAGTATATCATAAGTTCAAATATAGTATAATGCCTGTCAACCAGCTTCCATAATATAAGATATAAATGGCTTCATTTTCGTTTCAAAACGGGTTTTCCAAAACTTGCAAAAACCAAGTTTTTTTTCAACTTGATTTACATAAACAGACACTCAATATGTCCATCATTTTGATCAATTATAGCCCTTCTTTTTGTTTTAAACTGGTCAATAGCATAATTAGCATGCTGTTGAGACAATCAATTCCACTTCCCAACAATTCTATCCTTAATAAGGGACCGAGTATGTGTAATGGGTTAATGGTAAGCCAATTCTATTCGTTTTCCCAACACATGATAGTTTCAGACGTTGACATCGAATGATCCAATTATGTTGTTTTTTGACACCCATGAAATGAGCTCATTTTCGAGTCATTATATTCTCCAACAAGAGCTCCAGCAAGCAAATATTTAAAAGAAAATGTGCTTAGAATCATCCCCTTAATCACTGCCTCCCTCAGATCACCCGAGTCTGTGACTACCACGCATGGTGAGACTGAGAACTAACAGATTTGGTATACCGTAACTCCTTTACATCTAGATCTATAGTCCCTCAAGGACAGAATTATTGAGAAGTGAAATTCATTATCTCAACAGCATATCAATGAGCGCTTTTCACAATTTATGTCAAAATTGAAGGTTACAATTGATCGAAATGGTGGACAGATTGAGTAGTTATGTAAATCAAATTGATAAAAAACTTGATTTTTGCAAGTTTTGGAATACCCGCTTTGAAACGAAAATGACGTCATTTATATTATGGATGATTGTTGACAGACATCATAATAAATTTGAACTTAAGATATACCAAATTAAAGATAAGTAAATTCCCTATCCACTGGTTTATAATATGACATGTTTCCATGAAGAAAATCAATATTATTTTTCGAAATACGAGTGTTCCATTTTTTGGACCACCCTGTACGTGCATGTATATGATAATATATGAACCGTTACAGAAAATGGGGTAGAGTTTGCAATCGTAGGGAGGGATGAACAGTGATATCGAGAGGAGGCAACACACCTTATTTTACTAATCATTCATTTAATTATTGTTATATAGGGTCACTGTTTGCCAGTCAGGCCTCAATACGTGCCTTGTGTGTACTGACGAGTCAGTTTATGTTCACAGCGACATATGCTGCCACCTTAGGAATATGGAGCGGTACCGCATTCATGTTAATGGCTGGTAACAACCTCATTGCACTCGTAGTTATAATGTAAGTGGGCTCATTTTGAATTGAAAGTGAGTCAGTTTGTTGATTTTCAGTTCACCATTTTAATTATCTCTGACCAAATTTTGTATTGTGTATAAGATAAAGCAGCAACAATATTTGGGCATGGCCTTTCTTTAAATTGGCACTGCATTTGTTTCTCACAAAATTTTCATTATCGTTCTAATGCTTGTTGTAATGATTTCTGATAGATGGCGTTTGACATGTATATCTTTTTGAGGAAATATCATTGGCATTTTAAAAAAAATCACCCTGTTATCATTGAATGCATATTAATTATATTTTTGTTTCAGATTATACATGGTATTAATTAAACGAGAGATGAAGAAAGAAACCAAAGATCCCAGTCAGATTCTTTTGAAGTACAATCAGTAGCTCAATTAATATTCCTTGAGCCTATGATTCTTCTTACACACAATCTGGCCAACATCTGTGAAAGAAACAGACAAATACGCTTCAATTATTTGAAAATATACAAAAACCATACAAAAAACATCAAACTATCGTAGCCTATATGACATTTGTTTTTATTATGTAAATAACTGAATACCGTATATGTACATTTATAATAAAGAGCACACTAAGACCTATATACATTATGTACAATTATTTATTTACCCAATATAGGGCAATCTAAGATAATAGCATATTAAATCAACGATCTTAATCAAAGCTCCACAGTAGCTATTTTAAACGTTCAATTGATCAATAGCCTTGATAGAGTCAGATAAAGTGTCCATTTTTCTTAGTGAATTTAATTCAGTTTAGAAATTGGACTTGAGTCCCTCTGAGATGCGATTATAGCAGTTGTCCCATGCAATAGCGTTAAAACCAGAGATGACAGATTCAAGAGTCTCTCCAAGCGGCTCCTTGAATAGCTGTGGAGTAAAATAAGAACATATTTAAGGTCATATTTCAAATCATTGTTCATGTGTGTCACATTTGTGCATTCGCTAAGTTTACAGATCGGCCGATAATCGCCCGGTGCCAGTTCGGTTCCTAAACTTACCGGCCGATTTTGGACAAAAAACTCATCTAAAGGATGTATTCGACGATATTACACCTGCTCCGAGGTCGATATTCCGATTCGAACATGAAAACTGACCAAAATGTTCGAATGTTCATTATGGTCCGCCATTACTACGACCCGCCGTTATGGCGTCACACATTATACGTATTACCAGGGGTATTGTTCGCGAATATACCCCGGGTGAAATGTTAACTTTGTTCACAGTTTATAGAAGCCGTGAATACAGTCATGTTCGAATCAGGAATAAGCCCACAAATCGGGGCTATCATGAATTTTTAAACGCACATACCCCTTTCCCACAAATTAAAATACGATTTTGCACCACTCGTACTTACATCAAAGTAGTTTGGATCAAATCCATCGGCAATGCGTGCCACGTGCTGGGAGCTAAGATGACCTACGACTTGGTTAAATAGCTTTGTGTCTTCAAGGTTGTTAATGCAGAGGTCAAAGCCGTTCATGATTCTAACGGTGTGGGCCACCCACTCAGGGTGATTGAAGTCATCTCCGCGTACGTTTTTAAACAGAGCCCTGGCTTCTGGGTTTTTGGCGAAAAATCTGGAAAGGCGAACAGAATACAGACTTCGCAACTTTTTTATAAGAGAGCCCATTATTGAATCCCGGGTATTGAATTACACCCTGTTGATCGCCGAAAATGAAAACGATAGCCTACATTTGATTTTTATCGCGTTTGTAGAATGAACGAAAAAACTTAAAACTCAAAAAGACAATCTTCAAAAGAATATAAAATGAAATTGTATAATTTTTTTCATAAATTATATTTTAAACTACATCTCTGTGATAAATACTCTCATATTAAGATCAATCTCATTATAACTCCTGTCTATCCCAAAGATAATAAAAATGGTGTGTTTCGTGAATTTCCGGATAACTCCGGTAACCTTCCTCTGGTAATCGTCAAACATGAAAGTACAGGTTGTGATTTTCATTTACATTCAAACTTACCTAGTAAATACATCGGTGGCGATTTTTACTCTGCCCCCTCCGTTAGTTGCTGTCCAGAGATCATGCCATTGGCTTGACACAGATTGTTTGTCCTCCGCAGAGCAGCATTCTTTACTATACCCCACTGCTACGATAGCCATAAAGGCAAAGGCAATAAAAAGTTTCACCATTGTTGGAGCTGTGCTGGGAATCATAACAGAATATAAGTTGGAGACTGGGAAGTATAATCGACCTGTTTTCATCTATCATACAAATTAATGCTCTATTTTTGAGCAACACAATTGGTTTTCATTTGATTTATAATAAATAAATTGAATTAATGAAAAGATTTACAAACTCGTTATGACTTTGCCAATCTTCTGTTTACTTAATTTCAAATTATAAATGAAAAGGGTTTGCAAAATATTTTTGAGACAGAAATGTACTTTGTATGTATGATCGCAGCCTTGCCAAAGTCAGTATTTTTTACTTATCTGATCTTGAATAATTTTAGAAATCGAATTGACTTGGGCAAGGCTAATATGATCGCGAACACTGTAATTACGGTGAAGACTTCCTTTGCCAAAATCATTTCGGAAAAAGAGCGGTAAATGATACTTTAACATCACAAAAGAAAATTGTAAAAAACAGATACAACACCAAAATAAGGCGTTAATTATAAATAAGTACCTTTCAATAAATAAAAATCTTCGTTACGACTTTTTAGTACTTTCTGTCATTATGATTTATGTAAATTAGACGAAACCACTCTATTAATTATTCAGAATAATGCCTACCTGCAGTTTGAAACGTTCCACGTTTGTGAATGACAAAATGGCGTTGCAGACACCTTTTAAACTGACCATACACTATTAATCAGTCTACGGCCATGGACACTCAGAGTCAAAGATCGACGACCAGTAGACAAGGTCGTTGTCATATCATAGCATTCTTTTACTTTTGCCTTTTATCAATTAAAACAGAGTAGTTGACCTAGAACAATTAATCAACTTCTCTTAATCTGATCACGTAGACAAACATTATATTGTGTCACGTATAAAATCATCGTTTCATGTCGCGTTCACAAACATTGTTTTGTATCACGTACACAAACGTTACTTCGTGTCACGTACACAAACATTGTTTCCTGTCACGTACACAATCTGTACTTTATGTCTTGTATAGATTAATACGCGTTGCGTCACGTACAGAAACGTTACTTTGTATCACGTATACTCGTATAAGCAGAGGACAAAGACTCTTGCCCAGAGTATCCTCTAGTCTTTCCCTACCCAATGTACTAATATTTATATGAATCTTCTTTGTAAAGTGTCCCTGGGCCCTAGAAAGAACCTGTTTTGGGCTGAATTGATATAATACTATAGTCTAACACTGATTATCGATTACTGATTACACTGAGATATCGAACAAGCAGGGAAGCTCGATGTTGTCTTCCTTCAAGCCATTGTAACACCCCTCCCCCGTCTCCAAAACATAACACACCCCCGGGAGTTGAATAAGATGGGTTGGGTGTCCAGAAACTTGACATGAGACTACTGGTCTACTCAAGGCACCTTTAACCCATTAAAATGTCCGTGATCCGAAATATTGTCAGCCACCCATGTCAATGTTCATTATTTTAACCTCACTTTGCCTAATAAACCACTATGTGCTGTTTCAATCCAAATGTGCTGCTTTAACCTCAATTTAATGTCTAGCTACTAGCCCCAGTAACCCCCCTCTCACATCTTGTCTACATTGGTATGAAAACTTCTCACATAGGGTTGGGAGGTGTGTAGGGTGGGCGCACAACGGCTTGTAGCTAGACAACCTCAATGTACTCGTTCAACCTTTAACCTCAACATGTTGTCTTTAACCTCAGCATGCTAGGATCTTATGATTTTACAAAAGTCCGATTTTCGATGAACATGTTAATGTGGTGGTGCATTTCCCGAACCCAATTACCCACATATTTTTCTTCAAATTTTGTGTAACAATTTTTGGTCTTTAAGATTTTATCAGTTTGTACGAGTTTGAACTCTACCGATCGTCAGTACGTGCTGTTTATATTTTATCTAACCTTGGATTATCTAGACCCGTTTAAGATAGCCACTGGTCACTTATATACATATTCCTTTTTGATAACACTCAAAAAGCAATTTAATATGATTGATTACAGTTATACTCGTACAAAGCTTAAATTCACTGCTTTGTATTTTAACATTACGAAAATACATCCCATTGATAAAAGAACTGACAAAATTGTCAGGATACAATATCTATAAATTAACAGCAGAATCAAATCTATTAGACTATATTTTATGACTCTGGAATGTGGAAAACCCATACCACACTATAAATAGCGCAGCAACATTTCAACCAATATTCAAGGAGGTGCATAATGTCTTGCTTTTTTTAAAATACCATTTGCTGAAAAAACTTTCGGCTTTCGGGTCGAAAAATGTCTTTCATCATGCACAAGGGGTCAAAAAACGTAAATATTTTCACTTTTATACACTTTATAAGATGCAGATTTTTAATCTAAGTAAACATACTTTAATTAGATTATCATAATCTAAAAATTTATTATAAGTTCACTGTAAATGTCGTTGTCTAATACGTGTAATTACATATGAATGAAAATGTAACTCTCAATAATTCTCCATTATTTTTTGAAAACTGGATTGAAAAGGGCATTACATATATTTCAGATGTTGTCCAGGATAGGGAAATGTTAGCATATGATAACATTTGTCCAGAAAATAGGGAGAAATGGCCAAACAATTCTTCAATATAATGCACTTAAAGCATGTTTAACACAAGATCTCCTTATCAAATATGAAATGGAAACACCTTGTACAAAATTATTTCTTAAAGGCATTGAGAGCCATCTTTTAAACACAAGAATTGTGAGAACAAAAATTGTTTTAGAGAGAAAATGTGACATAAAATTTAATGGTGAGATTCTAAACGATAAAGTCTGGTCTCAATTTTTTGAATGTACAACCGATACTACCATTTTGGTAATTCAATGGAAAATTTTACATGGTATTTACCCTCAAAATATTTATTTGAAGAAATGTAACATTGAAAACTCTGACATCTGTAATTTTTGTAACGCACATGTAAAAGATGACATTGACCACTTCTTTATCAATTGTGACTGTATTAAATCAATTTGGGATGATGTAAATGTTACAAATGATCAAAAAATTGGAAATGCAATTGTTAAAAAAGAAGATTTACTTAAAACATTGGTAATTAAAAAAGCTATACATGATTTAAAAAAAGGGTCAATACAGCTAGTAATGTAAAAGCTATTTTTGATAATGAAATAATGATCAGAAAGATGTAATGTAACTTGAAATTTCTATAATTGTATTTTATCTTATTGTATGCATGTAATGTAAAATATGTTTATTAATAAAGTTTGATTTTATGAACAAAAAAACAAAAAAAAACGTGTAATTACATAAGTGTGCTTTTTAGATTTTGTTTCAATTTTCAAATACGGGCAGAGTAGGTTCAACAAAACGTTGCGAACTATTAACGTCGACCATGCTAGTAAAGATTGGGGGCTAATGAAGACGGTAGGGGTCCACTAATATTTGTTTTATTAAAAGAAATAAAGATATAACCATAATTAAATCTTAAATATTCAAAAGATCACATTTCAATCTACACTATGTAAAAAATCAAAATTGTTGGCGACATTGAAAAAGTCGAAATAATTAAGCCGATAGACTTCATGCTCCAAACCGTGAATGGTCCTTTTCAAATACGAGCAGAGCAGATTCAACAAAACTTTGCGAACTATCAACTTAATTAGGTAATTCATGATTGTAATCGTGTTCGTTTTTCACCATTTAAAACACTATCTTACCAGATTTTATTTTATATTATCTCAAGGGCTCAAATATTGTTGTTATTTTATAAATCCCAAAGCAGTGCCAAATGTGTAAAATTTATATCTCATTAAATACAGTGGTTTCGGAATGTTCATACGTATATTCCAAGGGCATGGCGTAATTATCTATAGGAGTTATTTGCAATCGAACGTCTTTCAATTCTTCTTCAACGTTACTGCCGCTGGCTATCACCACATTTTCTGATGACTATATCTTCTTTGGCATTACTACTGGCTACCGTCACATTTTTTGGTGGCAATTATAACGATGTTTCTCAAAGATTCATATATCCCCCTGGTCTTAGTGGTTGCTTTATAAGCAACTGAGCAATATCTAACTGTGGTCAAAATTATTTTTGCTGAAGCCGCAATAAAATTGGAAGCAACATGTAGAGTTGATCTCCAAATGTATTACTACATGTAACAATCTCAAATATATAGTTTAAAAATGGAATCAGAGACATGTAAAACGTTTTTAAAAATATTTTGTGTATTGAGATATGGCTGCTATACTCTTATCAAAATTAAAATAAGACATGTATATAGGTACGAGTGTCAAATAACCAAAACGTTCCGTACCCTTGTTAAAGCTAAAACGTTAATAGACAGTACTTAGTATGATATATCATTTGAAAGATCATACGAAGTTGCTAGAAAACACCAACTCTTAAGTATGTTGGATGATATTTACTTATATTTTTATGATGTCCTTTATATATAGTGTGATCTTAATTCTCCAGTAGCTTTTATTGCATCAAAATGAAGAGGAAATGATCTCATCAAAACGTCAAAAGTTTATCTTTTTCGCATCCCACTTCTTACAAAAAGTAGTTGTACTATTTTTGTATTGAACTGTAGAGCAGTGTACACTATGCTTTAAAACGTAGTATCTGCAGAATCAGAATGTAAATAAAACTTGCTTACTCAAAAACCTGGATACATGCATGTTAACAAAGGCCTAATCTTATTTGGTTTTGTATTTTTAATTTTTGTTCTGACAGATGGCGAAATGAACTGTTTTACATCATGTGTGTATTTAAGCTTGTATTCGTGAATACAACTTCTGACTGTCGGCTACCGGATTAACCTGCTATTGTATGACCGACTCATTTAAATATGAATGAAATAGTGACAAATTCTATTTATGTTTAAAAGCGCTGACCATAAAATAGTAGTTTCATCCAGCAGCCAACAGTCGAAAGTTGCATTCGCGAATGCAAGCTTAGTCTGTAAATATCACCTTTGCAGACAGATCCCCTAAAATTGCATTCGTATGATGTGAGACACGACATTCACCGGGAAAGTAAAAATTCGATATGTGATGTATATTTCTTGGTTTTTCAAAGTTTTATATTTACATAGTAAGTTCGATCACCTCCATCACTTTTCGAATGAGTTTCCTTGAAATATCAAGACATCATGCTATTCTCATACTTATAGAACTCAATGTAACTGTCCTTGACCATTTATCAAGCAGTAAAAAATTAATTTGCTTCGTGGGTGACAAAATGTTTCTACTTTTCTGGTGAATGTCGAGTCTCGCATCATACGAATGTAATTTTAGGCGATTTGTCTGCATGGGGTGAAATATGTAGCCTAGCCATAATTAAGCATATATAGAGAGAAGTTAGTGGCAGTAGTTTGGTTGAATATTTAGCCATATCTAGGCACTCGCAGCACTTATAACACAGGACGTGGCTTTTGTGTCTTGAGGTAGGCCAAATATATCAGTCATATCATTACCGTGGAAACACAGGATGACTGCAAAGATGATTTTATAACCATTTTTAAGTACAAGAAGGAGTAAGGACATTGCTTACAACCTTTCTGGCAATGCTTGTATGGTTTTTGTCTTTACCTAAATTGCCAAGGCATTTATAGGGCAACCTCTGGCGTATGGAATTTATTTTGTATCAAAATTGGACATTACATGATCTATGGGAAAAATCGAACTATATGATGCGATACTCGAATTATATGATTCGAAACTAGCATCATACTATGCGAAATACGCATCATTATATGCGAAACTCGCATCATCGTATGCCATTTTCAATCCATGTTATACCAACAGTTAATTTTCTTACATAACTTATTTTCATTCACACACGCACTGGTTGTATCAAGTGTCACACAAAGATTTAGCACTAACTCCAATCACTTTCCAAAAATCCAAAAGCAATGTTGAAATGTCACACGGATTGTGTTATAAGTTGCATAGAATACTGAAAGAATTACACATGGATCAAAGTAAATTTCGAACGAATGTGTCAATTTTACACACGTACGCATTGAGTTCAAACTCGCATAGGATGGTTCCCGCTCGCATAGGCTGTCACAAACAAGTTGCACTTCACACAGGGTGGGAGATTTGAAGTCACGTGATATTTACTTCCTGGTTTCTACAATATGGCGCCCTCCGTTGAAATGTTACAAAATGTTAATTTTAAATCAAAAGTATATAATTTAGCCCTAGGCTAGGGTACAATGGCCATTTATTGAGAAACTACAAACTAGATCTTTCTATCTTTTTGCCGGGCTAATGTGTTATTTCGTTCAGTGCAAACGTAACGCGAGATTTAGAAAAAAAATCTCGAACATCTCTAGAAAGCAATTTACATGTATGTTACATCAAGGTATGTGATCGGTACATCAAGGTGTGTGGTCGGAACATCATGGTTTGTGAAGGGAAAACGTTTGTTTGAGCCTCATAAGCATTTGTTCGACTTTTGTACCCTGTTCGATGTCATTTTTAAATAATGCATACACAAATATGCATGTACTAGTGTGATTTTACAAACATAGAGTGTGCAAACTCGAACAAACCGTGTATGAAATCACACGGATTGTGTATGTATTCTGCTAAACGCTATTCTATGTGTTAGAGGTATCACATATATATAAGATGTCCAATTTTGATACAGTTTTAACACCATACTGGCGTGCTGTTTCAAATGGTTCAGTGAAAAGTTGCAACCCGAGTTGCAAGAGACTATTGACATTTTTCCACTGGTCACATACTTACATTCTTATTTTGACATGCTATTCTATGAATATCACAATAACTATTAAGCAACATTTAAAGCATTGAACAATGCTATATTGAAGCTACTCTATTGTATAAACCTAGCAGAAAAAGTATACATCGATTTACAAGCTAAGTGCTCTCATTAACCGTTAAGGGAATCACTATTCAAATGGCGAGACAATGGGAATTAGCGTCACGGAGAGGAAACCCCCGAAACAAAAACATTTTCATATTTAATAGAGTTTACCTCAAATTTTACTTCAATCATTCTATTACTACCGATACATATTTTGGATGATGGTCAATAACTGAATGTTGAACGTTGCCATTTTCCATGACACTTTTAATAGTCTTGCTGTGAGCCCTTAAGCCCTTGAGGGAGTAACATGGGCTTGACATTTTTAATAATAGCTCAGTTATTTCACCATTTGAAGTTTTTGGAGTTTTCGTATTAGACTGGTTTGGTAGAAAAGCTCAATTGGTTTGACATTAATGTTCACTTTTCAGTTCAAAGTTGCAATGGAGATTTGAGTTGGGAAAGATTTTCATAAACACCGTCCCTATTTTGCAATAGTATTGCCTTTATCATTCTTTGTCGTGCATTTTCTCTCATATATTCTGAGTACATTTACAATGTTTACAATTAACTAATTACATATTACACTTGCATTAGCACACAGGGTGTATCAAAAAAACGCAACAAGCAGTTATCTCGTAAAATCACAAAACTAGTGATGACTACATCAATTTCATTCAATGTACTATAAAGCCACGCCCCTCCTCTTTGCAATAATATGTCATTCATTCACATGTTGTCATGGTTGGGTGAGAAATCCTTCCATTTACACGGTGGGTCAAATCGGCTCTGGACCAAGTTTCAGAAATTGCAAAAATCAGTGCAAATGCCAAGTGCCAATTGAAGTTCTCCTGACTGTTTTTGTTGTGACTTTTTCTTTGGAGCTATCTCAGGAGCATCTGTGCTCACCATTCCTTCGCTAGATAATGCAAAACTTCGAGAAAGAATTGCCAATGGGCTGTTTTTCTCCGCCTTAATTCACAGATGACTGAGAGCTGAGCCATGAATGGCATGGAGAGATGAGGGCATCTTTGTGTGCTAAGAAGTGGTGACAATTTAGAGGGGTATAAGATGTATTCTTGCAGAGCATGAGTAAACACTTTACAGTCTATGTCACGCATCCCATAGCTTCTTCCAATATCCTCTATGCCCCATGCACTGACATTTGCAATGTTTAAAACTTGGGTCTGGGCTGAATTTTGCCCCACTTTACAAAATAATGATGATTCGGACAACCATGACTCCCTGTGAATGAATGACATTCCATTGTAAAGAGGAGTAATTGGGTTTTTTGGTACATTGAATGAAAAGGATGCAGTCATCATTGGTTTTATGTTTCTTCCAATAATTGCATTGGTCCCCGTGCACTGACTTTTGCGATGTTTATAACTTAGCCCAAAGGTAATTTTGGCCCACTTTGCTTAAAGAATGATTACTCGCCAAACCATGACCCAATATCAACGAATGATATACCATTAGAAAGAGGAGACACGTGGCTTTAATTGGTACATTGAATGAAATCAATGCTGTTATCACTGGTTTTGTGCTTTTCCGAGATAACAATCTGTTGCGTTTTTTTAACACGTACTGTATTACGCTCTATGAACATTAAAAGTGCAGCCTTGGCTTTCAAAATCATTACTTCATTATCATCTGATTTAAACGTTTGAAATATAATGTCATCGTCACCGTACCAATTCATTCCACATCTATGGAGTCTTAATTTAAAAAAATACTAGTTCTAATAATAGTTCTGACATCTGGTATTAATTTAGGACAATCCTTTGGTTTTTAAGACAACACAATAAAGCTATAATCGAGGACAGAGCCATTGAACTTCATAGCTTTCGCATGCCAAACTCGGATTATCAACTAGTCTGCAACCGAATCCTGAGTATGCGGAATATCTATAGAATATTCTGCCAATGGCCATCTCTGCTTCTGGTGGTTCATGCGTGTCCACATTACGAGCACGGACTGCAAGAGGTGCGAGCTCATCATCACAATATTGGGCTGCAAGAGCCTGAAAGTGAGAAAGTATGAGGCTAACATGCATTTAATTGGTTAAAAAGAGATAATGTTTACCCATGAATATAACATAATGCATTGTTAGGTTTAAGTTGAGTGAACTTTACCGTATTATTTTCAGTGACGGCTTTCCTCTCCCACATGCCGACGGTTTCAAAATCTCCGTTTCCTCCTGGACCTTCCGCTGACATAAATCCCTTCCACACACCTTAAAATACACGTTTGTCTTATAATTTAGTCTACAAAGTGACCCAAGTATATATGCAACCCTTTAATTTAGGAGTTACTTTCCCAAATTATGATTGAATATTCTTAAATCTTTACTCCTGCGACGTCCAGCTGTGGATTTACCCCCATTTTCTTCTCCCTTTACTCCTACGACATCCAGTTTGGATTTACCCCATTTTCTTCTCGCTTTACTCCTGCGACATCCAGTGTGGATTTACCCCATTTTCTTCTCGCTGCTTGTTTTAGAATTAAGGCATGTGTTACTTCAAATCGTGGAAAATCAAATTTTAGACATCTGCATCGATCTTTATCAAAAGGTGGGTAAATTCATCATTATTGATCTGACGAGATTATACTAAAAATGTCGCCATTGATTACCCGATTGAACACCCCATGTTGTTGTTTTAATTTAAACTAAGAGGGTTGCATTAATTATTCGGGCCACACTGTACATTTAGTGTATTTATTCAAATACATTTATTCATATTCTTTCATGATCATGAGGTTGTAAATATTTTCCGTAATACCAGTATTAAATCATTGCACACGCCCTCGTTAAACAGTCTATTACTCGGGGTGGAAAATTTTCTAAGAGGCTCCGTTAAGGAAAAAATGACTTTATGAGCTGGATGGAATTTCTGTGTATTTTTTATTCTATTAGGGTGTCCTGCATAAAGGATTTCGCCTGCGAAGCATATAACTCTTGCGAACATATCTAAATACTGGTCCGAAGAAGACATACCTTGAATTTTTTAGAAAAAATTGGCTAAAAATGGAAACTACAAGAAGTCAAAATGTTCAACTCAAACAAAGTTGTAGCTATTCTATATCAATATTTTGTGTTATGTAAGGTTTCTCAGATGTTTCAAGACCTTCATTAGTATACTTGTGTCTAGAAATGTGACATTTAAGGACAAAATTTGGCATTTTTAATCATTTTCGCTTTCAGCATTAACATATAGTTCCTTATATCTCGAGTTTAATGCTGACTGGTTGTTGCATTTTTGATTAAATCTGTGCTTATACATATGTTCTTCCATTTAAGGTGTAGAAAATGTATAGTGGACAACCATTGTTCATATGAGAGCTTTCAGATCTCCCCTACCCCATTTATTATGGAAAATTACCGAAAAATATGAAAAAATAAAATAACTTGAAATTATAAACTTTAACAAAGTTGTAGCTATTCTATGTCAATATTATGTGTTATTTAATGTTTTTAAGATATTTCAGAACCTATAGCGGTATACAAGTGGCTAGAAATGAGACATTTAAGGACAAAACTTGGCATTTTTTTTATCATTTTCGCTTTCAGCAGTAATATATAGTTCCTCATATCTTGAGTTTTATGCTGTCTGATTGTTGCAAGCAGCATTTTCAATCAAATCTGTTCTTGTGCATGTCTTCTTCCATTTAAGGTATAGAAAATGTATAGTAGACAAACAATGTTCATATTAGAGCTTTCAGATCTCCCCTACCCCATCAATTATGGAAAATAAACGAGAAATATAAAAAAATAAAATAACTTGAAATTATAGACTTTCATAAAGTTGTAGCTATTCTATTATCAATATTATGTGTTATTTAATATTTTTAAGATTTTTCAGAACTTTTATTGGTATTCAAGTGGCTAGAAATGAGACATTTAAGGACAAAACTTGGGATTTTTTAATCAATGCTGCTTTCAGCAGTAACATATAGATCCTCATATCTTGAGTTTTATGTTGACTGGTTGATACATTTTGGATTAAATCTGTTCTTGTACATGTTTTATTCCATTTAAGGTACTGAAAATGTATAGTAGACAAACAATGTTCATATTAGAGCTTTCAGTTCTCCCCTACCCCATTTATTAGGGAATATGACTGGAAAATATAAAAAATAACTTCAAACTACCAGTATAAACTTTAACAAAGATGTAACTATTCTTTATGTGTTATTGATTGCTATAATTAATGTTTCAGGACCTTCATTAGTATTCTAGTGTAGAGAAATTAGACATTGAAGAACAAAATTTGGCATTTTTCATCATTTCCACTGTTAGCAATAACATATAGTTCCTTATATCTTGAGTTTTATGCTGATTGGTTGATGGATTCTTGATCAAATCTGTTCTTTTGCCTGCCTACTTTGATTTAAGGTATTTAAAAATGTATATTAGAAAGCCTGTCATTATATTAGAGCTTACATATCTCCCCTACCCCATTTATTTTGAAAAAATAACCAGAAATATAAAAACCAAACAATTTCAAAGTATAGACTTTAACAAAGTTGTCGCTATTCTAGATCAATACTATGTATTATTTGATATTTTTCAGATGTGTCAGGAACTTCATGAGTATACAAGTCTAAAAATTAGACATTTAAAGTTGAGTTGCAAATGGGGCGGGTATTCTCTATCTTTGTCCATTGGGCTTTTCTGGTTATGATATGTTGCAAACTGCTCATGAATCTATGCAATGTATAGTACAATACTTGGAATATATTTAAAAATAATGGGGTATAGTACTGTGATAATTATAACCAGTGATCAAGCCATATTGGTTGAATTCCCTCATATCAAATGCAATGTTGTCAAATGCTTGGTGATTTCCATATTACACCTAAGGGTGGTGTAATTAGGAAGTTCATGATAGATATTGGGCTTGGGGATATTTTGGTAAATGTAAACATTGTGAAATGAAGAACAGCCAACAAGATGATTTTTGATGAGTTTGTGAAGCAATGTTACTGTATCTCTAAAATGGGATGAATTTCACTTATGGCAGAGCTGCTATTGAACTTTGCAAAACTGATAGTTGCAACTTATCTATCAAATACTGATCATGAAGAAGTTGACACTCTCCTTATGGCCCATGTCTATTACAGTGCTGCAGACAAGACAAAGGAGTTCAATGTTGAGAGAATTTGTATTCAGTCTGATGATACAGAATGTTGCTTGCAAAGAAGGTTAAAAAGAGCTCTTGAAGTTTCTTATGTCCTTCAAGGTAGCATTCTAAATTACTATATGAATCTCAAAGTGCAATACCTATTTGAAGATATATCAAAGATGAGTGTCTTGTACCAGTACTCACAAACAAACCTTCGTAGCAACACAAGAAACATATGTCCTTGGCAATTCGCAAATGTAAAATGGCAAAAGGCAGCGAAAATTGCTATACAAAGTTTCTAGTCAAGGGTGTATTGCTACTTGTCCATGTGGCAATAAACAACATAGTGCACATCGTTGGACAATATTTAAGGATGAGTTTCTCAGAACTATAAAAATTATTTAGAGATCTTACATATCTGAATAGCTTGTGGTGTCATGAGCAACTTAAACCTTTAAAATGCTTCCTAGTCAACTGGTACCCAAGACAAGTCGTACCCAAGATAACTGGTACCCAAGACAAGTCGTACCCAAGATAACTGGTACCCAAGACAACTCGTACCCAAGTTATTTCCAGTATTATGGGTGCATATTAGGAAAACAAATTGAGTTTGTATAATTATGTTTTCATGTTATAATGTGACTCAAATAAGCCTCAATATTTTTTTGAATTTAGAAGACATTTTTTCTCAATGGATTAAGTAAAGCATTTTGATTTAACTTGAATCACCTTTTTACTAATAAAACAAGTGCTTGAAGTGCTTGATCACAACATTTTTTGCCAAACATATATATAAATAAATATAATTACAACAGTGACTTTTCTACAAATGAATCAAACAATTAATTTGAGCATTTTGAGAAAGTTTAAAGGAAGTTTAATCTGTTAATTTTTTTCCAATTGGAACTAAATTGGATTATGTACATGCATACTAAGTGTAATAATATATCATGTATGAATAAGTACCAAAATAATATTTGATATTAATATTATACTATATTATTACTTGTATACTATTATTATATTATTCAAAATATTTTATTGCTAAATTTCATGAATATGACTTCTGATAATATGAAATCCTAGACGAATAGATTATCTGTTTAATAAGAAATTAGGCCCAAGATTTGATGAATCAATACATTTATAATAATACCATCTTCCAAGATGAATTAAATCTGACACTTGTTCCAAACACTCATAAACATACAATATTTAAAAAAATGATTATGAATGTGTGGAATAAACATATATCTCTTCACTCGAACATCCAATATAAAATAATAGTCAAAATAAATTGACACTCAAAGCTCAAAATGTTACAAAATTATATCAATTTCTTCTGAAAATTCTTCAAACTTCTGAACAGTATGTTACAGTTATAATATGTATATCTTTACACATTCCCAGTCCAACACTTGATTCAAAACAAAATATATGCTTGGGTACGACTTGTCTTGGGTACCAGTTGACCAGTTACCTTTAAAATGACTTAAACGAGCTCTAACATAGAACCAGGGAGATTTGAAAAATCAGGCTGTTGCTGGATTAAGTTCGAGAGTTGTGAACAATCATGTCTATATAAAGACATATCCTTTGATTCATATGAGAGTAAACTGCGAAATTACAAAATTATTTCGCACTATGCTATTTTTGAGTAATCTTTTAAAAATATAGTAGTGTAGTAATTTTATCTCTAATATGTATATTTGTGTTTAAAACACATTTTCCATGCTTTGAAGATAACAAGACACATTGTTGAATATATATGATCTAAAATATGTCAACTAATCACCATTCAACTAAAAATATAAACAACTATTGCTGAAAGTGAAACATTGGTCATTTTGCCCATTTATGTGTCATTTTTTGATTTTAGTGTGCTAATAAATATGCTAAACTTTTGAAAAGTTTAAGAATATTATCATGCAATAATAACATTTGTGTTGGTTTTCTCATTTAATGGTGGAGGGCAGATCTTAGACCTCTAATAAAAACATTCGTTGTCTTACATACATTTTCTTTAAGTGAATTCAGAGAAGACAGATTCAATAAAAAACATATATGAATCTATCATCAAAGAATTATAATTGTGGAAAATTATATGCTACTGCTAAATGCAGAATGCTAAAAATGCCAAATTTTAGACACATGTAATCAAATGAAGGTTACATTAAATAATACATAGTATCGATAGAGAATAGCTACAATTTTGTTAAAGTTGATGATTTGAAATTACTTTTTCATTTACATAAATGGGGCAGGGGAGACATGAAAGCTATAATATCAACATTGGTTGTCCAATATACATTTTCTATATCCTAAATGGAAGAAGACATGTACAAGAACAAATTTGACTAGGAATGCACCAACCAGTCAGCATTAAACTCAAGATATAAGGACCTATATGGTATTGCTGAAAGCGAAAATGGTCAAAAAAGCCATGTTTTGTCCTTAAATGTCTCATTTCTAGGCACTAGTTTACCAATAAAGGTTCTGAAATATCTTAAAAACATTAAATAACACATTATATTGATATAGAATAGCTACAAGTTTATTAAAGTTTATAGTTTCAAGTTATTTTATATTTTCATATTTTTCTTATATTTTTCATGATAAATGGGGTAGGGGAGATCTGAAAGCTCTAATATGACCATTGGTGGTCCACTATACATTTTCTATACCTTAAATGGAAGAAGACATCTACAAAAACAGATTTTATTACAATTGCAACAACCAGTAAGCATAAAACTCAATATATGAGGAACTATATGTTACTGCTGAAAGCTAAAATGATTTTAAAAAATGCCAAGTTTTGTCCTTAAATGTCTCATTTCTAGGCACTAGTATACCAATAAAGGTTCTGAAATATCTGAAAAACATTAAATAATACATAATATTGATATAGAATAGCTACAACATTGTTAAAGTTTATAAATTCAAGTTATTTTATATTTTCATATGTTTCAGTAATTTTTCATAATAAATGGGGTAGGGGAGATCTGAAAGCTCTAATATGACCATTGGTGGTCCAATATACATTTTTTGTATCTTAAATGGAAGAAGACATGTACAAGCACAGATTTAATCAAAATTGCAACAACCAGTCAACATTAAACTCAAGATATAAGGAACTATATGTTACTGCTGAAAGCGAAAATGATCAAAAATGCCAAATTTTGTCCTTAATTATGTTATTTCTAGACACTAGTACACTAATGAAGGTCCTTAAACATCTGAAAAACATTAAATAATACATAGTGTTAATATTAAATAGCTAGAGTTTTGTTTGAGTTGAACATTTTGACTTTTTGTAGTTTCCATTTTTAGCCAATTTTTTTCTAAAAAGTTCAAGGTATGTCTTCCTCGGACCAATATTTAGATATGTTCGCAAGAGTTATATGCTTCGCAGGCGAAATCCCTTATGCAGGAAACCCTAATAGAATGAAAAATACAGAGAAACTCCATCCAGCTCACAAAGTCATTTTTTGCACAATTCTCACACCTTCCACCCCGAGTATATCGACATTACCCATTCTGATACTCATAGCATCTCTCCAGAAGGATAGGGACAGGGGCGGATCTGGGAATCAACAAGGGGGGGGCCCAAATTTCAAGTCAGAGAAAAAAAATTTGGGCCCCTAAAACCCAAAAGTGGGCCCAAATTTTGAAATTTTGAGGCCCATTTTCTTCAAAATTTGGCCTGAAATTAAAAAATAAGGCCTTAAAAGGCCCAGTAATGACCAAAAAGGCCCACTTTTTGGGGCCTGAAGGCCTTTTTTGGCCCACAATTCTTTAGGGCCCAATTTTTTTTCTGGGCCCACCCAAGGGGCCCCCAGGCCCCCCCCCCCTAATCCGCCAGTGAGGGATGGAGAGGGCGTGGCTTACCACGATGGACATTACCTTTTATTTCGCAGATGTGGCTGCAACCCGGCTGGATGGATACCTCCTAAAATCAACCATAGTGACACGTATGTATCAATTAGGAATCAAATCAATGATGCATGTATGCATGGAGCAGTCTTCAGAGGTAAAGATGGTGTAAAATGTGATAAGAGTTTACTGACAGCATTAGGGCAAATTTACGATAATTGATATTTTCAAATATAGTCAAATTCTGTTATTCTACCAAAGCCTGCGCCATGTGTGTTGATATAAACGACATTTGTTTTGTGCTATTTTAATGTCAACACAACTGGCTATCATGTCCATGCGATATATACTGAAAATATTACTTATTAACTCTTAAAAACACCTTTAACGATGATTTTTGGACAAAAATCAAAGTTTGCTCAAACAAACTCAGACAACATGACAAATAATGTATCTTGTGGTCCAATAATCTCCAACTTGTTAATAGATTATGTTTGTAATCAGCTCTCAAAAGGGATTTGCTTGATATTTCATACTCATAAAAAGAACACGTTTTATTATGTTCATATGATTTGTATCCTCCAACACATACTCAACACATTCAATTTACTAAGAAACTAAATATAATTGACAGAGAATTTATTTGACAATCATTTAAATACTACATTGGATTAGTTTCATTAGTGCATAGCTGAAATCTGACTAACAAATTATCCATCAACAACCTATCAACAACGTTTATTTAAGCATTGTGTTGGAGGATACAATTCATATGGACATTATAAGATATATTCTGTTTTATGAGCATGAAATATCAAACAACCCCCTTTCAAGAGCTGGCTGCAAACACACTTTATTAACAAGTTAGAAATTATCGAAGAACATGATACGTTATTTTTATGTTGTCTGAGTTCATATTATCAAATTTTGAGATTTGTCAAAAAGTCAACGTTAAAGCTATTTTTAATTATATAAGAATTAATAAGCAAGACTTTCAGTATATATCGTTTGGTCGTGATAGCCAGTTGTGTTGATGTTAAAACTTTAAATGTCGTTGCTATGAACACACATGGCGCAGGGTTTGATAGAATAACAGAATTTGACTATATTTAAAATATCAATTATCGTAAATTTGCCCATTAACTGAAACCCAAACTATCTGTCCACTCTCAATAAATACCGTAATCATTTTAGATTAACTTATTTTTGAAGACAATGTATAATGTATACGTACATGTGTTACGATAAACTGACAGTTAATGAGGTAGTAGTTCCAACCAGTCGTCGTCTGCTTCTCGTCGCCTAGTATTTTAAAACGTGCGCCACGTAGTAACTCACACCCGCCGGTAGATGGTTCATGATTAAACGACGTGCATTTATCATCCAAAAAACAAGCGTTCGAGCATCCAAGCGCAGTTTGTCCAGTGATGATTTCTAATGGTGCCTGATTAAGCTTCTGATTCGTGTATATCAGCCAAGGTGAATTATAAGAACACAAAGACGATGTACAATAAATAGTTCCAAATAGAAATGTTAAGTGCAGACTGACAAAAAGGATGTATTGTCGAATCAGCATATTTGTCGTTCGTTTATCCAAACTTTGGTTATTCATTATGATTTTACAGAATTGTTGTTTTATAATCATTTTTATACTTTTTTAACTTCGACAGCATCTCGCCAATATAATCAGGCACTTATCATAGTCTCTCTATGAAACGTATAGGAATTCCCTGCTTCTTAAGATTTAATAAGGTGGTCTATAATGCTGCTTATTTTTTTGTGAAGCCACACAGTAAAATTACGATTTCTCTGCACCCTGATGTCCAATCAACATCATTCGAGTATCTATGTGTTACTGACACGTTTGGGCATCCGGTAATGACAACGTCTACCCAATGTTTGCACGCGAAATTGACGTAATTCATGACTGAAATCGGGAAGACAAAAATATGTGATATTCTTTCAGAATTGTTTATAATAACTATTTACTTGAATGATCTTAATTGGACATCAGGTTGCAGAGAAATCGTAATTTTACTGAGTGGCTTCACGAAAAAAGGGCTATACGCCTCGTTAAAGGCCCCGTGGAAAGTTAGGAGATATTTTTCGTTATCCAAATATTGCTTCTCGTGAATAAAAAAAAGTTGTCCAAAATCCACTCCAGCGTTTAGCATTTTAAACATGAGTGTTATATATCACAATTTGCTAATAGCTATTTCATTTGATACGTGTACAGGGTTCTCTCGTGCCTCGTGAAATGAAGTATAAACGATTAAAGGAAATAAGTAACAGCTTACCTGAAATTGATAAAAATAATCTTAGTTATCCGAAATACATGGATGTCAATCACATTAGAATTTGGCCATGATTAGCCAAAATCATAATTATTAATTTAAGAACATAAAATTAACAAGTACATGTATGCTGTGCGAATTTATATTCAAAATGGCATTGTGATATTGTAAATCGATAAATATAAAAATCTCATTCTCAGTTAGTGAAAATGTACTTCCTTTCGGATGAAGAAGCTATTATTAAAAGTTCAATTACTTGTTAGATCAATACTAAAACAACATGTTATACCTAACGATTGAGTCAAATGTATAGTGTAGCTTTGATAACTAAAAAGCAACAAGAGCCTCATCCTAGCAACGGCATTGATCATCCTTATTATCTCAATTGATGTGAATGAAAAAATATTCACATATAGCTAGGCAAGGTGAGTCCGATTCCAGCCAATCAGAAGACGTTATTTCACATAACTGCATTCCATTATGTAATCAATAACCAACTCAAGGTCACTAATTAAACGGTTGTCAAGGTGATTGCTGGAGACCTCAGATTGATAGCTTGCCACTTGCAAAAAGTTTCATTGAAAATATGTTCTTTAAGTATGTTGTTTCAGCCGTGTTGGAAGGCAACACCTTCAAGAACGGACACTCCACATTGCACTGAATTCAGGGCTCAATTCTTTAATTTTTCGAGGTCTTGTGCATTGAGCACAAAATTAAACACCCCAGTACCTACAGAATCAGAATGTAAATAAAACTTACTAATCTAAAAATCGATACACGCATATACATGTAAGCAAAAGCCTGATTATCGAGTCTTTTTGGTTCTGTATTTTTAATGTCTTGTTCTGAAAGATGGCGAAATGACCTGTTTTTACATCATAGTTGTACCTTTTTCATCCAATTCGAGAAATTGTTTTTTTCTCCAAAAGAGGAGACGCGAAAATCTTTCCTTATAAGATCAAAATATTTCCCATAATGCAGTTCGCGGAGGAACAAAGTTATACTTCCTTGTTTTCCCTCATAGGTTAAACCATGGTAGAGCCCATGGTTAAACATGGGAATTTTCACACCTATTTTTCAAAAGATATATATTTGTTCTTATTCCTGTGCGAGAGTACAGAAAAAGTATGAGAAACGATTGATCTCTTAATAATCTTAGTATAACAGCTATTATTTTTCATTGTATTGATTCATATAGCGTGATGAAAACGATGATTGAAAAGAGAGAAAATATTCCGGAAGAGAAGGTCACGTGATCAGTTGACTAGACGCCATATTGGAAAAACAATTCCATTCGACTATCAATACTTTCATGCCAATCTTACCGCACTACAAACTGCAACATCAATGCAACAACTGAATAAAAGTATTCATCTTCATATTACATTATAGAGTTAGATGTACGTTGACAACCCACGAAACAACTGAGCAATAGACCAAAGAAGACGCATCGCTCGGCTAGGTCAATCCAGTGTTCAGTGGTCCGAAAGCAAATCTATAGTACTCGTTTCCGAATTTTGTTGTTCATTGTACAATATTTTATTGATTAAGCTCGGTATACAGACTATTAAAGCAATGACAAAGAAGAATACTTCCGATGGTGTCATTGTTTTGTTTAGCGTGCGGGTGTAAAAACAAAATTGCGTAATCAGTTTGATTAAGAACTTTCGGGTCACGCAAACAGCTACGCGAAATGCATATTGGGAAAATATTGACCAATCAAATTTTGTTCTTTTTGAGTGCTTTTTCAGTACATATTTCTGAACGTTCTGATTCAAAGAGCGAACCGCGAAGGGAGAAGTATAATTGATAAGGATAAGAAGTATTATCGTATGATCTGTAAAATGAGGCCCTCTGATTGGTCAGTTCTTGCCAATCTGTATTGATACTGAGATTGTCCCCACTGGTCATCTCCGGAGCAATATAGAAAATATTGGTACGGACAGGAAAATCTCAGTAGCAAATCAGAGAATACAGAATATTTCCAAGGGGTTATTTCTTATGTAAATTGTATTGGCCCAAGATCACACGATAAAAACGTTATAGAATGATTTAAAGTGCAATACAGTATATATTTTGCTCTCGATATTCTGTTTTGGCACTCGACTTTGTCTAGTTCCAATACAGCATTTCTCGAGCAGAATATATCCTGTATCGCACTTCATATCATTCAATAACTTATATATTATCGTATGATCTGTAAAATGAAGCTCTCTAATTGGTCAGTTATTGTGCTGTACCAATCTGTATTGCTACTGAGATTGTCTCCATTGTTCATTTCAGTAGTAAAACAGGAAATATTGGTACGGATTTGATAATCTCAGTAACAATACAGAGAATACAGAATAACTTAGAGATTATTGCCTTAGTAAAATGTTTTGGCCTAAGATAACACGAATGATTTGAAGTGCAATACAGTATATATTCTGTCCCGATATTTCGTCTCGTACCAATACAGAATTTTTCGAGCAGAATATATCTTGTATTGCACTTCAATAAGTTATAATATTGAGTTATAGTTTGCCTTTGAACATTACATTCCAGTGGCGTTAGGAACAATGTACGCCAAAACGCCAATGCGTAGTGTTGAAAAAAGGCTTAGGGTGAATTTTCCTACGACCGCGGTGCAAGTGAAATTTTTACGGTTGTGTCATATTCAAATTTTTTACACAGTGTTATTTCGCACATACTATTGTGATATAAGCACAATCTAGCTAATTTTAGGATTAAAATCATGCTCGCAGTCAAAAAGCATGTACAAAAATGCAGCCTTAATAATATCCCAACGTTCTTCAGTCATATTTTTAATTCATGAGGAAATTTCTGAGGGAGATATAAGGCTTGGTTGATTTTACTTCTTTGAAGTGCACTTTTAATTAAAAGGCCATAGTTTTTATATTTCCGAATTTATTGACATTAGAATTCCACATCGCCTAAAAACGTTATTTGAATAAATATGATGGATTGTATTTTCTAATGTACCAAAATGCTGAAATAATTCAATAATAACAATGCTATAAAAGTAGAGAACTTGTGTAAATATTATCAAAATGTTACATAAATTGTTGTATTTTCTGACTACTCTTGTGAATTTTAGGACACCCTACCGTTCCAAATGAAATCTGTTACCTGAATTTCACTTCGCAAACCTGCGTTATATCGTGTTACATATTTGACATTTTCTTTAAATCATATCAAAGATCGGCTTTCCATCGTGATTATAAATATTTATAAACATTTGAACATTTAAAGAACATTATTAGAATAGATTATAATAAAAATGACGTTTCACAAGCATAAAATAGTACTAGGTGTTCTGATATAGGTAGAAAATTTGACACAATTTTCTCATATTTATTGGCGTAGTGTTGAATTTACACCTTCCTACGCCCCTGCATTCTGATTCGCTCATAGAACTGTTAATTTTTAAATTATAAAAACGAACTTTCTGACAGATTCTTAATTTGTATTTAGGCGAATATAGTATCATAGATAGAATATACTCCAACTTAACAATCGATTTTGTCAAATTATATACGAATTGCATTTCTGTCTAATGGCCATTCGTTTCAAAATCATCAGTGAAAAGTGTCTTTCCGATCACTGATTCAACATCATCCTCATTTTGTCTTACTTCAGCCAATGTATTTTTAAGACGTTCAACCATCTCATGATTCCCAGAGTCGTCTATTCCCAACTTGCGAACTAAATCACCAATGGCGGTTTCATCTGTGAAAAGTTCCCTCTCTACATTTACCAATGTTTCTATATCGTATGGTGTTTCTCCTTGGAGCATAAGAGGCGCTTCTTTGAATTCTTCCAATGTCAGTCTACCATCTCCTGAAATGATAAGAATGATGTTTTCATTGTTTAAAACTTTTTAAACGACCGTAAATCAAACAAAATGAGCGGAGAGGGGAAGGGTACGATTTCTGTTAGAAAATTCAATAAATCTGCAAGATTTCTTTTGAGAAAGTTAACTAATAAATCACTCAATGAAAAGATCACTTTCTAATTTGTTTTAGTAACTGATCATTTAAAAAACAGCAACAGCATTTTGTAATGATAGCGTCATCTATAACTATTTATAAAATGTCGAGTACGTGTAGACCTCCACTACTTGATTTATAGCAAAACGATTGAAATTTGCACGACGGTGACTTTGGGCCTTTTAAAATAGACCTCGATCACAGCTTCGAAGAATATCATTTCAAAGATATCATAGAAGGCCTAACCTTACATATTTCACAATACTGGTGATAGTACACTTTCTCATGAAAAAATAACTCTTGCAGTAGATTTGTTGAATTTTCTAGCAGAAATCGCACCCTCTCTTCTCCACTCTTTGTTTGTTTCACGGGCTTGATTAATGTCTTTGTATTATTCACAGCTTAGCCATGAAAATACCAGATGCTTTTTTAGCAGTTGTGGTATCGGAATGTTTTTAAAGGAAACTCCAAAAATACGATTCCTGTTTTGTAATGCTGGTCCTTTGGAAGGCGTGATAATCCAGAATGATCTTTCATCTTTCGCCAATATTTAGAAAATTGTTTTTCTCATAGAAATACCCCCATAATCCGCAGTTTTCTTAAACAAGAATTACTTATGTGAGAGTATCCGTCAGAGACTGAAAATGTACCAACTCATTACCGACTTATTCAATATTAATCTTTAGTTTTGGAGTTATTGCGATGATAATAGTAATAAAATGGTCCACTAAAGCAGCAGATCATTTACACATTCTGACACCTCTGCGAAAATACAAAAAGGACATACGTTGTTATCTGATCGGTAAGTGAGCGTGTCTATCTTTCAAGACAGTTCATAAATTAGTGCTGTTGATCGAGCAAACAAGATGAAAAACAACAACCTTCAAATAAGCCAGTGATACCTTCAAGCTTGGTTTTTAAGCAATATTAATGTTACTTTAATTGGCGTCTTGCAGTTCTTACATATCCCCACAGACTAATTAAATCAAAAATAAGAACATAAACGGTTAATATATGACCATGAAAATGATGAATTATGACTGGTTTACACCAAGGTGTTTTTTCTTGCTGTGTTCTGTAACTTTTTAAGCACTTTCCGTTGGCACTTACACATGCAAATGTAAATGTTTCCCTGTGAATCAAAATCAATGGAAAGATAAAGTACGATTGCTGAATGTTCGATTTGGCTATATTCTGAACTTCAAACGGGCCTTTCTTAAGACTATTTTGTTAAAGGAGATAAGCTTTATTGATAAATCTATTTAACATATTAGCATATGCAGCCGATTCCAGCAGAAATCTAAAACCTTAGTTTCTTAACAATTTCCTTTTGCAACTCCATAAGTATGTATGCTTGACCATTACCTAAATAGATATCATATACATCTACTTACCATCGATGTCCGAAGCTTTAAATGCAAGTTCAACATTCTCCTTAGCACCGGTGACAGCAACTAATTCAGCAAGCGAGATAAACCCATCTGTTACATTCACGTCATAGCTATCAAAGTCTGTAGGCATTGGAATTGGAAGAAATGTCCCCATTTCATTTTTGGGTGTTTCGTCAGTTGGATAACCATCATTTTCTTCTCGATCTGATGGAACGAAACGATCGGGTTTCTTATTTGTCGCCGTTTTAAGCAAATCGTCGTCATCACCAGGGTAATTATAATCACCGTTTAGATCCGTATTGTAATCAGGATAGTAATCCAGAAAATTAGCTAGGTGAGAATCGTAATCCTCTTTATCAGATTCGTTAATTATCTTGGAGTCAGTTACTTGTAATTGTCTTCTAATAGATTTATCAGGCGTTTTATCACTTATTGGCCTCGCTATTGTCATATCACATAATACTGCGATTATAACAAGAAGGCGTCCAAATATCAGCACTGCCTTTGAGTTCATTTTGGCTATTTCGAAAATACGGTTAATAGAGCTAGCCTCTTCGTTGTTTCTCTCCAATGCCATTCAGTTGTACCATGCAAGGTTGCATGGAGTCAAAATAACGCACCAATACTAACAAATAGCGAAATAACCACAAGACTAATTGGTATCCACGCTGGCTGGTACATCGTTTAGTTTTTCTATGCTTGTAAGATAGGTATATCCTGCTTCTATTTACATCTCTCAACACATGTTAAAAGGAGGTTGATGATGGGAAACTGGGTACGAAATATAGAATTTAGAATTTGTAAAGCTCAACGTTATAAACATATGAATCGACAGTATAAAGGTCAATATTTGAAAAACCACAAAATGACATAATACATTAATTAAGACACAGATATGGGAACATCTGATTCTTATTCACTATATTCTAGTTCTCAGTTATTGATAATCTAAAAACGCAATCCTAAATATAGAAATATAGGAATTCCGTTTTGTATTTATATAATTTAATTATTATGTAAATTATTGCATATATATGTGATAAACATGTCTTTGTATTGCTCCCTAGATCTGCTTGTTGTGAATTAAACAAAAAATCGTGTAAATATTGTTATTTTCTTTTTATTTAATTTCAAAGGTTAAATACAATTACAAGTATACGGGATTTTCAAATTAATTAGAGAAAATATATTAATTTTAACTTACAGTATAAGTAGAAGAAAAGTCAACACGTTTGCGGTTCAAATACTAATGAAGCCATGTCTTTAACTTGTAAGGATAAAGGAGCGTGCTTTCCACAGATAATGTTTTCACCAATCCTATCTATCCTTTTTAAGTCAATAGATAATTATTACTTCAATCAGCGATACTGAGGCTACACACCTACTCGAGGCGAGATAGACCGGATTCATACACGAAGCTAATGCAGATTCAGCATTGATGTACGTGGTTGCCACTTATGAGATTCGGGAGAAGGTTAAGTGTCGTAAGTGGACCATTGAAAAAAACTAAACATATATTTCCAAAAATCGAAGTGATATGGCAAAATAAAACAATACATTCGAGCGCATCTTTGGCTTAATTGGCTGTAATTGTACCGATCTAATAGTAGTACGTACATTGTACAACAAACCCCAGGGAGGAAACAATTAATTGTAGAGAGTGATCTGAATACGCAATGAGAATCCTGTAGCTATAAATTTTGAAGTCTGCTTCTATCGAAATCCTGCTGAAGCCAAATATCACGAATCAGAGAGCAGGCCATAGTGCCATATTTTTCAATTTTATGTGTGACTTTGTCGAGTATTGAAGAACTTTTTACATTTAATGTTCATACAAATGTGCAACAATGATACACAAAAATGCCATTACTAGGTATAATTCATTAAATGCATCAAAATTATCTGTGCATATAAAGTAAGAAACCAATTTCAAAATGTGATATTACATTTACTTGAGTAATTCATTTCATTTCACTTGATTTATTCAAGATGTCAAGTTTAGGGGCATTTCGAAGAGCGCCACCTGGTGTAGTGGGCCCAAATCTTTCACTTATAAAGAATTCCCTTTAATTTTCGGGACTTCAGTCACTCATCTACTAATGACGGGTAACAAACCTTTTGTCCCCGAGATGGCAATTAAAACCAGATTCCAAATGGTGTATCGTTTTTTCTGATTTGCGCCTCGTCAAATTAAAAATGGCCGCCTAATGTGGGATTTTGCAGTCCCATTATCGTTATATTTTATACACATATTCCCTATCTTATAACAAGTTTTGCATTTTAATACCTTGTATTAATTTGTTTTAAATGCAGAAAATAGAAAAAAGAAACACGGTGGTTACAGTGGAAATAGGTGGCAATTACACGCTATTTTACGATTTTCGTAGTAACTAGCTGGCTTGAAAAGTGGAGCGATTTTGTTTATGTTTTATACGTTAATATATTAAGCACAGTACATTGTCTTATTATCATGACATTTAGACTTGTGTGCCCTATTTTAAGTTTTTTGGAAAAGTGGTGGATCGATTTCATTGAGATGTGTCAATGATGGTAGAACTCTCCTTACTTCTCGTTCCATTGAGATTCATGCTAAATTGACGAAGTTCAACTAAGAATTTCTCAAATCAAGTACAGCAAAACACTGAAAGAAATACCCCCAAAATATCCCATCAAAACTTGTGCTCTCTTATATAGATGGCGTGGTAAAACGTCCTCATATTTGCGTACATTGACCAATCTTCCACGTCTATCAAGCACATCCATCGACAGAAAATGATCCAAAATATATTTTACCGTTCACTGCTATGATCACATGTCTACCAGTTATTCTGTACACTATATGTCTAGCCAAAGATAGTGATGTGGTATACCATTTAAGTCCTCAAACAATTTTTAATAGAACTACGGTACAGTGCCTGAGAGAACCATGACACCTGCAAATCAGGAATACTTTTTGACAATAAAGGACCGTTTTTACAGAATGTTTTCAATGATTGGTTAAAGAGAAAAACATTGTTGAATTCAGTTCGCCATATCGTAAACGGATACAATTCCTATATAATATACCAACTGGTCTGTGTTTATACCAGTATGAAAGCATTTCTAGTCCTACCAAAAAAGAAATGTTGTCTGACGGACCTAGTCCCTAATAAGCTCCTGTGGAATACAGTCCCAAGTGGAAGAGTGTGTGATCCGAATCAGACTGAACTTAGGGTTACAGTTGTTCATGGACCATTATCTCAAGAGCTATTGGCACTGGACCTAAATGCCTGATATGTCCTACATTTTATTCCCAGAGTATATATTTCAGAATGAATTAGCGTTAGGGGTTATTTCTTTCGAATAAAAGATCGCGAAGCCGTATAAGTTATCAAATATCTTATTCACTGGCATAATTTATATAAGGGTTATGTACTCGGAGGTTTTGAATACAGGGTTTATCCAAGGGATATTTGAATTTATCCCATAATAACATGTTTTCCCATGGAATACAACTGATATTCAAAAATCCCGTATCAGATCCCGTATTGGATACCGTATCAGCCAAAACCTTGTATTAGATCCCATATCAGAAATATTCCCGGGGATTTCTCTTGATCTTTACACTTTTCGTTCACATTTAAAACGTATTAATAAAAGTTGAAAAATGTTATGTGATAAATCAAATTGTATCATTTTATGATGGGTGATGACAAATCGAACTTGAAAATGAAAAATTCAAAAATTCAGAAAAATTGTGATGGAATAAATTGGTTACTTATATTTATATAAATAGGCTGTCGCCCTCGGTCAATATGATATTTTCATTGGCCAATATCATATTCTCCCTCAAAATAAAAAAAATATTCCATCCCTCCCATTAAATAACCTCTATTTATTCCATAATAACATGTTTTCCCTGTTGTGAAAGCGTCACAGGTATTTATAGAAAATTGGTCCAAATTGTGGAAATTACAATTTAAACCAGAAAAGAGCTGTGAAGTTATTTTCCATGGAGTTAGAGCAAATCCTGAAAATGTAAGCAAATCTTTTCTAAGTGACTCTGAAATTGAAAGAACAAATGTACATAAACACCTTGGATATACTTTTGATCATAATCTGACCAATCAAAACCATATTGAAGAAATATATAATAAAGTTAGGAAAATGATTAATCCCCTGAAGAACCTTAAAACAAAGTTAAACTCAAGAGATCTGGAAACGCTTTTCAACTCATTTATAAGACCTCATTTTGATTATGGTACTGCTATTTTTAACACTGCATCAAAATATCTTCTAAATAGACTTGATCAAATTTATTATCAGGCTGCTCTTTTGTGCTCTGGTTGTCTTCATGGCAGTAATACTGATAAAGTTTTGAATCTCCTTCAATGGCCTTCTCTAGACACAAGAAGAAAAATGCAAATTAACAACTTTATGTTTAAAGTTGTAAATGGTCCAAATCCACTCTTTTTAGATGAAATTTTTGATAAATTCAAAAATCAGGGAACACGCAATCTGCGTGATAGATCTGACTTTAATTTACCAACCAGGTGCTCAAAGAGGTTCTTGAATTCATCAGTTCCATCAGCAATATCAAACTGGTCACGACTACCAAAACGATTACGTAATTTGAAAACTCTCCAATCCTTTAAAAAACACCAAAAGATTTTGTTTAAAAACCAAGAAAGTTTTATTAGCACCTCCAAACTCAATCTAAAAAGATCTCATGAAATTTTGATTAACCAATTTAGAGCTGATCTTCTTTTCAAAGCCCAACTTTATGCTCACAACTTTACTTATGTTGAGAATCCAAACTGTAAATGTGGAGCCCCCCAGACAGAAAAACACTTCTTCTTTCAGTGTCCCCTTATTAAAGAAAAGATAACAAAATTAAAAACTGATATTATTAATATAACTGGACTATCAGATAAACATTTAACTCAGAATGATCTCCTTTACTTAATGAAACATGGCTCTGACAATATTTCCCTTGATCTAAATTCACATCTCCAAACCTCAATCGCTGAATTCATTGAAATGAACCTATAACGTTTTCCCCTCCCTACATACTATATATACTATACTTTATTTTATATTATCCACACTTAATATTTCCACCCCATGGCCAACCACAAGTGCAGAGTGAACCCCTTGACCTAATCATAATTTTGTATTTTGTGCTATTAATGTACCCTTCTATAATGCCTTCGGGCGACTGAAGGGATTTATATTATGATATTTTTATGAAGCAATAAATATTTCTTAATAAAAAAAAATAAAAAAAACAGGTATTCATCGAAAATAGAATTTAATTTTTGTTTCATTATTCACTGTTATATTCCTCATTCACATAAATGGCGAATGTTACTATTATGAATGTTACTAGTATAGTATTACATCACCGAACGAAGTTTATAGGGAGATAGAGAATCCGCCCGTCCATCCGTCTGTTCAGGATATCCCCAATGATACTATGATTTATTGGTGTAGGATCTCTGCTCAAGAAGGAATTGACAAGATAGCCCCTAAATCCGAAATTGCCACCATTTTTCGTAAAGTATAATGCTGAACGCTATAATAAATTCTCTACCATATCAATAACATTTGTGTTGCCAACTTTATCAACTGATAGTGTTCAATATACTCGAGAAATATCATGCTGAAACCCTGTTAACATAACATAATTTTCATCGTTTTCGTACTTGCTGCACTTCTTAGCCCATTCATTTACTTAATTTAAGTGAGAAAGTATATTGATGATATTGCAGTCTTACAAGGAAAAATTCAACGTTCGCAAGAACTTGGATTTTCTGAAACCTAAGACTCTGACACTTTTGTGCAAAAAAGGTAGTGGTGATTTTGCTTATATCTCGTGAAATCGTGGAAAAACAGAAACGTATCGAAATCGTTTGCGCCATTTTGTTACGAAAACGGATCATTTACATAACTCGCTTCACGAGTTCCTCCACAGTGAATAGGCTAATGTGTTAGAGCCACTCTATTACCTCAATACAATACTTCGAAAATTGACCTTTGATGATTGTTTGAAAATCATCGACATTCCAATGTAAACAAAAAGGAAATAGTGGACAAAAAAGATTTCAGGATATCTATTCAAGAAAACATTTACCGAAAATTATATTTTTATAGAAATTTAAATTGTCGAACCTTTTGGATGCTTAGTGTTTAGTTTACTTTATGAACATTAACGTAACGTATGTCATTTCTATGGGAGAGGTTCCTTGAAAAATGATTT